GCATGTTCTCACTCATAGGTGGGTGCTGCACAATGAGAACACATGTACACAGGGAGGAGAGCATCACACACTGGGGTCTGTTGTGAGGGGCTAGGAGAGGGACAGCAGGGGTTGGGGAGGTAGGGGAGAGATAACATGGGGAGAAATGCCAGATGTAGGTGACAGTGGGATGGAGACAGCAAACCACCTTGCCATGTATGTAACTATGCAACAATCCTGCATGATCTGCACATGTACCCCAGAACCTAAAGTACAATAAAAAAGAAAAAAAAAATGGTTAAGAAGATAAACTAAGTTACATGCATTTTACCACAATTAAAATGTTTAAATATTAGACTATTTTTTAAGGAAGGCAAACCTTGATCAAAAAAAATAAAGCAGTTTTTGAGGAGCCCAAAATTAGAATTACTATGGAGAAAGAGTCAAGAATAATTTAACATGTCATTATTACAGAATCACTTTTGCTCTGGTATTTGTATTACTGCAAAAGGTTTCATCTTTTCATGTATAATCTAAGAAACATTGTATACTACTGATTGGCCTTTTGTTTTTCCAAGGAAGTCTAATACACACATACTCATAAATACAACCCTTTCACTTGATCTTGTGATTTCCTCTAGCTACAATTATGTTCTTTTGCTATTTCCACTTCTTCACCTCCAAGTCATTCCTTGGCCTACTATCTAACATTTGCCCCAACATTCTCATGAAACTGCTAAGGCCAAACTCACGTGACTTCTGTGTTGTTCAATCTAATGGACACTTTTAAACCATATCTGATTTGGCATCTCAGTAGTAGCATGATGCTGTTAAAGATTCATTTTCTTTTGCAACCTACTCCTTCCTTGGCATTTGTGAGGAGCCTTGTGCTAGTCTCATGAATTTTTCCTTCTACTCCTCTTCAGCCCCATTTATAGTTCTGTAGTATTAAACTAAATTAATTCACTTACACTGCACAGCCAATGATCAACAAACAGCATGAGGCCGGGTGTGGTAGCTCATGCTTGTAGTCCCAGCACTTGGAGGCCAAGGCGGGCAGATCACGAGGTCAAGAGATCAAGACCATCCTGGCCAACATGGTAAAACCTAGTCTCAATTAAAAACACTAAAATTAGCTGGGCATGGTGCCACACACCTGTAGTCCCAGCTACTCAGGAGACTGAGACAGAAGAACTGCGTGAACCTGGGAGGCAGAGGTTACAGTGAGCCAAGATGGCACTATCACATTCCAGCCTGGTGACAGAGCAACACTCTGTCTCCAAAAAAAGAAAAAGGAATGAAAACAAAAAAAACAACATAAATGTCTTGGGTTCTCTCATCCTGTACCTACCCTTATCCTCTGTTCCCCAATCCTTTCCAGTGTCTTCTCGACTCCTTCCTGGTTTTTACCTCAAATATCTGGCATCACAGTTACCCCTTGGGCTTAAGGATGGTTTCCCATATCTTTAGCATCTCCTTGGTACTATCTAAGATATCATCTGCATTCATCCTCTAAAATAACCATTCTTTTCCTTTCCCATCCTAAGCTTAAAAAAAGGAAGTATGCTCTGTAAGTTCCAAGGCATTTCTAAAGTACTCACGCATGCCTCTCGCTATATAACAGATTCGATTAATACCTACCCTAAGAGATGATTTGCAAACGTACTGCTGATAGAACCTTAGTGACTATCCAATTCTAACCAAGGTCATCCAGGTATCTCTTTAGGGAAATATGAATGTGATACTCAAGATAGCTTTAGGAGGCTGAGGCAGGAGAACTGCCTGAACCCAGGAGGCGGAGGTTGCAGTGAGCCGAGATCGTGTCATTGCACTCCAGCCTGGGTAACGAGCGAAACTCCGTCTCAAAAAAAAAAGATAGCTAGCTTTAAAATTTTACCCCAACCCAGGCAAGGTGGCTCACGCTTGTAATCCCAGAATTTTGGGAGGCTGAGACGGGAGGATCACTTAAGCCCAGGAGTCCAAGACCATCCTGGGCAACATGGCAAACCCCATCTCTACAAAAAAAGTACAAAAATTAGCTGAGCATGGTGGCATGCAGCTGTAGTGCCAACTACTCAGGATACTGAGGTGGGGAGATTGCCTGAGTTCAGGAATTCGAGGCTGCAGTGAGCCATGATCACTCCACTACACTCTAGCCTGGGCAACAGAGTAAGACTCTGTCTAAAAAAAAAAAAATTTACCCCAGGTGACATGCTAAAAGGTAACAGAGCTACCAATGTTTTCTTATCCCTAGTGCTAAGTGTCCTTAAAAGGAAAGAGTAACAAAATTGTATTAGCCTTAAAATTCAAGTAATTAGTTCTTTTAGATACTGCTTATGTAAGTAATACATGCTATGCCTTCTTAGCCCTGTTTTCCCCAATATCACTTGGAAAGTCTGTAGAAATGTCTTACCATTCTCAGATTCAGATTTTTAACAGGATTAAGGTAGGGTCTGACCCTGTTATTTTTTTAAACTCCCAGGTGATTACAGTCTGTCACTAGGGCTAAGAATCACTTAGGCCAGTGATGCTCAGCCCTTAGCATAAACAGAACCACCTAGAGGACACAGACTGATAGGTCTCATGCCCAGAGATTCTGATTGAATAAATCTGAGAGGGTCTGAAAATCTGCACTTTTAACAAGTTAGATGTGGTGATTCTGCTGGTCTTGTGACTACACTTTGAGAACCACTGGATAAGCATACTGGCTAGAGGTTCTCAACCTTCCCGACGCATATGAATTACTTGAGGAAATTTTTTAAATCCTGATTGCCAGGCACACCCCAGACTAATTACATTAGAATCTCTGGGATGGAAAATCCAGGCATCAATATGCTTTAAAGTTCCTAAAATTAAAAAGATTTCTCTACAACAGGGCTTTATAAAGCCATTAATATGCTAATAATATGTTATTTCCCCAGAAGGTGGTATAGTATGCAATATTTCCAAAGTTTTTTTGAACCAGAAACACTTTGGTCAAGGGACATCATTAACAGCTCCAAATGTCTGAAATTCTAACCTATCAGATAAAATGGAAACTGCTTTGCATGGCCTGAGACACTCTGCTCCAACCTCAATCCAGCCTCATCTTTTGACAACCCTTCCTCCTGCCACTGCATATATATCTCTATTAAAATACTAATGCCTTTTGATTGCAAGATCTGTTTTAATGTGATTGAATTATTCCTACAAGCTGTTTGGAGTCAGAGGTCATATCTTACTTCGCTTTGGTCCTCAGTGCCTCATATGATACCAAGTATAGCTGGTGCTCAATGAACATCTGCTGAGTGATTAAATACAGATTTATATCCTTACTTTCTGTAGAAAAAACACTGTCAAGCATGGCTTTTATGCAATCTAGAGTGAACAACAGTTTTTACAGAGCTAAATTAGAACTGAATAGTTCACCCTTTTACAGCCACTCTTATTTTTAATAAGGCTTTAAATTATAAAGGGACTATTTGCATTTAGAGGTAACATTTAACTTGTCTTAGGATTTACCATACTTTAAATTCGCTAATAACTTAAGAGTGGCAGAAGGTTTAGATAACTTTTTTTTTTTTTTTTTTGAGACGGAGTTTCGCTCTTGTTACCCAGGCTGGAGTGCAATGGCGCGATCTCGGCTGACCGCAATCTCCGCCTCCTGGGTTCAGGCAATTCTCCTGCCTCAGCCTCCCAAGCAGCTGGGATTACAGGCACGCACCACCGTGCCCAGCTAATTTTTTATAATTTTAGTAGAGACGGGGTTTCACCATGTTGACCAAGATGGTCTCGATCTGTTGACCTTGTGATCCACCCGCCTCGGCCTCCCAAAGTGCTGGGATTACAGGCTTGAGCCACCGTGCCCGGCCTAGATAACTTTTTATTCTAATAATTATTTAGGCCAACTGTGATTATATATTAACAATGAGATTCAATGAAGTTTCCAAAAATCATTAAAGAGAAATGAAAAAAAAAACTTGAAAATTCAAGTTTCTTAAACTTGAACATAGCAAAATCAACTCAGTTTTATTTTTGTTTTAATTTAAAAAGAACAGTATTTTTGTGTTATCAACTTGTGTATCTAATTCAGGTCAAAACAATTTTGGTACCTACCAATAAAATTGCAAAGGTTAGAGGTATCCTCCCTTAGTGCCACAAAAGAAAGCTATTTCATGCTATAAAGTGCCATGGTTTATTCTATAGCTTTCTGGCACTGTATTTACCATACCATATGCATCACAAATATTAAAAATAATCACATACGTATAAATTTCAAAGCATAAGACTATGTTGCCTTTTTTTTTTTTTTTTTTGAGATGAAGTTTCACTCTTGTTGCCCAGGCTGGAGTACATGGTGCAATCTTGGTTCATGGAAACCTCCACCTCCCAGGTTCAAGTGATTCTCCTGCCTCAGCCTTCTGAGTAGCTTGGATTACAGGTGCCTGTTACAATGCCTGGCTAATTTTTTTGTATTTTTAGTAAAGACAGGGTTTCACCATGTTGGCCAGACTGTTCTTGAACTCCTGACCTCAGGTAATCTGCCCACCTCAGCCTCCCAAAGTGCTGGGATTACAGGCATGAGCCACCGCGCCTGGCAACTACATTGCTTTTCAAACTTATTTCAGTTTACAGTTCTGTAAAACTAAATTGGAAGAAAAAAATAATGTTAAAAATATTAATATATTTGTTTTAAAGAGCAGTGATAATTACCTTATCATATATTTATTCCATAAGAATTATGGAGTGCCCATTATGTGACAGGCACTATTCTAGGAGTTATAGTTACACAATAATGAAAAAGTTCATGAAGTTTACAATCTGGTATTTTTTTTTTTTAGAAAGGGAAAAGGTGGAAACACTCCTGTGGTCTCAACTAGAAATAGGGATTATTTGTAGGAGAGAAAGAAAGAGTTGAATCTAAAAGCCATTAGTAGTTTATAAAATTTGTAGGCGACTCCTAGCAACTCTGAAGAAGTTGATAAGCTAGGAGAAAGAGAAAAGTAATAAGTAAATAACACTTTAAAATTAATAGTGTTTACCTTTGAATTCCTTCAAGAATATCCTTCACAGCTGCAATTAACTTTTGAAGATATATAAACGCTTCCTCAAATGATGCTATATTTGAAGCAGTCGGAGCTGAATTTGAGCCCAATCTCTGAAATACATCCGTGCTAAAATAGAGAAAAAGAAAAGATACTCATAGGTGTACATACATATTTAATGTGATTCAAGGATTGCAAATGTATAAAATAAAGTAGCATTTATTATCATTAATATCTCAGAATGCTGATCTATTTAAATTAGAAATAAGAGACAGTGAAATATGGGCTAATATTCATGTAAAGGATCTAGGTCAGACACCACACAGGTCTAATCTAAATTAATACTATGAACATTGTGTGAATATTGTTTCATTCTAAGAGACCATAAAAGAAAGAGGAAAAGTAATACTATCAATCTGTAATTCAAGTCAGTACAAAGGATTAAAAAAAAAAATAAGAGATCAGATTATTTCTGTTGAAACTGGAAGTTTATCCTTATAATTCCACTTGTCAAAATCTCTCATAAAGGACGAGCGTGGTGGCTCATGCCTGTAATCTTAACACTTTGGGAGGCCAAGGTGGGTGGATCACAAGGTCAGGAGTTCAACACCATCCTGGCCAACATAGTGAAACACCATCTCTACTAAAAATACAAAAGATGAGCCAGGCATGGTGGTGCGTGCCTATATTCCCAGCTATTCGGGAGACTGAGGAAGGAGAGTTTCTTGAACCCTGCAGGCAGAGGTTGCAGTGAGCTGAGATCATGGCACTGAACTCCAGCCTGGGCAAAAAGAAAAAGAATGAAATTTATCATAAGTTAATAATAGTTATTCACAATCAGGCAACAATTAGTAACACCCTAAATGTGTAACAATATAAACAGTGTTAAGTAAGTTGGCCACTTAATAACATACCAAACTAGGTTGGGCATGATGGCTCACCCATGTAATCTCAACACTTTAAAGGCCAAGGAGGGAGGGTCACTTGAGGCCAGGAGTTTGAGAGTAGCCTGGACAACATGGTTAGACCTTGTTTCTACAAAAAATTTAAAAATTAGTCGGGCATGGTGGCAATGCTTGTAGTCCTAGCTAGTTGGGAGGCTAAGGTGGGAGGATCACTTGAGCGAGGAGGTCAAGGCTTCAAAGTGAGACCCTGTCTCAAAACAAAGCAAATAAACACATGCACACACCAAAAAACACCAAACTGTTAAAATAATCCTTATACCACCAAGAAATAGAAAAATAAAAGTATAAAAAATTTATAACATAACAACAACTATATAAAAATTCAAAACATGTTGTGCTTGGTTTGAACAGTATCCCCCCCCATAATTCATATATTCACCGAGAACCTCAGAATGTTACCTTATTTGAAACAGGGTCATTGTAATGTAATTAGTTAAGTTAAAAGGAAGTCATGCTGCATTAGAAAGGGCCCTGCTCTATGTGAAGAAAAAGGCAGAGATGGGTGATATATCTACAAGGCAAGGACTGCTGGCAACTACTAGAAGAAAGGAGAAAGACATGAAACAGATCCGCCCTCAGAAACTTCCAGAAGAACCAAACGTGCAGACACTTGGATTTCAAATGCCTGGTCTCCAGGTCTGCAAGTGAATACAGTTCTGTTGTTTTGACCCAGCCAGTTTGTGGTACTTTGTTACAGCAGCTGTAGGAAACTAATAATACTCCTAAAAAACAAGACTGAGTGTGCTTAATAAATTCACAGCATTACCTAGGGTAGACTTTAGAAGCACTCAAAGGAATTTCCTCCTCTATTTTACACTTTCCAAAGTATTCCTTTTATAACTGTGGTAAAACACACCTAATATAAAATTTGCCACTTTGAACATTCTGAAGCATGTAATTCAGTGGCATTTAGTACATGCACAATGCTGTGTAACTATCACCACTATCTAGTTACAGAACATTTCATTACCCCAAAAGGAAATTGTGAGTCCATGGAGTGGTTTCTCCCCAGAATTCTCCTCTTGTCCCGCCAAACCCCTGCAACCACCAGTCTGCTTTCTGTCTCTATAGATTTGCCTATTCTAGGTATTTGCATGTGTGCATTTCTTATTTTTTAGATAAAACCAAATTTATTTAAAAACATTTACATTAAAAATTTTTTTCTATGTTTAAAACCTAAAAAGAAAATCTAAAAAGAGAATACATAATACCCATAGTCTACCAGCCAGAGATAAGCATTACTAACATACATGGTTCTTTCTTCAACTTTTTCTTGATATATAAACAAATTGTGTGTGTGGAGGTGTGAGCGAGTGGCTGGGAAGGCAGGAGGAAAACAACATCTTCCAGGAAACAAAATCTTCCAGGAAAGCCATCAGTAAATCAAAATACTATATACCAGATACTATCATTCCAAAAACATCCATTATAAATTTTATTTAGATTTACACAGTTCAGGTAAAAGGATGAGGGCACTCCAATGTGGAATCAAAACAAACACAAAAAAACATTGATCTCAGAAAGGCAGACAGAACAGTGGTCACTAGAGAATGGAGAGGGGAGAATGAGGAGAGGTTTGTCAACAGATACAAAGTTATAGTGAGACAGGAGGAATAAACTTCTGGTGTTCTACTGCATAGCAGGCTGACTATGGCTCCAAGTAAAGTATTGTACATTACAAAAGCAAGAAGAGAGGCTTTTGAATATTCTTTTTTTTTTTTTTTGAAATGGAATCTTGCTTTGTCATATAGGCTGGAGTGCAGCAGCAAAATCAACTCACTGCAACCTCCACCTCCCAGATTCAAGCAATTCTCCTGTCTCAGCCTCCCATGTAGCTGAGACCACAGGCACACGCCACCACCATGCCCAGCTAATTTTTGTATTTTATTTTTTAGTAGAGACGGGATTTCACCATGTCAGCCAGGCTGGTTTCAAACTTCTGACCTCAAATGATTCGCTCACCTCCACCTCCCAAAGTGCTGGGATTATTGGCATGAGCCACCACATCTGGCCTGAATGTTCTTATCACAAAGAAGACCATGATAAATGCATAAGGTGACGATGAGTACTTCATGCATTTATCATGAGATATTCATCACGTTCACTGGCCTGATCATTATGCAAAACATGTATCTACTGAAACATCAAATTGTACATCAAACTGTACCTCATAACTATATTCAATTATAATGTCAATTTTTTAAATAATTTTTTTTTTAAACCCACAAATTTAGTACCTGTTCTGATATATTGTAATCCAAACACTCTCTAGGATAGACCAGATTTCTTGATGCCTGTGGGGTTGGGGAAGATGAGAACCTGAGAAAACCATGATTTCTTGATTACGAGACTTCATCAGTGAAGTGCCTTCCTGCTTTTTAGTCACTGTGTTTTCTGAAGAATTTCGCTTAAGTTTTGTCTTGACCTGGGGAAATAAGAATTACATAAAATGCAACTAGTTCTTCATTCGTAGATGAGAAAAAGGGAATGCCAACTGTGCTTACAAATGTTCTAGCTTTCTGAGAAGTAGTGGCAATTCTTTTTCCTTTATAATAGTACATAATATTCCCAGAAGAGAATCAGTTAGAAAAGATATTTTCCTTTTCCAATGAAATCAAACAGTATTTCCAATCTACTTATAATGACTTGTTTAGCTAACATGCTAATGTCTATTTAATAATACTGCTTAGGCAGTAATATACTGAGAAGTGCACTCTAAGATAAATGAGAACAGAAGAAAGCAAAGGCAAGAAGACTAGTTAGAAGGTTACTAAAATAATCCAAGAGGAGAGTCCTGAGAACATGGATTAGCTATAAAAAGGCAGCAGAATGAAAAGAAAAATAAAATGCATGTAAGAAATATAAAGACTTGGCCAAAGACTAGATCCAGGGAGTGAGGGAGACCCTAAGACATTCTTTAACCTAGATGTGTTAGAAGAATGACACAAATGATAGGAACTTAGGGTGGTCATAAATCTAGAAAAAAGAGAGAGAGAGAGAGAGAGAGAGAGAGACATTCTCTGTGTGTGTGTGTGTGTGTGTGTGTGTGTGTTTTCTAAATAGATTGAACCTTCTTGATTACTTCCCCAGAGGAATGTATACAGTTTTACTTAGTAAAAATCAAACAGACAAATACTTTGAGGCAACACATCTCACATACATATACAGGAATTGATGAAAATGCTATTTGATGTGCCACAATCACTGCAATTTTAAACAGCATATTAACTCATGCATTGCTGATGAGAGACAATACACTGAACATATTACATATTACAGTGTAGTAGCAATAAACTGTAGTATTTGTCTATGTTTCCAAATTTTATGGCTTCTTGTTGTAAAGCTAAGAGAGACTTGTATACCGATGTAACAAACCTGCACGTTCTGCCCATGTACCCCAGAACTTAAAGTATAATTAAAAAAAAAAAGAGACAGAGGCTGCTTGCAAATAAGAATCCTCTTTGGATGAACAGAATATAAGTTTGTTTTTTAGGTATATGTTGAGTTTGAGGTGTAAAAAGTTATCCAGGTAAAGACAGCTAGCAGATAATTGAATACGTAGATCTGCAGCTTAAAAATACAGCTGAGAATCATTCTCATGGACACAAGCCTTAGGAGATGAAACAGGTAAACCGATGGGGGAAAAGTAGGAACTAGCAAAAATAAGAGAGGAAGAATCAGTATGCAGTAACAATAGAAGGCCAAGGGAGTCAGGTTTCAGGAAAGAAAGCACACACCACCAAGTGCTGAAGAAGGGCTAAGAAGCAGAAGAATGAGAAAGAGTGATAATCAGAAAGCAATGATAACTTATGGTTTCTTTCAGTGGAGTATGGAGATAAAATTCTACTTGTAAAGGATTAAAGGGTAAGTGAGCACTCTCACACTTTGTATTCTAGCCTTGTTCAGTTAGTTGAAAAAAAGAAAGAAAAGAAAAAAGAGACAAGAAAATAAAACAACAAAAGAAGTGCAAAATGAAAACAATGGTTAGAAATTATCTTTTTTTGTTTGTTTGAAACAGGGTCTCACTCTGTCACCCAGGTTGCTCACTGCAACCTCTGCCACTAGGGCCAAAGTGATCCTTCCGACTCAGCACTCCCCAGTAGCTGGGACCAGAGATGCAAGCCATCAGGCCCAGCTAATTTTTGGTATTTTTTGTACAGAGAGAGTTCTGCCATGTCGCCCAGGTTGGCCTCAAACTCCTGGGCTCAACCAATCCGCCTGCCTTGGCCTTCTAAAGTGCTAGGATAACAAGTATAAGCCACCATGCCTGGCCATAAATTGGTCTTTTAAGAAGTTTGGTAGTTGATGGAAGGACAGTGCAGTAAATAGAATGGCCAATGAAAAGTACAGTATTTAAGAATAGAAAAAAATCTAAGCATATTTTAAAGCACAGTAAAAGAGATATACTATTGATTCCAGTGATTTTTTTTCTAAAGTATCACATGGAGGAAAAACATATTAACATTTAAAGGAAAACTATCTGATAGAATGGACAAAATATTTAACTATAAGTTTAAAAACTTAGTTTTTTTGGTCTTGGCTCTATTATAAATATGCTTTGTAAACTTAAATAAAATTACTCTGTTTCTCTAGGCTTACATTTCCTGTGATCAAATGATGATTTCAAAGGTTAGCTTCATGGATTGCTGATTATGAAAATTTAAATTTTTTAAAAGTAAAATTTCCAATACTATCAGTAGTAACAGTTAATATGTACTGAGCTTTTGTTAGGTACTTTCTCAGAATTTATATTAATTAGCTTATTTAATCCTAACAACTACCCTGTGAAACAGATACTATGATGATCCATATTTTATAATCAAGGAAACTGAGGCATAGAAAGGTTAGTTAACTCAGCTGAGTTCACACAGATGATAAGAGGCATGAGCAGGATTTGACCTTCAGCAACCTGACTAGACTGAGGTTATGATCTCTCTTTATTTGTAAAAGTACACGTTACCCTTCTTTATCTTCTGGGGCAAGAAGAAAAATTAAAAAGATAATTCTTCCCATTTCTGCCTGTTTACATTAAATTGTAACTTAATAAATAGACATAAATGAAAAGACATTTTATCCTGAGATAATTTTTTTATCATCAAATATATTTAAAATACAGCCCAGCATTTACCTAATGTCTCTTTTCTTCAGCTCTTAAATAGTAGTGTATATGCTACACAAGTGGTTTTCTTTATCAAACATTATATAGCACTTACTACATGCTAGGCATTAAGGTCTCCACAGACATTAACTTGTTAACTCACATGACAATTCTAAGGCCAGCATTATTATTATGCTCATTTTACAAAAGAGAGAATTAAGGTCCAGATTGTTTAATTAACTAGAAGTTAAAAACACCACAACTTAAGATCCTGAGGCACATAAGCCTAAAGCTTATTAACAAGATTGATTTTAATTACTCTATCATCTTAATAAAAAGCAAGTCCTATTTTTTTTAGTGGTTAGAAGGCCCATAAAATAAAAATGTACATACCCTTTTCCTATCCCCCCTCATCACCTTATATGAAAATCTGCAAAAGGCAGGGCATGATGGTTCGTGCCTATAATCCTAGCGCTTTGGGAGGCTGAGGCAGGAGGATTGCTTGAGGCCAGTAGTTCAAGACCAACCTGGGCAACAAAGTGAGACCTGGTCTCTACAAAAAAATTTAAAAATCAGCTCGACATGGTGGTACATGCCTGTGATTCCAGCTATTCAGAAGGCTGAGGCTGGAGGTTCGTTTGACACAAAGAGGTCAAAGTCACAGAGAGCTATGATCATACTACTGCACTCCAGACTGGGCTACCAAGAAAGACCCAGTCTCCAAAAAAAGAATCTGGAAAACGATCAAGTTAGTTTATCTCCATTTTAGTTTCTCAGAAGCAATCAAGTAATAAATATTCCTCTTTTCCTGATTTTCTACACTTAATAAATTAAGATTAGGTAGTTTTTACATTTACCAGCAGATGCCTTATCTTTGGAGGTAATCCATTTGTTGCTCAAGTTACTGAGACATGACCAAATATATAAGACATATATTAAATCTAGTGCAGTCTATAAAACCGCTCCTGTTAAAAGTCCCCACCCCAACCTTTTTGGCAACTGGGACTGGTTTCGTGGAAGACAATTTTTCCATGGACCAGTGAGTTGGGGGATGGTTTCAGGATGATTCAAGCATATTACATTTATTGTGCACTTTATTTCTATTATTATTACACTGTAATATATAATGAAATATTTGCCCAGGCATGGTGGTTCTTGCCTGTAATCCCAGCACTTTGGGAGGTCAAGGTGAGTGGATCACATGAGGGCAAGAGTTCAAGACCAGCATGGCCAATAAGGTGAAACCCTATCTCTACTAAAAATATAAAAATTAGCCAGGTGTGGTGGCGCACACCATAATCCCAGCTATTTGGAAGGCTGAGGCAGGAGAATCGCTTGAACCCAGGAGGCAGAGGTTATAGCAAGCCAGGATTGTGCCATTGCACTCTAGCCTGGGCAACAAAAGAGAAACTCAGTCTCAAAAAAAAAGAAAAGAAATAATTATACAATGCACCATAATGTAGAATCAGTGAGAGCCCTGACATTGTTTTCCTGCAACTAGACTGTCCCATCTGGGGTGATGGGAGACTGAGGCAGGTAGATCACCTGAGGTCAGGAGTTCAAGACCTGTCTGGCCAACATGGCAAAACTCCATCTCTACTAAAAATACAAAAATTAGCCAGGCGTGGTGGTGCACATCTGTAGTCCCTGCTATGTGGGAGGCTGAGCAGGAGAATCACTCGAATCCAGGGGGTTGAAGTTGCCGCACTCCAGCCTGGGCTACAGAGCGAAACTCTGTATTTACAGTTGCTCCCCAGCACTCACATTACTGTCTGAGTCCCACCTTTTGTCAGATCAGCAGTGGCATTAGATTCTCATAGGAGCATGAACCCTACTATGAACCGTGTATGTGAGGGATCTGGGTTGCATGTTCCTTATGAAAATCTAATGCCTGATGACATTAACATTTGGAGAATCAGGGTTAAGAATATATATGGGAATTCCTTGTACTGCTCTTGTGACTTTTTTATAAGTTTGAAATTATTTCAAAATAAAAAGTAAAACAAGAACAACAACACTCCCAAGTACCACTATCAAAAAAGAGATTCAGTAGGGTTTGAGCAAGTCTTGGCATCTGTATGTTCAAAACAATTTCCTAAGTATTTCTGATGTATGTGAGACCTACTGGCCTAGGGCACTGTAAATGAACAGTCAAATAGCAATGGATAGCTTTCTTCCATCCATAAAATAAAATAAAATACCAACAACTGCTGTGACACTGCTTCCATAAAAGGATGTGTGTTTTGTAACTTATAAGAATTGCTTACTCTCTATTCAATTCATTTACTTAATACCTTTAGTACGTTAGAATAAGTTAGGATTAAATTATCCTTTACCTACTGTTGTCTGCTAAACACATTTTCACAAAATATATAATTAGCTACTCTAACTGGCATTCCAAAGGCATCTTACCTCTGCAAAGGTCTGAAGCAGTTTGTTTACTTGAGCAAAGGCCTGTGGAAGAATACCATCATAATCTGACCTTATACTGAAAGCATGTAACAAACTTCTAGAATCCTGAAGCAAAAATTTCACTGTTGTAAAATCCACTGCATTATTAGCTGATAAAAGAAAATTAAGAAAGAAAAATATAGAAGAATGAGTATACATCATAAAAATGTCTTTGGAACACTAATATTAATTGTGAAATTTCACAAGAATATACATTTACACCTATATGCCACTCCTAAGTTATCGCTTTAGTATAAAAAGCAATAATTTAAAAGATTTAGTTATAGATAAAGTCCTTTGAGTTGATTCTGATATTCGGAATTCAGATTTCAGGAGTTCTCTCAGCACAGTCACCTTCAAAGTAAAGTTAAAGAACATTACAATTCTCAGAAAAAAGAGAAGAATCACCAAAGAAACAAGTCAAACCACCGATTTCAATGCTGAGGTGATTTCACATACAGTGAGTACTGTGGAGGGATCAGAAGAGTTAGACCAAATTGGTAAGCATGTCAGTTCTAGATGGTACCTCTCATCATCACCTCAGCTCTCTACACAGCGATTTATCTCCAACACCATTACATGAAACTTAATACTATGTTTACAGAAAACGATGTGTTATCTCTATATGTAGAACACAACTTCAGGAGAGAAAACCAGTTTGGGCAACAGTGAGAAGCAAAAGAAGCCTGCAGTATTTTTTTCCTGTAAATTAAAAGTGAGATAATCTACAAAAAACAATTTAAAGGTATAACAATTTTCTCTCAAGGAACTAAAACTGCTTACATTAAATTATTAAACTAGTTGGGAAAGCTGGTGACAATATTTTCAACAATTTCAAAAGTTATAAACAATAAAATTAAGTAACTGTCACAAAACTCAGAACAGAAAATATTATTTCCATTATTAGAGCAGAATGTGACCTAACAGTTTTCAAAATAACAATGCTACAATGTTGTTTACTTTTTCTTTTAATGTTCACGGTTTCAGAGACGCTATTGTATTCTCAAACATCAGTACAGCTGTTCATCGGCACTAGGAGTTTAAAGGAATTCCTCTGTATCACTTAAATAAGAACTTGCTTATGAAATCCTGAAGGGTCCAGTGAAATAAAAAGTGTATCTTAGTAATTAATTCCATGATATTCAGAAACTCTAATGTATTGTTTATAGCCAAGCCTCTGGCTTCCCCTTTATCCAAAAAAATTAAAAATAATAATAATAAAGCAAGCCAATATATTTCCTTACAGTAACACTTTTATTTCTTTTCAAAGCCAATGACTAGTTTACATTCTTGTGGGAAATAAGAGATGCTACACACAGGACAGACTGCAGATCTGATGAACTTAGTAAATCCCCTGAGGAAGATATAACTGGGTGAAACTTCTTTGAAGGGTGCTTTTCCAACGTAAGGTATGTTTAAAGAGGCTTACGTATATGAATTAATCATTTTATTTCTGTCTTACAAGTTCTTTACTAAGAATATGAGGAAAAGGATAGTAACAGTAACAAATCCAGTATACAGACACAACAAAAAAAGAATCCACATGGATGAAATAGTCTAATGTTTACCCTAAGGCCAAAATTTAAAGCTAATATGGGTAACGAGTCATAAAAAGTTACTAGTCATTTTCCATACAATTTTCTATGAACTAATCTAAGGATACATGCTTTTTATTCTGAAGCCAAACAAATACATAATTCAACAGCTGAAGATGCTACTAAAAGATAGTAAACAAGACCATAAACCATGATTTGTTTTCTAATCCAAATTTATCTTAGAGCAATAGGTACTTTTATAATCCCATGACATATTCTTCCTAAGCCACTAAATGTTAGGCATCAGATTCTTCTAGATCAAAGATCAATAAACTATGTACACAATGATTGCAAAACTGATTTTTAGCAGAGGATGCAGTACTCACATCTTCACTTCTCTGCTTATTGTCAGTTAGAGCTGCAACCTACCACCGCTCAACTGTGTCTAAGAGCAGAACGCCCGGCCAGGAAAAACAGATGGAAGACGGCAACTAGATACCTCATTTTTTACACTAACTTTGAGATCACACATAGTTTATGGACTTTCTTTTTAAAAGATCTACTAAATTATGCCCCTAGTAAAAGGTATGAAAAAAGGTTCTACATGCTCTATAAAACTTCTTTGGCGAGATGTCCAAAATGTTGTTCCATGTCCTTCCTATAATCATATCCCTAATAAAGAACTTCTACAACTAAAGGCAAGGATGGGAAAGTGTTGTTCCTTAAATAATTGGCAATTTTTAAAAATAGATATTCATCTAACATCTATCATGAATGGGACAAAAGGGAATGACTAGGTGCTTTAAATCCCCTAGGGGAAATATTTATTGACCTATCTTATTTATGACTGACACATAATTGTACATATTATGGAGTACAATGTGATGTTTTGACACATGTATAAATTGTGTAGCTTTTTATCCATTGCTCAATCTCTTACTATCCCATACCACTGCACCTTCCCCATCCTCTGGTAATCACTATTTTCCTCTTTACTCCTCTGAGAACAACTCATTTTCAAATAGTTTACACTTCAAGGGAAAGACGGAGAATAAGGTACACCCAACATAGAATATGCATTTTTTTTCCTTTCTGTCTTAGCTGCTATAAAGCTTAATGTTAAAATCTGGGCTCAAGTGGTGCAATGATTATTTGCATATGATTCATGATAAATCATCTATTCTTCATTATCTGCCCTTGGTGTCTTTAATAATTTAATGGCCCTCTTGTACTCAGGTTGTTATAAGGCATCACAGTTATGTTTCAGAAGTAGGCTGGATATAACTAATATATGAAATAATAAACACATCACTTCATGTAAGGAGTGTGAAAAAAGTAAAGAACCAAATGAACCCCTAATAATAATCACACTTTGCTTTTTTATATTATATATATGTTTTTTGAGACAGGGTCTCATTCTGTTGCCCAGGCTGGAGTACAGTAGTACCATCTTGGCTTACTGCAACCTCCACCTCTCGGGCTTAGGTGATCCTCCCACACTCAGGCTCCTAAGTAGCTGGGACTACAGGCATGCACCATCACACCTGGCTAATTTTTAAATTTTTTGTAGAAAGGGGGTTTTGCCATGTTGCCCAGGCTGGTCTTGAACTCCTGGGCTCATGCAATTCACCCAACTTGTGATTACAGGCATGAGCCACCATGCCTAGCCTTTGCCCTTTAAAGGCATAGCAAGACAAATCTAGTTACTTGATTTCGGACAAGTCGCTTACTGTTTCAAGACTGGTTTCCTTGATCATAAAATATAGTCTTTAATAACATCAAATCAGTTTTCTCACATTTTTTTCTTCACAGCAGATAAACATTTTTTCAAGTCCTAAATAGAACTCCATATATAAACAAGTTTTTAAAAGCTGCTCTTGCTAAAGCTAGGGTTGAGGGCCAAAGGCACCATCAACCAGACTCCCCATCAATCTTTCCATTGCCTATCTGTGGCAGCAGAGGCACTTCAAGAAGCCCAAAATTCTGTTCGATATAGTTTAAAAACCAACTAAGTTGTTCACTGTGGTCTCTTCCAGTTCTAAAATTCACTACGCACCAAAGCCAAAAGTCTCCTATTCCTTATCCATATAGTTTAAATAGAAACTCTGACACACTATTTAGAAAATTAGTACATGAAATGTGCTCAAAGTTTGCATTAAATACCATGAGAAATGAAAAACATCTAATTCTGTTGGTATATCTAGACTGTAAAACATGATTTTAAAAGTTTTCAAAGTAAACATCCTCAAAATTATATATTCACAATATCTTGAAATATCAACAATAATACTATTTACAGTCACAAGCTCTATGAGCTACATCTATTCATCCAGTTTCCACAACTACTTTTAGAAATTAGAAGTATAAATGATTAAGAACTAATTGACACATTCTTCATTAATTTATCTTCACATCCCATGGAATATATCTGCTAGTCTGACTTAATACAACACTGATAAAGAGAAAAATAAAAAGATTCATACCTTTACGGAGATTTTTGTATAGGTTCTCAATAGTTAAAAGCATGTTATTTTCCATAAATAATCCAAATACAGCCAACCAATGTTTTTTAAAGCACTGTAGTAAATGTAGTAGAGTCCACGGTGGTTTCAGGTACAGGATCTAAAGAGCATGTAGAAAATAATTAACACCTCTAGTTTTATTATTACTATTACAAAAAAGAACCTACTTAGGAATTCCTACATATATGTAGTTAGCTGAATTCTTTTAAAATTAAAACATGTAAAGTCAATCATAACATAAAAATGCTAATTACATTGCAAATTGCTTTTGTAAAACTCATTGTATTATTAATCTTTACAGTTTCAGAAACTATATGTGCAAAAAAGAAAACATAGTTCTAATCAGAGGAAGCATAGTTTTCATTAGCAAAGGTCCTTTAATCTACTTGTCAACACAGTCATCTCTATGAGAAAATTATCAAAATATTTCATATAACTGGGGGAAAATCCATACAGAAAAAAGATGTCTACTAAAAAGATTGATCATTTAGTTCTATAAGATGTCAACACTTCCTTTTCTGAATCATTCATATATATGCAATTACTTTCCTTATCCCTACTATGAGATATCAACATTCCTAGTATCTTCTGATAATTCGTTGTCATTTTGGTTCAACTTTGATAATATAATCAAATAGCAAATACACCATCCTGGCAAATATTAGAATCTCACTGAATAGCTGGAATAGATATAAGCTATGATGGATGGGAAATCATATTTCTCCTAGCTATAAAAGTGAACAGCAAACGAACATTAAACTGAACTTTTAAAACCACTGTTGTTAAATTTGGTGTTTTACTGATTATTGAAAAGGTGTGAATCCAAAAAAATTCAAAATATCTTGCTAAAACAATCAATGTATACTCTGATTCTTATATTTACATGGCACAAGCCAAAATATATACTTCTTTTTGTGAACATATTGGTAGGGAGATTCCTTATATTAGACATTTTGACTCAAATTAAATAAATAAGTTTTTCTAAGTTCAATTTAAGCACCATGGGACAGTGCATTCGACACACAACATATGCAAAATAATTATCTGTCAACTCAAAAAAAAGAATAGCATATATTCCTAACCTTTAAGAAATGTCCATCATCTAGCTGTAAAAAACTATTTCAAAAATTTGAAGAAAAATGTAACATGATACAGATTATTCAATAAAACTTATGCATTTTATACAAATAATATTTCTTAAGAACAAATCTTCAGCAATAGAAATGATTTTTGCAAATAACAGAGTTGAACTAATCACCTCCATCCAGAGATTTCCAAAAGCAATTTTCATTTCTGTTTCTAATATTGTAGATAAACCTGTTCCAAGAGATTTTTCAAGATCAGATACAATGCTCTCAAGTAGAATGGACAGTCCAGAATTTGTAGATTCTTCTTTAAAACTCTCTTTCAAGGATGTTGTTTCTTTAAAGCAAATAGTTGTAGACTTTATTTAGAATACTAACAGTAAATATTATACATATATAATTGGTATATGGCCATAAACAATAAACATTTGATGTATATAATTAAATTTGAATTATATATACAAAAAAACAATATTTTCAAAACAATATTTAGAAACATGTATTTCTACTATAGTTGGCAATATAAATATATTACTTTAACAAATGCTTTATCTTTTCAAAAGGCAATTAAATGTTTTTACTCAAATAAAAATGTAAGAAATATATGTGATATTTTAACACATAATGTAATTTTATTATGTTTCAAAAAGAGTTACGAGAATGCCTTGGATTTATTCACAACAAAAAAATCAAGAACTATGGATCAAAATGGGTTTTTTCCAAAATGGAGTATTTTTCTAAACTCAGCCCATATCAATAAATTTCCAACTTAACCACCTTCATGACTTCCTCTTTTAAAAAAGAACATTTATTATTTTAAGTGATATCATTTCATTAACATTACGTTTTAGATACTTTAAAACAACTGTAATTTTATTATGGTAAAATTCAAAATATTAAGTGGCTGATCTCTGCAAAGTGAACAAGCAAAAGGCACACTACCCTTGAAAAATGGTAAACTAGAATATGCTGTTCCTTCAAAGGCCATTTTGAATATTATGACAAAATCTTATACTATTTCCAAAAGGAGCAAATAAGTAGCATATATGTATATATGAATATTTATACAATTATATATAAAATTCATATATATTAGAGACTTTAATAATCATTTTCCCCAAAGAGGGAAAAGGTGGGACGTACTTATAAATAATGTCAAATTTAATATAATATTCCTTCAAATATCAAGCTACAAAACAGATTATTCTGGTGAAAAAAGAAATGAAATAATCGTATTGTCCTTAGTTGTTTTTTTGTTTTTTAAGACGGAGTTTCGCTCTTGTTACCCAGTTGGAGTGCAATTGCACAATCTCAGCTCACTGCAACCTCCGCCGCCAGGGTTCAAGCAATTTTCCTGCCTCAGCCTCCAGAGTAGCTGGGATTACAGACACCTGCCACCACGCCCAGTTAATTTTTTGTATTTTTAGTAGAGACAGGGTTTCCCCATGTTGGCCAGGAAACTCCTAACCTCAGGTAATCCACATGTCTTGGCCTCCCAAAGCGCTGGGATTACAAGTGTAAGCCACTGTGCCTGGCCTGTTACTTCTTAATTATTCATTTAAAATTTTAAAAAAGAAAACTATTACTATATTCCAATAAGTTTCTCTATTACTTGCTGAGTTTTTACCATATTAATAGAAGGCTTTAAATAGAAAGCCAATTTAAAAAAAGGAACTAAAAAATTATCTCTATGTTATCTCCTATAACTGCTATTAATTTAAAAGGAATATTCTGTTTCACTTGAAGAAAATGAAGGTAAAAAACAAAGGTATACTCTGCAAGGTACAAATCAGCATGCACACAGTGATTATAAATATGTAAAAATGTATGAGTGTGCAGACAAAAACATCAAATTAATTCGTAAAAGAACATGTAGAAAGTAACAATGCTAATTATGTTTCTCTTGGATTACCATTATAATTTTCATTTATTTCAATGATTTACATGCCAGCAAGTATTCCAAATGTTATTTTAAACATACAAGACAAAAATTTACTATCGATTCTAATGTTATAAATAATCTTAGTGTATAAAATAAGACATATTTCTAATTATTATACAGTAAAAATACTACCTGCTTTCAACTGTTCCTTAGAAATACCAGGCTGATGACACACATCTGTGTTCAGAGATAAGCGTAATAACTCTGCACTCAATTCTTCTTTACTGAGTGACTTCACACCACTTACTAGGCCTTTGTTTCTTAAGTTTCTATCATCCCTAAGGTTGGGATTAGGAGGAAAAAAATATTTTTTGTAAGATAAACCACATGACAACTCAAAACACAAGAGATTTAGTCAGAGGCAGGTGATTCTCAGCCTATACATTGAGAAAGGATAACAACTTTTTTTTAAAAAAAGTAGAGAAGATAAAGGAATTTACACAGTCACATCATATGAGCTTTGGATACTAGGCATCATTCTAAAGTGCTTTATATATATATACTTATCTATTTATCCTCACAACAAACTTCTGAGGTAGAAATAGTATTAACTTTACTCCCATTTCACAGATGGAAAATTGGGGTGTAAAGAGGTTAAATAACTTGTCCAAAGTTATACCTGGTAAGTGGGAGCTAGATTTGAACACAGGAATGTGATTATCAGAGAAATAAACAGAGATCTATATATGAGAAATAATTTACAGTGGGCAGCCAAGTACAAATTTACTCAGATTAAGCATAAGACAAATAGCATGAACTTGCCGTTTGCTGAAAGAAGCCAGATTCGAACACAGTGCATGAGACCAGTTTATGAGATTACAGAGAAAGCCAAGGGCATTAAAAAACAGAAGGACATTTAAGGGCTTCAATGGGGAAATGACATGATCAGATCTGTGTTTATTAAACTGTTCCAGAGGCCAGTAGGCGTCTAGCTTCCGTCAATGGCAGAGTAGCTTGGCCACATTAACACTCCTACAAATGAGAATTATAAAACCTAGACCTTCCCAAAAAATTAACTATTTGAAGGTACTAGAGAGCAACAAAATGTAGGCACAAGCTGGAGTGAGAGTCTACCCTGAAGACACAGAAATGCATAGTGAGAACTACAAGTCTCTTTTTACCTGAGGGCATTTCCCAATTCATAAAGAGTGACTAGTATTAGTGGCTTGAAATGTCAAAGAACCACGTTCAAGGTTGACCAGGGCAGCTAGAAAGTTAAGGGAGAAACCAAAGACAAGAAATACAGAGCAAGTAAGCCCCAAAATCTGCATATAAATTATGCCCAGAAAAAAACAACATACTGCCAACAGTTAAAGTAATCAGCAGAACTAGACTCAGATACAACACAGATATTGAAGCTATCTGACAGCAAATTTAAAGTAATTTTTATTAATATGTTAAAGGCACTAATGGAAAAGGTGGGAGAAGGGAAAATCAAGCAGTTTTGCAGAGATGAAAACCATAAGAATGAAATGGAAGTGCTAGCAATAAAAAAACACAGTAACAAAAAAAAAAATGAATGCCTTGAACAGGCTTGTCAATAAACTTGACAAAGGCAAGCAAAGAATCAACAAACTTGAAGGGAAGTCAAAAGAAATCACCCAAACTGAAACAAAAAGAGAATAAAAGATTTTTTTAAGTATCCAAGAGCTTATGGGACAATATATACAATGGCAATATCCTTATACTACCTGTGAAGCAGTATAGTATTTGCAGGTAGACTTTGATAAGTAAAGACGTACATTGTAATTACTAAGACAACCATAAGAAGTTTTTTCCAAAAGTATAAATAAGTAAACAATAGAGACAAAAGGGTATGACTAAAAATGCACAATTAATCGAAAAGAGAAAAAGGAAGAAAAGAACAGATGGAACAAAACAAATAGAAAGTGGCAAAATGATAGATTTTAATCCAACAAATTAAATGTGTATGGTCTAAACTTACCAATTAAAAGACAGAAATTGTCAGATTGGTCAAAAAAGAACCAACTATATGATGTCTACAAGAAACTAACTATACAGACATAGATGGGCTAAAAGTAAAAGGATACCAAAAGATATACCATGTAATTATTAATCAAAAGAAAGTTGGAATAGCTGCATTAATACTAGACAAATAAGACTTTAGGACCAGGAATATTGTCAGAACCAAAAAGGACATTATATAATTATAAAAGAATAAATTCTCCAAGAAGACAAGCACAAACAATCTTAGATGTATATGCATCTCACTGCAAGTTTCCATCTTTCTGCCTGAGTGAATTCTCTAATTCATCAATGGCTTTACCACAACAGAAAGCCGTAGCTTTAGTGGCTTTCACGATATGTGAAGCAAAACAAACAGATCTGAAAGGAGAAACAGACAAATCCACAATTATAGTTGGAGACTTCAATACTCCTTTCTCAGTGATGATAGAAAAAGCAATCAGTGTTCTTTAGGTCTTCTGTAACCTTACTATCAACCAACTTGACCTAATTAAAATTTATAGAATACTCCACCCATAAGAGCAGAATACACATTCTATTCAAGGGTACAGAAAACACTCACTAAAACAGACTATATTCTTGGCCACAAAACAAACTTTAACAAATTTACGAAATCATGTAAATTATGTTCTCAATTCGTAAAGAAATCAAACTACAATTCAGTTTTTAAAAAAGTATCTAAAAATTTGCAAAAATACAGAATTAAGAAACAAATGTCTAAATATCCTATGGGTCAGAGAAGAAGTTGCAAGGGAAATCATAAAGTATATTGAATAGAATGAAAATGAAAACACAACATATTAAAATTTGTGGGATACAACTGCAGAAGTGCTTAGAGGACATTTATATCAGTACCAAATAAACGATCTAAGTTTCTATGTTAAGAAACAAGAAAAAAAAGAGCACAAAAGGTCAAGAGAGTATGTTCTGGGCCAGGCACAGTGGCTCCTGTCTGTAATCCCAGCACTTTGGGAGGTTGAGATGGCTGGATCACCTGAGGTCAGGAATTTGAGACTAGCCTAACCAACATGGCGAAATCCCACCTCCACTAAAAATACAAAAATTAGCCAGGTGTGGTGGCACTCACCTGTATTCCTAGCTAGTTGGGAGGCTGAGACAGGAGAATCACTTGAACCTGGAAGGTGGAGACTGCAGTGAGCTGAGATGGTGCCACTGTACTCCAGCCTGGGTGACAGAGTGAGACTCCATCTCAAAAAAAAAAAAAGAGGAGTTAACAATGTGTTCTATATATTGACAGGATGCAAGCTACACCATTGCATCCATATATCAGCATTGTATAGTTGTGATTTGTACATTTCCTCAGCTACTCGGGAGGCTGAGGAAGGAGGATTGCTTGAACCCAGGAGTTTGAGACCAGCCTGGACAACACAGCAAGACCCTGTTTGTAAAAAATAAAACCAAAGAAGACCACACAGGACTGGTTAATTCACTATATATAGATTATGAAGAAAAGGCAGGTATCAAAGTTTATTCCCTGGTTTCTGGCTTTAGCAAATGGGTGGGAAGTGACCCTTTTTATTCAGGCGGAGAAGAGTTGAGAAGAAAAACTCAAGAGTTCATTTACAGAAATTATAGGTTTCAGATGTCTATAGACATCCAAGAGATATCAAATAAACAGTTGAATAAAGTAGTCTGGAGTTTGGAAGAGCAATATGCATTGTAGACATTAATTGTGTTGCTGGTCCAGACTTAGGATTGTAAATGTAAGCACTTAGAATGATGCATAATATGTACGTGTTACAGAAGTTTTTCCAATTATACTATCACTATCAATTGACGTAATCATCATCCATTTTAAGTAACAAAAAAAATATGTCCTAACAATAGTAGGTATGACTTATACAATACACATGATTATCACTATTTTTTTTTTTTTTGAGACAGAGTCTCGCTGTGTCGCCCAGGCTGGAATGCACTGGCGAAATCTTGGCTCATAACAACCTCCACCTCCTGGGTTCAAGTGATTATTCTGTCTCAGCCTCCCAAATAGCTGGAGCTACAGGAATGTGCCACCATGCCAGACTAATTTTTGTATTTTTAGTAGAGACGGGGTTTCACCATGTTGGCCAAGCTGGTCTCGAACTCCTGACCTCATGATCCGCCTGCCTCGGCCTCCCTAAGTGCTGGGATTACAGGTGTGAGCCACTTTGCCCAGCCAGATTATCACTATTTAAAGAAAAAGCAAACAAACAAACCAAAAAAAGAGAGAGGAAAAAAAAAAGGCTCACCACTTGGAATGTGACTATGCCACAATTAAAAGTAAGGTTTGGGTGTACATTTTCAGTCACTAAAAACAGTATGTCTGTTAATACCCAAAAACAGTGAATGTATAAATAATGCAAATTGATACAGTGTTGTCAATTTAATTTTCATTTTAAGCTGAACTAAAAAAATAATTACACAACAAAGAATTACTTCTCAAATTTATCTCAAATCAAAATGTTTTAAATATTGCCATTTCTATTTCAGCCTTCAACAAACTCCAAAGTAATATGTCCTAGATCAAAATATAATTTAAAACAAATAGATAGAAATCTCTAATATTTCCTTTAATAGCAAAAAGAATAACATTATCTTTGAAGACAGCCAAAATAACAACACTGACAAGAACGTTTGCAAGAAACATCTGAGGGCTACTGATTTCTATAATCACTCCATTTCACATAAAGAATTTGAGCATGTTAATGAAGCTATAAAAACTCCATTTTGCAGTGAATAAAATGCAGATTAGAACTGCAAATTTCAAAGCATGATGTAGGCTGATTTAAAAAAAAACTGCAAATTAAAATTGCTCTTCTGTCGCTTCAGAACTTTTTCTCATACATGACGAATAAAATTTTGTTTAGCATTATCTTAGTTTTATCTTTGAACTAAGTTATGGAAAGGGAAGTAGAAAGGGCAGATGCAGGGAGAAGGGAGAATACTCTCATCGAGCTCTTACTATATACTAGGCACTATTCTAAGTCCTTTATATATATTAACGGATTAAATACTCATAATAATATCATGAGGCAGGTATTATTATTCTCCCTGCTTATTTCACGGGAGGAAGTTAAGTTAAGCAACTTGTCCACGGTCTCAAAGCTTGGATCTAGGACTCCAAGCCAGGCAATCTAACTCTATAACAGGCACCCAGCACACAACTCCATCTAAACTACCCTACCTCCACCTCACCAACAAATAAGTAAACAAATTTCTTGTCTCATGACTCAAACATCCTGTCAGATTCTGATTTATAAATATTTTGGAGGGATACAAAGTTGTCTTCTCCCCTGCTTTTTCAAGTTTTCTAAATAGTATAAAAATTAAGTTGAAACTAAACTTCAGCTACTTGAGATATCATTCATCTAGACCTCACACATTATAAGAATATCAGATACAAGTGGGTATGCTTACTGGCAGATTTGGAAAATTATATACGTTTTTGATCTCTGGTATGCTGGATACAGTGTGATGTTTTTTAATTATTTGGTTTAAAAAATATAAAGAATAAAATGACTATGAAACTCACGTGCACAGAATAACAAAGGAACAAGGGAATAATTCCTGATGCTGAAGACAGCATTTTAGTACTCGATCATCATTGTTCTCATCACTCAATCCATCTGCAAATTTAGTAAAGACAACCATTAATAAGTACTCTAGAAATGTGGGTGCCACAGAAATAATCTAGGCTGTATTTACAAATCACAAATATACAGAGATTTAAGTTACTTAGGTATGATACTATGATGGTAGACACAAGTCATTATACATTTGTCCAAATCCACAGAGTGTACAAACGCCAAGAGTGAACCTAACATAAACTATGAACTCTGGGTGGTAATGATGTGTCAATGGAGGTTCATCAATTATAGCAAAGGTACCACACCAGTGAAGGATACTGATAATCGGGAAGCTATGCTTGTGTCGGGGCCGGAAGTATGTGGAAAATCTTGATGTCTTTTGTGCAATTTTCCCATGAAGCTATAACTACTCTCAAAAAATCTATTAAAAATATATGTATCTCAGCCAGGTACAGTGGCTCACGCCTGTAATCCCAGCAATTTGGGAGACTGAGGCAGGTGGATCACTTGAGGTCAGGAGTCTGAGACCATCCTGGCCAACATGGTGAAACCCCCATCTCTACTAAAAATACAAAAATTAGCCAGGCTTTGGGGCAGGAACCTGCAATCCTAGCTACTTGGAGTCTGAGGCAGGAGAATCACTTAAACCCGGGAGGCAGAGGTTGCAGTGAGCTGAGATCACACCACTGTACTCCAGGTGAGACTCCAACTCAAAAAAAAAAAAAAAAAAAATATATATATATATATATATATATATATGAGTGTGTGTGTGTGTCTGTGTGTGCTACTGTGATATATGTCTTCTCTTATATATATGAAAGAAAAAACTTTCATATATTAAAAAAAAAAGAATCCACATGTAGCTAGTGGCTACTGTACTGCACGGTGCAGGTGTAAGGGAACCCTCTGCAGATTTCTAGAGCTCTCTTTTTCTTAAGAAGCTCTCTCCTCTTAAATACTCTGCCCCACAAATTCTAGCTGCCTTGGCTTCTCATCCCTACCTCTATCTCCTCAATTCAAGATTGCCAGCTCTGTATGCATCTCCCTCCCTACCTTGTGCTACCTTCTTAGTCCCACCCGAGTCCTGCTGACAAAAAAAAAAAAAACAAAAAAAAGAAAAAACTTTAAAAGATGAAGACAAGAAAGTAAAATAATTTTTTTAAACTCTAAATCTAAAATTCACATAGCATATACTTGTAGATTTAATGTGGTTAGTTCACTAATAGAATGGACTAGGATATGGCTATTAGTAAACTCAAAGGAAAGAAATGTGATCAGAAGGCTAAGTGTCAGATCAGAAACCATAAACTATGAACTCTAGTATCAATTCAGTCACTTACAGATTATAAGTAACTTAACATTTTCTCAGCTTAAGAAGTCTGTGAACTAATAAGCAATTGTTCTACCAGCAACTGAACTAGTTCCTGTGTCTGCTCTTCCTTAATCTCTAAAGCAATACAAGTAGAGATATACAGGAGAAAGAAATATGAGCCCTAGGCAGGTAATGTAAAAAGTAATTCCTAACAAATATTAATCAGTTGCTAACAGGTTGTCCTCTGGCATTCTCTAAGCCTCAAAACCTGTAGCAAAAATTCCGTTTTTGTAAAAATAATGCAGGCCAGTTGGGGTGGTGCCTATAATCCCAACATTTTGGGAGGTTGAGGCAGGAGGATCGCTTGAAGTAAGGATTCCAAGATCAGTCTGGGCAACACAGAGAGACTCTGTGTCTATAAAACAACAAGAACAACAACAAAATAGCCAGGTTCAGTGGCACACTTCTGCAGTCCTGTAGTCCCAGCTACTCAGGAGGTTCAGGAAAGAGGATCACTTGAGCTCAGGAGTTCAAGTCTACAGTGAGCTATGATCATGCCACTGCACTTCAGCCTGGGTTCAGGGTGCAACCTCATCTCTAAAAAAAATTAAGAATAAAACAGGCCAGGCTCGGTGGCTCATGCCTATAATCCCAGCATTTGGGGAGGCTGAGGCAGGCAGATCACGAGGTCAGGAGTTCAAGACCAGCCTGGCCAATAAGGTGAAACCGCATCTAAACTAAAAATAAAAAATTAGCCAGGCATGGTGGCACGTGCCTGTAGTCCCAGCTACTCTGGAGGCTGAGGAGAAGAATCCCTTGAACCCAAGAGGCAAAGGTTGCAGTGAGCTGAGATCACGCCACTGCACTCCAGTCTGGGAAACAGAGCAAGATTCTGTCTCAAAAAAAAAAAAAAAAATTAAGACTAAAATAATAATAATAATAATGCAATGTGTAGAGTTAGGACAAAAGATAGTATTTCCCATACTACCTACCTGAGAACTCCCTAGCATACTTAATAATACAGAATGCAGGACCACACCCCAAATATATTTCTGGGTAAGATTCCATGAGGCCTGGACCCAGACACAAATGTAGGCTCTCAGCCAGTCTCTTATACACTAAAATTTAAGACATACTAGCCAATCAGTCTGAATCTTCTTCCCAGTTTATCATCATTTTTCTCTCTACTTCTGACCTATGTTACTTAGTCCTCTAATCCTTCAAATTAGAAAACTCATTCATTCATGCAATGAATATGTATATAGGGCGTAATTTGTGCCAGATCCCCATGCTAAGCAGCTGGATGTGCAAAGACAAACTCTTTGGGAGTTCACAATGATGAAATCTAGACACAGTTCACTATGTCAGGACATGAGCACAAGGAAGATGGGATTACATTTCTTGATCAAACGACCAGTAAACCAGACATACATATATCACAGTAGCCAATTTTACTGAAATTCAGAGAGTCAATGCCATGAATAGTGCAAAATGTGTAATTCAAACTCATTAGTTAACTCTAAACAATTCCACAGATAAAAGGAGGATTAAAGGTAACAGTGTACTGCTCTAAAGGTATCAAAGTTCAAGATTATCAGTAGTACCACTTTTTCTAAGATATATGGAGCTGAAAAGTATACTTAAATGGTAAGACTATTCATGAAATATGTAATTATTCAAAAAATACTCTTGAGCATCTGTACAGGTACTGTTCAAAAGTGAACAAAATAAAGACTCTGGAAACAGACCAGTCTGGGTTTGAATCCTTGTTTTCCCACTTACTAGGTATGTATCCTTGGGTAGTTTTTAATCATGAAGAGTAAATGAGAATGTATATAAAGTACTTGGCCCAGTGTATGGCAATAGTGAATGCTTGAAAGTACCATGTGCTTACTACTTACGACTCAGCTTGGCCAGGCACGGTGGCTCACTCCCAAATCCTAGCACTTTGGGAGGCCGAGGTGGGCAGATCACTTAAGGTCAGGAGTCTAAGACCAGACTGACCAACATGGTGAAACCCCATCGCTACTAAAATATATATTAAAAAAAAGAAATTAGCCAGGCATGATGGCACATGCCTGTAATCCCAGCTACTTGGGAGGCTGAGGCAGGAGAATCACTTGAACCTGGGAGGCAGGGGTTGCAATGAGCCAAGATCACGCCATTGCACTCCAGCCTGGGCAACAAAAGTGAAACTCCATCTCAAAAAAGTAAAAAAAAAAAAAATTTAAAAATTAAAAAGATTCAGCTTAAATGGCACAATATCAATGATCTCTACTCATACAGAATTAAAAAAATAAATTATATATAAATTATAGTTATTAAGATTTTTAATATTTAATAGAATTTAATCTCCTCAACAGCAGGGTTTATCTTTCTCATTCACTGTTACAGGCCCAACACTTGGAACAGTGGTACAAATACTGGGCAAACAAATGAATCAATAAAAATACAATAAAATACAGAACAAATGTCTGATTGAGGGAGTAGCAGATAACCATCTTTTGTCTTTCATTATTTTTAACCTTATTAATAAAAACATATACAATTTTATTGACTGGGTGTGGCAGTTCACGCCTCTGGGCCAAGGGAGGCCAAGATGGGTGGATCACCTGGGGTCAGGAGTTCGAGACCAGCCTGGTTCGAGACCCCCTCTACTAAAAATACAAAACTCAGCCAAGAGTGGTGGTACACACCTATAACCCCAGCTACTCAGGAGGCTGAGGCACAAAAAGCACTTGAACCCAAAAGGCAGAGGTTGCAGTGAGCTGAGATCACACCATTGCACTATAGCCTGGATGACAGAGCAAGACTCTATCTCAAAAAAAAAAATTCTTTAAAATTCTGGAAAACACAGAAAATATAAAGAAAATTAAAATAACTGATAAATCCACCAGGTAAATATCACCTCTATTCATCACTAATAAGCATATGTACATAATTAAATAAATTTAGAATTATACTTCATATATTTTTAATCTTATGTGTGTTTTTATTTAAAATGATATATCATTAATGTTTTTCAAATATAGTGTCCTCTTGTGTGGCTATAGCAATATATGTAACTTTTCCAAGTGTTATACTGGTTGATTCTAATTTTTTATTGTTATATAAATAATGCTATAATGAACATTATTTATATTAATAACTGCCTGCATCTCTTACTTTTTTTAGGATACATTTCTAGAAAGATAATTACTATCCTTAGGCTTATTCAAGCACATTGCTAAATACTGCTCTTCTACAAAGTTACCAATTCAAAATCAAAGCAGTGCAGCACTGTGAATCTTCCTAGCAGGTTGGGAGAGTGTAGCTTTCTAAACTTAGAAGCAATAAAAAGAAATCAGACATTTAAAAAGTGATAGATGAGTCTTATCAATCTGTATAAGCTTTCCATATAATGAGGACAGAAGAGAATCATTGTCTATTCTGAATCATAAGCTATTAAAAGTAGTTTAATACATTAACTCAACCACTCTTCACAACCATTTTATGACACGGAAGTTATTTCCTCTCATTTCATTTATTCAGTTTCTTCACTTTAACTTTCCCCAGGTTATCTTATAAACCCAAGTTGATCATATTTCAAATCCTATGTTCCTCTCACTATAATAAATACTATAGCAAATAAATACAATTTTGAAAATAGTTAAGGACAAAGCTAAAATTATAGTCAACTAAAGCTGCTCGACACAGACCATCTGCACTCAAAATTCATAAGCATTATATCTGGAACATACTAAGAGCTAATAAATATTTGTTTAGATAATGAATGAATGGTAGAGACCCTTTTTTCTTCAAAATTTTAAGACTAAACAAAAATTTAACACTAAAACAATTCAGCTTAAGATGAATCTAATCGTAGCTTTTAAAGCCTTATCATAGTTGATACCAAAAAAAGATTCCTCTTTTTTTTTTGAGATGGAGTTTTGCTCTTGTTGCCCAGGCTGGAGTGCAATGGTGCAATCTTGAGTCACCACAACCTCCACCTCCTGGGTTCAAGAGATTCTCCTGTCTCAGCCTCCTGAGTAGCTGAGATTTCAGGCATCCGCCACCACGCCTGGATAATTTTGTATTTTTTACTAGAGATGGGGTTTCTCCATGTTGGTCAGGCGGGTCTCAAACTCCCAGCCTCAGGTGATCCGCCCGCCTAGGCCTCCCAAAGTGCTGAGAGTACAGGCATGAGACACCATGCCTGGCCTGGATTCCTCTTAAGATGAATTCTTTCAAATCTTATGGTGAATATGGGTGCAGTAGACAGTACAAGTCCATGGTATTTAAAGTAATGTAAACTTATATATATAAAGAATTCTGAGCTGGGAAGAAACAAATTTTTAGAGAATGAAATAAATCTTCTAAATAGATATATAAAACTTCACAGAAAAAACAGTATTCTTTTACATATATTTTTCCATAAAATTATATAAAACATAAAGAACATAGCTTCTAAGACTAAAGCCATTTTTTAAATGACTTAAAAGAAACTAATAAGGAAAAAAATTAAATGAGGGGAAAATCCATAAACATTTATTGTAAAAACACAACCTTATTACCAATTCTGACAAACCACAGTTAAACAATATCTGTCTCCACAGTACATTAACTGCATGCGGTGATATTAACAGACTAGAAACCCAGATCACTTACTTCATTCATCACTCAGCAACGCTATTTTTAAAAAAGGAGTCCAAGGTTCTATGATATAGACAAGTATGCATGCACAACTATATAGTCACTATCTGTGAAATATAGACATAACCTAAGAAAGTCTATGAGAAACAGAAAAATAGAAATTAAAGACTCCTAAACTAAGCCACAAATCATCACAATGCCCCTTCCATTTCACATTCCAATGGGTTTAGATGTTTTAAAAGTTTTGCACCACTTCCCTCCAATAATGAGTCTGCACCCAAACAAGTATTAACCAGGAGGCACCCTGAGAGAACAATACTTACAATGTTTCTGGGATGCAAGTTGTATTGATTGACCCCATAGCTTTCTATCTTGATTTTTGAGACTGTCATGGATGAAATGAATTGCAGGTATAGCTTTGTGCTGAGCGTGTTTTAGTAGTTTTCCTTCCTTCATACGATCTAGCTCTTGCATAACAACCCAGGGAATTATTAACACAAGTTTGTCAAAACCTAAAAAATACAGATTTCTTAGAATTCAACAAAAATTTATTGAGCTACTAAATGGAATTGCTGTAGGAGAGGTGAAAGCCTGAAAGCACACAGTCCCTACCTTTAAGAAATTCACAATAAATTGAGAGACAATATATCAAAAAATTGAAATTAAAAAGAGCATCATGTGTCAAAAGAATGTTAAAAAAGTAAGTACTCTTGGAGATCAAAAAAAGAGTTTAGATTGCTAATTTAACCTGTAAAAGCTTTTTTTAAACTTAGAACACCGAATGTGCTTAATGCATAGCATATCCAAATGGAGACATGTTCATGAGAAAAAAAGTCACACCACAGTTAATATAAAATATCAACTCAAGGAAGAAAATCAGAATCTTTAAAATATTCTGTAAATACCTGGTGTTTCTGTTGTCTTCAACATTCTAACAAATTTGAGATGATTCATCAGAATATTCGTATCAATAACAATTAGGAGCTTTCTGTCTGAAGTATTATTTGCTAGAGAAAAAGAGCAAAGATTTCATGACACTTGATAATAGACTTACATAATGACCAAGATTTTGATATCATAGAAGCACTGACAATTCAATTAAATTTAAAACACCTCTTTGTCTTGTTAATTGTATCAGAGATTACACCGTTGGCTAGACTCTCGAGCTGGTATCTATCTGGCCCATATCTTTGTTGCCAAGTAAATTTCTCCCCAATCAATTAAGGGTCCTCTGAACAGGAATGGCAACCCCTGTTTGGACTGGGAGTGGGGTGAAGAATCATCTAAGTCCAAAGAGGCAGAGAAGGTAAGGCCTGGCAAAGCAGAAATACACAGGAAACCTAGGGCCAAGACTGTGAAGAACCAGCCAAGGAGAATGTTTTTGATAGCATTCTTAAGAGAAGTCCTTTAGACAATAAACACAAAACTGTTTTTACTTCAATTCTTAAGAGAGAATAGTAATCAATGTTTAATTACCCACTAGTAGAATATTATAAATTCCTTATAAGTGGATTTTCAATGATAAACTGACTTGCCTGGGAATTAACTATGTTTCTAACATCTGTCATGGATCACTGGTAGTTGTGCACTTAGTAATTATAAGCTAATTTTAACATATTCTGAGTGAACATAATTAAAAGATAAATATGTGTAAAAGAAAATACGTAATAATACTAGCATTGTTACTGCATAGGATCATATTGCACAACTATCTGATCAACAATCAGATAAGTTAATGCAAAGGAAAACACCTGAAAGATTAAAACTGCAATGTGAATGTAAGGTAGCATTACTATTTTTTTTCTTTTTTTTGAGATGGAGTTTCACTCCTGTTGCCCAGGATGGAGTGCAGTGGCTCAATCTTGGCTCACTGCAAGCTACACCTCAGCTTCCCAAGTAGGTGGGATGACAGGCATGCGACCTGCTAATTTTTCATATTTTTAGTAGAGACGGAGTTTCACCATGTTGGCCAGGCTGGTCTCGAACGCCTGACCTCAGGTGATCCACCAACCATGGCCTCCCAAAATGGTGGGATTACAGGCGTGAGCCACCATGCCCAGTCAGCACTACAATTTTTAAAAATAGAATTTGAAATAGTATACTGACAGATTTTGGGTAACCTTCTCCCAGTAGCAAAAAAATGATCAAAATTTTACATGAACAAGAAATTCAGGATCCAAGATGGCCGATCACTAACAGCTCGGGATTGTAGCTCCCAGTGAAAGCTCAAAGAACCAGACGATGCCACACTTTTAGATGAATTTTCATCACTCACGGATCAGCCGATTCCTAGTGGAGGAGCCCCACGGGTCGCCAGCGCGACTCTTGTGACCGCCGCAGCGGCAAAGCCGGCGCCTCTGCGCAGCAGCTCTTCATGCAGAGCAAACAGGACTGCTTCCCCTACTGACTGGAGTTTGGAGCTCCGGGAAGTCAGAGCCGCTTGTTGCGGACTCAAGAGGGAAGCCAGACCAGAGATTCCCGGGCAGAAGAGCACCATCAGTCTTATCGCTGCTATTTAGGCCGCCACAGTGGGTTGCTCGGATCCCAGCACTGGGAATCAATAAATCGGACATCGACTCATAAACCTAATTAGAAAGGCGGTTCATCTACAATGAAGGGAAAAAAACAGCCTAAGAAGGCCGAGTATACCCAAAATCAGAACCCATCAGCAACGGAACAAGCCCTGATGGAAAAGGACTCATCAGCAACGGAACAAGCCCTGATGGAAAAGGACTCATCAGCAGCAGAACAAGTCCTGATGGAAAAAGACTGTGTTCCATTATCTGAAGTAGGCTTTAAAAGGTGGATGATAAGAAACTTCTGTTCTAACCCAATGTAAAGAAACTAAGAACTTTGAAAAAAGGTTCGATGAAATGATGAAAAGAATAGACAATATAGAGAGGAATACAAATGAACTTATGGAGTTGAAAAATACAACACGAGAACTTAGTGAAATATGTACAAGCTTAAATAGCCGAATGGATCAAGCAGAAGAAAGGATATCAGAGGTCGAAGACCAATTTAATGAAATAAAACGACAAGAATAGAGAAAAAAGGATAAAAAGGAATGAGCAAAGTCTTCAAGAAATATGGGACTATGTGAAAAGACCTAATATACGTTTGATTGGTGTACCTGAATGTGATGGAGAGAATGAATTCAAGCTGGAAAATATTCTTCAGGATATTATCCAGGAAAATTTTCCTAATTTAGCAAAGCAGGACACTATTCAACCCCAGGCAATACAGAGAACACCACAAAGACACTCCTCAAGAAGACCAACCCCAAGGCACATAATCATTAGATTCACCAGGATCGAAACGAAGGAGAAAATATTAAGGGCAGCCAGAGGGAAAGATCAGGTTACCCATAAAGGGAAGCCTATTAGGCTTACAGCAGATCTCTCAGCGGAAACCCTACAAGCTAGAAGAGAGTGGGGGTCAATATTCAATATACTTAAAGAACAGAACTTTCAGCCCAGAATTTCATATCCTGCCAATTTAAGCTTTACAATTGAAGGAAAAATAAAATCTTTTAGGAACAAGCAAGTACTCAGAGATTTTATTACCACCAGGCCTGCCTTACAAGAACTTCTAAAAGAAGCATTATACATAGAAAGGAACAACCAGTATGAGCCTTTCTAAAAATACACCAAAAAGCAAAGAGCATTAACATAAAGAAGAATTTACATCAACGAAAGGATAAAATAGCCAGTTAATATCAAATGGCAGTAACCCTAAATTTCAATCGACTAAATCCCCCAATCAAAAGATACAGACAAAATCTAACGGTATATCTAAAGATATACAAAGACTCAAAATAAAGGGTTGGAAAAAAACTTACCAATTAAATGGAGAGCAAAAATAAATAAATAAAAAGCAGGAGTTGCAATTCTCACAATTAATAAAATAGATTTCAAAGCTACAAGGATACAAGGGTAAAAGGATTAATGTAATAATAAGAGATCTTAACACCCAGATACATAAGACCCATAATGAGATTTAGATTCAACGAGACAGAAAACTGATAACGATATCCAGACTTGAACTCAGATCCAGAACAAATAAACTCAATAGAGCTCTCCATTTTAAACACACAAAATATATATTATCCACTTTAAACACACAAAATATTGATCGGCCATTATTGATACCCATTTTAGGAATGAAGTAATATTTCTTTTTCCCTCTTTTTCTCTTTTTCCCTCTTTTTCTTTCTCTTTCTTCTTAAAAAGAAAAAAAAAGAAATTATTACCATAATTGAAATATAGAAGAGTCCCCGGACCCCAAAGTTACCCTCAGACCCCATTCTAGTCAACCACTCCCCCATTAAAAAAAAAAAAAGAAATTCATAAATATAATACTTTCAAGCAATCAGCATTCTTTCTTCTTCTTCCTTTTTTTTTTTTTTTTTTTTTTGACAAAGGGTCTTGTTCTATTGCCCAGGCTGGAATGTAGTAGCACAATCTTGGCTCACTGCAGCAACCTCCCAAGTTCAAGCAATCCTCCCACCTCAGCCTCTTGAGTAGCTGGGATTACAGGCACATGCCACCACACCTAACTAACTTTATTTTTTGTAGACACAAGGTCTCACTATGTTGCCTAGGTTGGTCTTGAACTGCTGGGTTCAAGCCATCCTCTCACCTCAGCCTCCCAAACTGCTGGGATTACAGGTGTGAACCACTGCACCACCTACTCTGCATTATTTCTGATCAGTGCTTTACCAAGTTGAAATTGTTAAAGTGAAAACACCAAGAACAAAAAACAACTCATAATTCTAATTACTGCCTCTTGACAGAAAAAGAAAGAGAAAATATATCTAACTAATAATGTGAAATATGTAAAACAAATAAGACAAATATTGGATCTAATTTCTGTAGCTAAAAAAAATACTATTACTTTATCATTCATTTCAAGTAAGCACATTTTAACATTTTTCATTTAAATATTATAAAAACTGAATATTGGCACATTAATTCTTAGGAAAGCATAGGAGAGCATAAACATAGGAAAGCAAAATATATAGGGTATACCAGAGGAAGAATGTACGTCATCTTCCACCAAGTCAATTTCCATACTCATTAACTCTCCAGGTAAATCCACACTTTTTCCCACACGTGCAGCATGAAGCTCTTCTACTATCTGCATCTAAATTGTAAAAGACCCCAGTGAAATATTTTGAGTCACTTTGCAGATTAACAAGAGAATAAAACAATTAATTATTAATTAATTCACTTGAGATGGTTTATGGAAAGAAAAAATTTTATAAAACTTAAGGTAGTATAGTAAAAGAATAAAGATTTGTAATCACACACATGGTTTTCCAAATAGTTTTCTTCTTACCTTTGTAACCTTATGTAAGCAAACTAACAACTTTGGGTCTCATTTTGTTAATCTACAAAATAGGAATATTTAAACTCTATTTCCTTTAGGATTTTTGTGAGGAATAAAGGAAATAAGCTAGGTGAAGCTCCTTGCACAGAGCCAAATACCTAGACATTAAAATAAGTTAATTCTCACTTCATTTTAAGAGTCAAATTTTTTTTATCTTGACAATGAGCAATCTTCTTGAGATTTCTAAGACTGGTTATGAACCATCATAAACTGAAATCTAGATCTTAAAACCACACAGAAATACTTCTCTGATGTATTCTGACACAAAAAAATGAAAATACAGTCTAGCTTTAGGTCAGAGGTGAGAAACCCTTCTTCTATCAAGGAGCACCTCAAAACACAAAAATACAATTGACTGTCACAAATAAAAAGCAATTAATATAGTCTGAAAGTCTTCTTTAAATAGAAAATTACAAAGTGTTCCATGAATTGAATCTTAACTTGGGACAAGTGAACATAGAATTCTATGAAGGTCAATCAGGGGACTATAGCTGGGAAATGAAGCAACAGGTAAAAAGATAAAACACTCGTGTACTCTTGTTTTCATTTAATAATGTTTTCACCTTATTGATGATTTTTAAAATGAAGTAAAAACATGTTAATGTCCTACCAAATTTTGGTAACCCTAGGCATAAACAGGGAAAGTGTCATAATAGTAAATCAAAATTCAGATTATTTGTGGGCCCCTGGTTTCATGCTCTTTGTTCACAACAGATAACCTTACTAGAAACAAAAGTAAAAAGTCCTAAAGTATTTTCTGAATAGTTTTGGATGACTTCATAAAACCTTACATATTGATTTAGAGACATCATTGTAATTTTCATTTTATCAAGGTTTCTACAGTCATTATTTTTTATTAAAAGTAGAAGCTGTTTGACTTAATTTCATTAAAAATATCAAAGTAAATAAGAATATCAGTAACCTCTTGATCTGTATCCTGGATAGTTTCAGTTGACACTGAAGAACATGGTGCTTCAAAACTCTGAAATGAAAGTAATTTCATTAGCTAAGAATAAAGCGTAACCTAGAATAGGGTTTTTCAACCTGGTCACTATTAACCTTTGGGGTCAGACAATTCACTTTAGGGGTTGTCCTGTGCATTGTAGGATGTTTAGAAGCATAACTGACCTCTATCCTCCAGATGTCAGTGGCACTACCCACCTATCCCTACTCCCAATCTTTTCTTTTTTAAAAAAGACGGGGTATCACTCTGTCATGCAAGCTGAAGTGCAATGGCATGATCATGGTTCACTACAGCTTCAACCTCCCAGACTCAAGCAATCCTCCTGCCTCAGCCACCCAAGTAGCTGGGACCACAGGTGTGCCAACATACGTGGCTAATTATTGCATATTATGTAAAGATGGGGTTTTGCCATGTTAGCCAGCCTGGTCTCAAAACTCCTAAGCTCAAGTGATTCACCCACGTCAACCTCCCAAAGTGTTAGGATCACAGGCATGAGCCAGCACCAGCCCCACACCAATCTTGACAATCAAAAATGTCTCCTGGCATTGCCAAATGTCTTCTGAGGGGCAAAATTACCTCCAGATGAGAAACTAACCCTAGAAAAGAGAAGTCCCATTCTATCAAGTCATGAAACATGGTAGAATTCCTCATATACAGATTCATAAAAATGCTATATTCTAAGAATAAAACAACATGCCACCCTAAAAAAAAGAGAAATGAATGCAAAGGTAAACAAGTTGGCCTTCAGTGGTGAAAAATTTTCATCCATAAGTAACTAAGCCATTTCTACAAGTGACACAATAAAACAACAGAAGGAATTGAGGCTAAGAAGGAAAAGCTGAAAAATGCATGATTATATTATATGTAGTTAGAGTACCAGGGGTCTGTGCTTCATTTTCTGTCTTCAAACAAAGTTTGAAAATCTCTCTCCAAATTCCAATTTTCCACTGGCAACTCTGCTGAGTGAACGAGACCTACCTGACCCTACATACAGGTGACAGGAAGCTCAGCAAAAGAACAACTGAACTAAATAATCTTCTAAGAATTCTCCAAGCTAACATGTATTTTACAGAAAGCTAGTTCTGGTATAAACTACAAAAACTCTTTTTTCTTTTTTTGAGACAGAGTCTCACTCAGTTGCTCAGGCTGCAGTGTAGCGGCATGATCTGAGATCACTACAACCTCTACCTCCTGAGTTCAAGCCATTCTTCTGCCTCAGCCTCCCGAGTAGCTGGGACTACAGATGTGCGCCATCACACCTGGCTAACTTTTGTATCTTTTGTAGAGACAGGGTTTCACCATGTTGGCCAAGCTGGTTTCAAACTCCTGACCCCAATTGATCTGCCCACCTCGGCCTCTCAAAGTGCTGGGATTACAGGTGTGAGCCACTGCACCCACCTAAATGCTCTTTCGACAATTACATCACATGGAGAAATACTTCACTGAAAATTCAGCTTCCGCCCTAACTTTCCGGCTAAATACTTTACTGGGAATTCAGCTTCCACCCAACATCAAACTTCACACGATATAATAACATATACTTCACACACATAGGCTCATTACAGTTTTACTATTCCATGACCCTGAGATTCAGAATCCCTTCTCCATGTAACTTTAAATCTTACTGATCACTGGGCACTGTGGCTCACATCTGTAATCCCAGCTCTTAGGGAGGCAGAGGTGGGAGGATAGGTTGAGCCCAGGAGTTCGAGACCTGCCTGAGCAATACAGCGAGACCCCATTCTCCACAAAAAGGAAAAAAAAAAAAAAAGACAAAAAAAAATCTTACTGATCTTTAACGTTCTCTTTAAGAAATGCCAGAGGTTATTATCAGAACTTCTTGTGGCTTTTGACATTCTACATCTCTTTATTCTCTTCCTTTGGTTCCTGTAATATTACTTTTCTCTCTGTCCATGGGCCACCTCCAGTGACTTCAATGAAGTTTCTAACACCCAACAATCCAGAAAAGTTAATGCATTTAACTGTTTGCCTCCCCTACCATACTTTATTAAACACATAAGTTGGGATAAAGCCTTTCCTGAGGATGACAAAAGGGAGTATCATAACGCAGATAATAACGGTTTTATCTACCGAAGTGATTCCAAATGGAAAACACAATTATATTATTTCCCTGACTGTAGTTCAGTGGCTCTCTTCCATCTACAAGATACAAGATAAAAACGTTTCTCTCCCATGAAATACAAAATCATCCATTGTCTAGAGATCCTGGCTTTCTCTCCAACATCCTTTCCTATAGATTCTCTACCCATCTTGACTCTAGTGATACTGACAACCTATGTGCTCGTGTACCTTTCTGCCCATGCAATTTCACAACTCTGTGCCATTACACACACTGGCCCCCTACCCTAGCTGGATAATATTTCTATTCTTCACTCCACATGTCCTTCGAAATCAGGCTTTAGAATCACCACTTTAGTGAGCCCTTCTTTAACTCACCCAGAGATTTATACTAATATCACACCCAATTATTAGGACTCTGATATTTACTTCAATATAGTATAATCATATTTTTTTTACTTACTAATATGACTCCTTGGGAACTTCTTGAGGCTAACAATCATCTTACTCATCTCTAAATCCCTAGCATCTAGGAAATTGTCTGATACATAATAGGTAACTTTAATAGATGTTTGATAAAGGAATAAATTCCTACCTTATAGCCTTTTAAGAATTAAATTGGATGCTGTTTTTAAAAGTGGTCTACAGGCCAGGCGTGGTGGCTCATGCCAGTAATCCCAGCACTTTGGGAGGCCTAGGCAGGCAGATCACAAGGTCAGGAGTTTGAGACCAGCCTGATCAACATGATGAAACCCCATCTCTACTAAAAATACAAAAAAATTAGTCAAGCATGGTAGTGCATGCCTATAATCCCAGCTACTCAGGAGGCTGAGGCAGAAGAATCACCTGAACCTGGCTGGTAGAGGTTGCAGCGAGCCAAGATTGCCCCACTACACTCCAGCCTGGGCGACAGAGTGAGACACTGTCTCAAAAAATAAAAAAAAAAGTGATCTATAAACCATAAATATCTAGGACACTAATGTTCAGTGAAGGGGAGGTTTTCAATTTGAGAGGAATCTGTATCAAAGAACTATAAAACCTAAGAAACAAAAGAAGTTATTTTTTCTTTAGAAAGCATAAGAGGATTACTAAATCCAGAAAATACAATTATTTTCCTTGTCGAGTACACTCATTATTTTAGGATAATAATAACCTATTGAAGAATTAGTGGGTAAAACATAAACACAAACATGGTATTAAGATGATTATCTGCTGTCAATAATATGCTGAAGATAATATACATAACATAAGGACAATATTTACTTGTAGAGTCTGAATTCCAATAAGTGGAAAGTGATCAGGCAAAAACTGCTTCTTTTGCAACTTAATATTCTTGCTATGTACCTCTTTTGGTTTGTGTAGTAATTCTACACAAAGACCAAAAGAAACTATAAGATGCACTGCAGAGATTTCTCATACCATTCCTTATATGTACAGCACAACAGGAAAACCAGGCAATGACACAATGATGATCACTGAACATACTGGCAACTTCAAGTTCCTTTCTTTCATTCTACTCTACAGAAATGGTTATAACACAAGAAGAAAAACTGGAGGAGGTTCTTTCCTTTAAGAAAGCAGTGAAAACAAAGTCAATTCAAACTCAATTCTTGCCCTCTTTGGGCCCCTTCAAGTTTACTTAAGCTAAAAATATTCACTCCCATGCTCTTCGGGCCTCCTTAGTTATAATTCCTCCATTTTTTCCTAAGAAATATTTTATCATTGCAATTCACAGTCTTAATAGCTAAAAGCAGGTAGGCTTAACCATCCCTGTTTATCAGTGGTCTCTAAGTTTCAGAATCTATGAAGTTCTAAAGTTCTGAGGTTCCACAGTTCTAAAAAGTTCTCATAAAGGTAAGTAACTTTATCTACCATAGAAATGAAGTTATAGAGATTAGGTTCTCAAAGTAGTCCACAAATGCCAGTTACATTACATAATATTAAAGCAAAATAGACATGCCAAGCTTTCAAGCCTAGATCCCTGCTCATGTAGCTCCCTCTGCCTAAAATATCCCTGCTTCTCCCATTCCACCTCATTTCACCTCCAGCTAACTTCTACTGATTCTTTAGGTCTGTTTACATGTTACTCCCTCCGGCCTCCAGTAAACCGTTTTTTTGTTTGTTTGGTTGGTTTTTGTTTTTTTGTTTTGAGACAAGGGTTCCTTCGGTCACCTAGGTTGGAGTGCAGTGGCATGATCAGCTCACCATAACCTTGAATTCGTGGGCTCAAGTGATCCTCCCATCTCAGCCACCTGAATAGCTGGGACCAGAGACTCACACCATCACACCCAGCCAATTTTTAATTTTTTGTAGACACCCATCTCAGTATGTTACCCAGACTGGTCTTGAATTCCTGGCCTCAGGCAATATGCTTGCCTGAGCCTCCCAAAATACTGGGATTAACCAGCATGAGCCACCGTACCCAGGCCCCTCCAGTATACCTTTCTAAACTAATTCTTCCATGATGTACAAAAGCTGTATTAATCCCTGCTGTATATTCTCTTAAGTGATAGGTATTTTACTTTCATATTTAAGGAAATTCCTTGTGTCTCTCCTCACCTGAATAAGTCCCTGAAAATAGCTGTGTTATCTCTTACAAGCTATTTTATTGCAGTGCCTGGCACACAGTGACACTGAAAAAAATAATCTGTTTAAAGACTATTCAGAATATTGTCCCAAGTGTTCTCCAGCATACAGTACTTTTTCCAAAGGACTATCTGTAACTGCTTCTCACCACATTTTTACACATTCCCTTCTATTATGAATCTTTAATATCTCCCAAAATATCTTCCTAAAAAAATTGGAATTAAAGAGAGTAAAATAAAGAAACCAACATGTATCTTCATGAATAAATTTGAATCAGCCATCTATGATTGTCATCAGTAATAGAAACAACTAAAAAGGCCAGGTGCAGCGGCTCACACCTGTAATCCCTGCACTTTGGGACGCCAAGGTGGGTGGACTGCTTGAGCCCAGAAGTCCAAGACCAGCCTAAGCAATATGCTGAAACCTCATCTCTACAAAAATACCAAAGTTAGCCCAGTGTGGTGATGTGTGCCTATAGCCCCAGCTACTGGGGAGGCTGAGGCAGAAGGATTGCTTGAAACTAGGTCAAAGTTGCAGTGAGCCAGGATCGTGCCACTATACTCCAGGTTGGGCAACAGAGTAAGACCAGCTCTCAAAAATAAAAAAATTGCAGAAAAAGCTTAACTATATTAATAAACTCTAAGTTAAAACCTTATAATCCTCATTTGTTACCACCTTACCTGGATTAGGTTTTCACTAGAACATGAATCATTACTTTTTTGATGGTCATAATGATGTTTTCGTTTCCACTCATGAACAGTCTCCTTATATGTGGAATCTGAAAGTAATTGTTCAGTTTTCTGCCTAGTCACAGTTGATGAAACCTGGGAGCTTTCCAGGTATTGTTTTTCTTCCTGCTTAGTCTTCGACTTGTTAGAATCTAAACTGAAGACATTTTCTTCTACAAGTTTCTGGAGGGTGTCACGGGATTTTATAGGGATTTTGAAACTGATCTTCCGTCTTCTAGATTCCAAGGGTTCCTTAATCATCTTGTTGGAATTATAATCCTGAGAAAATTGGTTTCTCTTCCATTTCTCTAAGACACATTTTTCAGAATTTCCTCTAAATTTATTGTCAGTTTCTTTCCTGAGTTCTTTCATCTTCTCTCTCTGAATAAGTAAATGAGACCACTTATTTTCACTTGCCTGGCCTTCAGCTTTGGGTTTCACATCACTGGCAATCTGAGGACTACTAAGGCTTTTAATTTCAGGGTCAAACTTGCTCCTAGCATTTGTTAATTTGATATCTTTAGGTTTAAAATCTACACATTTACGTATGTCCTTTTTAGTTCCATTTGAAGAAGGACCCTGTGAAATAATTTGATTATCATTTGAATATGATGCTTCTTGGAGTTTAATAGGTCCTTGGGATGAAGAACTGATTTTTGGTCTCTTTCTGAGAATGTCAATTTTTATATTCAATCTGTAAAACAGCACAGAAACCCAGGTTACATTATAATTATACATAATGTTGCACTCTATCATTTTACTTAGAAATAACAGAATTAGGCTGACACTAAGCTTCATAAAAAGTAAGAAATAGCTACATTAAGAATGAAGTGGAAATGATTACTCACTAAATGGTGTTAGTTTGCTATTTGGAAAAAAAAAGTTACAACTATAAATAGTACCAAACAACATATTCCAAATAAACACTTAAGTGTAAAATAATTATTATCATAATAATTTTGTACTTTATATTAAACCTTTAAAAACTAGCAAGAAAAAAGAGAATACAGCCAAGCATGGTAGCTCATGCCTATAATCCCAGTACTTTGGGAGGCCAAGGCAGGTAGATCATGAAGTCAAGAGATCGAGACCATCCTGGCCAATGTGGTGAAACCACGTCTCTACTAAAAATACAAAAAATTAGCTGGGTGTGGTGGCTCACGCCTGTAGTCCCAGCTACTTGGGAGGCTGAGGCAGGAGAATCACTTGAACCCAAGAGGCAGAGGTTGCCATGAGCCGAGATCGTGCCACTGCACTCCAGCCTGGCATCAGAGCAAGACTCCGTCTCAAAAAAAAAAAAAACAAAACAACTCTATGTCTGATTTTTTTTTTTTTTTTTTTTGAGATGGAATCTCACTCTGTAGACTAGGCTAGAGTGTAGTAGTGCAAACATGGCTTTCTGCAGCTTCAACCTTCCAGGCTCAAGCAATCCTCATACCTCCCAGACTACCACGTAACTAGGACTACAAGTGCATGCCACTGTGCCTAGCTAATTTTTGTAATTTTTTTGTAGAGACAAGGTTTTGCCATGTTGCCCAGGCTGGTCTCAAACTCCTAGGCTCAAGAGATCCACTTGCCTTGGCCTCTCAAGGTGCTAGGATTCCAGGTGTGAGCCACTGTACCAGGCCTATCTGATTTCTCGTTTGCTTTTTTTGAGACAGCGTCTCACTTTGTCACCCAGGGTGTAATGTAGTGGTGCAATCTTTGCTTACTCCAGACTCAATATACCAGGCTCAACAGATCCTCCTACCTCAGCCTCCAGAGTAGCTAGAACTATAGGTACACACTATCACATACAGCTAATTTTTTCTTTTTTCTGAGATGGAGTCTCCCTCTGTTGCCAGGCTGGAGTGCAGTGGTGTGATCTCAGCTCGCTGCAACCTCTGCCTCCTGGGTTCAAGCAATTCTCCTGTCTCTGCCTCTCAAGTAGCTGGGACTACAGGTACGTGCAACCACGCCCAGCCAATTTTTGTATTTTTAGTAGAAACAGTTTCACCATGTTGGCCAGGATGGTCTCAATCCTTTGACCTTGTGATCCGCCCGCCTCAGCCTTCCAAAGTTCTGGGATTACAGGCATGAGCCACCGCACTGGACCAATTTTTGTATTTTTTTTGTAGAGATAGGGTTTTGCCATGTTGCCTAGGCTGGTCAAACTCCTGGGCTCAAGAGATCTGCCCACTTTACCCTCCCCAGTATGCTGAGGCTACAGGCATGAACCACTACACCTAGCCTCATTTCTTAATAGAGAACTTCCTAAATGTAAAAACAGTGGGAGAAATAACAAAGGAAAACACTGATAATATGTGACTATTTACTTTAAAACTTTAGCATATTAAAAATTAATAAAAATTAAAAGAACTAGGAAATATTATTTGTTAGATAATTAATTTAAAGCTAAATAAAATTTTAATAAGCTTACTAGCCTTAGTAGATAAAAAGCTCATCAAAAAGGACTAAGATTCTGGAATAGGGCATAAACAGAAATTTAATAAAAGAAAATAGCTAAAAAACATTTGAAAAAAGTTTGTCTTCTCTAGTAACCACAGACAATGCTACGGATAATAATAGCATCCCATTTTCTTCTATTGAATTAGCAAAGACTTTACAATAACATTAAATACCAGCGAGGGGTGGTAAAATGGACTCTCACATGTCACTGGTGGAAATGTAAAAGAACCTAACAGTTCTACAAAGAAATCTTAATATAAATTAGAAACTCCAAAAATAGTCATTTTTATGTCTGAAATTCCTATTTTAGAATTGGTATAGCCAAGGTGAAAAAATCAGATATGAAAAAAAATATTAAAAGATATTCAATTCAGGATCACTTATAATAGCAAAACAATCAGGTACAGCTGGGCACAGTGGCTCACGCCTGTAATCCCAGCACTTTGGGAGGCCGAGGCGGGTGGATCACGAGGTCAACAGATCGAGACCATCCTGATCAATATGGTGAAACCCCATCTCTACTAAAAATACAAAAAATTAGCTGGGCATGGTGGTGCACACCTGTAATCCTAGCTACTCGGGAGGCTGAGGCAGGAGAATTGCCTGAACCCAGGAGGCAGAGGTTGTAGTGAGCCGAGATCGCGCCATTGCACTCCAGCCTGGGTAACAAGAGTGAAACTCTGTCTCCAAAAAAAAAAAAACCAATCAGGTACAAAGTAACTACTAAAATTTTGGAAGTGACTTTAAAAAGTGATATATTCATATGATGAAATAGCAGTTTTTTAAAAGGATGTTTATGAAAAGTCTTCAGTGATATAAAACACATTGAAAAGCAAAAAACAAGCATGATACAAATCTGTACACATAATATGATCTCAACATTTTAAACAAGCATGGTAAAAAGGCCAGAGAGAAATGTGCTAAAATGTTAGAAACAGCAATAACAAGAGGTGATAATTATATTTTCCTGCTTAATAAAAGTAGACATTACTTTGTAGTCAGAAAAAAAAGGGGAAAAATGTCAATCAAACACAATCTATTAATTTATATCAGTAGGCACCTGAGAGCCAGTAGAGGACAGATCAGATAGGGTGTTTACCCTGAATTAGATTATATCCCAGCAAAAGAGAAACACTAAACAAGTGATTTCTCAAATAATTAATTATGTCAGAACAAACTATAAATAGAGGTTTTATAGGAGTCTCACCTGAGTTTTCATCATATATGCATGCATGAATGTATGTATGTCTTCTTTTGTTTGACAGAGTCTCAATCTATCACCCAGGCTAAAGTACAGTGGCAAGATCAAACTGCAGCCTGGAAATCGTGGGTTCAGATGATCCTCCAGGGTCAGCCTCCCAAGTAGGTAGGAATACAGGCATGTGCCGCCACAACACTCAGCTAATTTTTAAAAAACTTTTTGTAGGCTGGGTGTGATGGCTAATATAATTCCAGCATCTTGGGAGGCAGAGGTGGGCAGGTCGCTTGAGCTCAGGAGTTTGAGACCAGCCTGGACAACATGGCAAAACCCCACCTCTACAAAAAATACAAAAATTAGCTGGGCATTGTAGTCCCAGCTACTCAGGAGGCTGAGATGGAAAGACTGCTTGAGCCCAGGTGTTAGAGGTGGCAGTGAGCTGCCACTCACTCACTTGTAACTAGACTCTTTTTTTCCTGCTTGAAAATTTCAATTCTCATAGTAATAGGGGAATAGAAGGAGACACTGACTTTAAGGGAACTGACGGTCACTGGGTAGATAGATGAGATTATGGAGATGTAGGCTGCAGGTAGCCACTGTTTTATTTTTAAAAGTGTGACTGTCAATCGTCTCTGGTGCTTTTCTCAAAAAAATGATTCAGGAGGCCAGGTGCGGTGGCTCACGCCTGTAATCCCAGCACTTTGGGAGGCTGAGGCGGGTTGATCACGAGGTCAAGAGATCAAGACCATCCTGGTCAGCATGGTGAAACCCTGTCTCTACTAAAAATACAAAAATTAGATGGGCATGGTGGCGCGTGCCTGTAATCCCAGCTACTCAGGAGGCTGAGGCAGGAGAATTGCCTGAACCCAGGAGGTGGAGGTTGCAGTGAGCCGAGATCGCGCCATTGCACTCCAGCCTGGGTAACAAGAGCGAAACTCCGTCTCAAAAAAAAAAAAAAAAAAAAAAAGATTCAGGAATACAAGTAGGCTCTTCTAATTACTTAAAAGAAAACAAGTGATGTCTTTCTAAGATTCCCTGTGGGAAAATGACAGTGTCAATAAAATGCAGGTTTCTGGGCCCTTTGTCTTACTTTCATTTTTTTATTACAAATTTGTCTTGATGTACCCAATTATGTATACAAATCCTTTTCTTCCTATAGAAAGAAACTGTGCCCCTTCAGAACTGCTGCATAGTCCATCACCCACCATAAAAGGTTTGGAGGGCGACTGTAAAAAGTCCCAGGTTCTAAAGTAAATATGTACAAGAATGAATGTATACATCATCTGTTTTTACATGTCTTTGCAACAAACTGTCACTTTGGTTTCCAGCAGAGGGAGCTAGAGGAATAGAGCTTCCAAATGTGGCCTCCTGTGTGGGGCCCAGAGTTAAGGGCCCTTCGTGCCAAGAGCTGTGGAGGCTCTCCTGAATGGGGCGGGGGGGAGAGGTAACGAAGAAGTGACTGAGAAACCTCCCATGCCAAAGAGACAGGAGGTGCCCAGGAAACAGCTGCTTCATGCTATTCAGGCCATGACTGGATTTAACATCAGAAGTCATTCTACAAACAGTGGTGTGCCTCAGTGTGTGCAGAGGCTAGAGAACCACCAGAAGGGGCTACCAAAGTTAGGAAGACAGAATTGTTTCAGCCAGTGACTTTAAAAGAGACCCTGATGCCTTGTGGTGCCCTTCAGAAATTCAAACAATAATGCAGAAGTGTCTGCTTTGTTTTAGAATTTATGGTGTATAAAATTTATGTTTTTAAAAAAGCTTTCCTACAGTTGGTTTCCACACCTGAAATTGTGATACTCTGAGAGTTACCTAGCTGAAAATTCAATGTTCAAATCCTACCTTGGCTCCAATTTAACATTTGGTGCTTTGTGGATTGACTCGAACTGCTGGGGCTTTGCAATTTCACTTGTGATAACAGCTCTAGCATTATTTCTATGCAATGTCTTTGAAGCAGGATTGCTTGCCTATTTCTTCTCTGCCTTTAGTGAAGGCAGTTTCTTTCAAACTTCACTGAGGCATCAATAGCTCTTTGGCAATGTCCCTTACCATGATCATTAACTGTAAGTTTTTGCCTTGAGTTTACAAATCTTACTTGTGTGTTGCACTGATGTTCCCATGTAGTAATTTTTAGTTGGTTGTGAAAAAAAAATCAATCCTGGGCTGAAGTTAGCATTTAAGTTGTTTAAAAAAAAGAAAAGAAAACTAGTCTCAGATTTTAAAACTTGTAATTAAATTGAAATTTAAAAAAATAGAAAAAAATTTTTGTGTGTGTAGAGATGAGGTCTTACTGCATTTCCCAAGCTGGTCTTGAACTCCTGGCCTCAAGCCTTCCTCCCACCTTGGCCTCTCAAAGTGCTGGGAATACAAGTATGACCCACTGTGCTCAGCTTCTTGCTTATATTTTTATTGCTAATACATTTCTAAGTATTTAAACCACAGAGCTGGAATTATGGTAATGGTGCATGTTAACTGCCTTTCCAGATGATAAAATTATCTCTAATTTTTCATCTGTATTACAGCTTTCACTATTTGCACACCTATTTCAGAAACTTCTCTAGAGTTGAATTAATAGAGAGATTTTTATAGAACACTTTATACTTTACTCTCTTACATATGGATATAAGAACAAGGGCTAAAAATGTGCCCTTAAACAAAAGGTCACTTGTTTAAGGTCAAGCAGTGTTTTAGAACTTAAAATTAAAAAAGGAAAATAAGGAGATCAGTCTAAAAGGCATTAAAATAGTTCAAAAAAATGTAGCAAGGGAGAGTCAACATAATATTTGTGCAAGAATATACTTTGAGAATAACACAGAAGCAAAGTAACACCAAAAAACAGGAGATGATTCAGAAGAAAAACTGCAGAAAAGTCAAGGGCAAGTTGAATTTTTTTTGTTTTTCATTTTTAGCAAACACTAACAGAGATTGTTTGGGAAGCAGAACTTTTAACATATAATGCCTTCTTACTTGTTTTCCCTTAACTTCCTAATTTTTGGAGAAACCTTGATGTCACCAGGTTTTATCACACATTGTAACTTTCTATACTTATTTACCACCACCATTAGCAACAAGTAATTCCTGCAGCACAAAATTCACTGAAATTTGTATCCAAAAAGTGCAAAAATTAAAGAACAATAATTTCCAATATTCTGACCATCATTCCCCAAGTTCTCTAGCTATAAGCACATTCTGGTTAATCAACATGGTTTTAGAGCCATATTAATTCTGTAAGATATGTATTCACTTCATGGGTAGTATCTGAAAATGATTTATCCAAAATTTCTAAATTAGCCTCATAACTCATCTCGCTTGCATATGTAATGAAGTTATGTATCTTATAATCATGTGCCAAAATCAAATCAGTTGAGATAAAAATGTACCTTTGAGTGTAATTTACATGATAGTTTTCATAAACTTACTTCACTCAAATTTTCCTTAAATTTACAGTAATATTAAGATAATTCCAAAATCATAATATGTGATATAGCTAGAGATATTTGCATGCAAAACAGTACTCTTCAAAGTAAATAAAAATTTTCCAAATCTAAATATTTAGTCTCATAATTCTAAACCAAAATAGTAAAAAGAAAAAGGAGAAATTTACCTTTTCAGTTCTTGTCTTCTTTTCATATTACAGTACAAAGTATCTGCATGATCTGATCTCTGAAATTTTTTTTTAAAAAAAGGTCTATCATTTAGGAAACATAAATTGTACAATGGTACATATTTTTTTCTACAGTTTATGATAGTGAATAGGCTGACACAATAATTTACTTAACACTTCCAATAATCCCGTCAAATAGTATCATCATCCCTGTTTCACAAAGCTCAAACAGACCTAGGTATCTTTCTCAAAGTCACAGAGCAAGCCTGCAGCAGAGCAGTCATCTGAAACCAGTTCTGTCTGACTCTCTCTATGCTACCAACCTATTTCTCTACGTACTCTGAGGAAACAGGGCCAAGCACAAGAAAGATAAGAGAGACATAAAATATAGTTCATGTCCTAAAGAGCTTAGAGCGTATTGTTTTACATATAATAAAGAAAAGAGAAGTAGAACATGTATGAATAACCTAATAAAAGGATATAACTGTCAAAACAGAAGAGTCAAAATGTGCTAAAACAGTTCAAAATATCAACCACTTAAAGAGGAAAGGTACCTAGGAAAACAGGTGGACAAAATAATAATCATAAATAATAAAGCTTGAAAGATGGGTAAAAGAAGAAGGCATTCTAAGAAGCTGAGGATAACTGGTATAAATTCAGCAGAAAGAAAATAAACCAGCCTAGCTAAAGGCAGAGGGCCTCTTTCAAGGAAAAAGGGGAAAAAAGAAAGAAAGAAAGAAAACTGATAAGTTAAGGTATGAAGAAATTGAAGAGAGCCCTGAATGAGTAGTGAGTAGAGATTTTCAGCAGAGGAGAAATGGGATGAAACTAGTGTTTTAAGAAGGTTAATATTGCAAAAATAAATAGAAACAGCAGCTTAATTATATGAAAACAAGCAAGTAAATTCTTAAAAACACTATTCTGCACCCCTGGAACTTTCACCACCTTCTCTTACATACCCACTATGTAGCTATCCTGGATATGTATATAACTTCAACTTGAATGTGGTAAGTACTTTTACCACTCACCTATGGATTAGCTTAATGTGTTTAATCTGCTGTCACTGTTTCTAATTATTTGTATGATAGTGGAAATAACTCTGGACTTGGCTCTGTTGCTGTACACAGTTTGTGGCCTTAGAAAAGTCACTTAACCTTCTAGATTTCAATTTCTGAATCTGAAAATGTAAACAATGCATCTGCCTTGGCTACCTCAAAAGGAGACAAATATAACTTTTGGAAGGCTGAGGTGGGTGGATCACTTGAGGTCAGGAGTTTGAGACCATCCTGGCCAACAAGGTAAAACCCCGTCTCTACTAAAAGTACAAAAATTAGTCTGGCCTGGTGGTATGCACCTGTAATCCCAGCTACTCAGGGGCCTGAGGCAGGAGAATTGCTTGAACATGGGAGGTGGAGGGTGCAGTGAGCTGAGGCAGTATCACTTGAACGCTGGAGGTGGAGAGTGTACCACTGCACTCTAGCCTGGGCAACAGAGCAAGACTCTGTCTCAAAAAATATATATATGTAACCATATATGTGAGAAGATTTAAAAACTGTCTAAATTTAGAGCCGTGTTGTCTAATCCCACATGGTAGGATCTAACAGGTCAAGAAATAAAAAACCTGATAAATGGTTTGGTGTGTAGAAGAAAGAAAACAACAAACATTGACTTTCTACTGACTATCAAAAAGTCATTGGAAAAATTTATATCACAAACCCTCTGTCAATTAAAAATTTAGTATAAATAACTTTTAGTGAGCTACGGTATCTAAACACTCACCAGTTTTCTCTTTTCTGATGAACCTGATCTTATAGAAGATGAACGAGTAGAACTTGATGAGGTTTCTCTCTCTTTCTTGTCCTAAAAATGCCACAAAGAAAATGAAATTTAAAAAGCACAAAACAAAGCACAGTATAAACAGAACTATTACATCACTAGTAGTACGAATCAACATTTCCATTCAATAATGAACTTTGGTGGAGAAGAATGTTTACAGATACACAAACTTTGGTAAAAGGAAGGAGATTCAACTAGAAATCAGAACTTCTAAATGCTCACAAAACAGAGAAAAGACACAGGTGTCCGAGCAGGAAGCCAGCTGACAGCTCACATAAGGTCATTGTGAGGTGGCATTGCCACGGTGAGATTCAGTCATCTACAAAGCAAAGCCACACATCCACTTACTTTTCAGTGGATTCTGAATTCAACAGACCTAGGACAAGTTTGTCTGAAGTACCTACCATGTACTAAAGACATTCCAGACAGTGGAGAGAGATGAATAAAAATAATAATAACAGTTCCTGCCTTCACGAAGGTCAAAATCTAGTACAGGAATTTACAAATAAAAAAGTCATATATTTAGTGTGCCAGATGATGCTATGGGGAAAAAAAAAGCAGAGAAAGGAAACAGGAAGGGCTGAAAGTCAGGAGTGGGGAGATTTGCCATTTTAAACAGAGTAGTCAGACCCCACTTACGAGTTGACATCTGAATGGGGACCTAAATAAAGTGAAGACACAAACCATTAGAATATTGAAGGAAAGAGTTTTTCAACTCAAAGGAAATGCCAGTAAGGGCAAAGCCACAGAGGCAGAAACATGCCTGGCTTGTTGGAACAGCAAGGAAGCCATGGAGTAAAGGGGATGATGTCAGGAAAGTGTCCGGGGGATGGGATAGGGAGAGTAGGTGGCATTGTCAACCACCGTAAGGATTTTGGCTTTTACGCTGGATGAAGTGGAAAACCACTGGAAAGTGTTTAGCTGAGGAGTAACATGACTGGACTTATATTTTAATAGGACCACATTGGCTAGTTTGTTGAGAACAGACTATAAGGAAGCAAATGCAGAAGCAGGGAAGTCAATTTGGAAACTACTGTAACAATTTAGGAAAAAAAGGTGCTTGGATCATGGGCCTAGCAGTGGAGGAGGTAGTCAGACTCTGAACACCGGTATACCTCATTTTATTGTGCCTTGCTTTATTTCACTTCATAGAAAATTGCAATATTTACAAATTGAAGGTTTATGGCAAGTCTATTAGCACAATTTTTCCAACAGTATGTGCTCACTTCATGTTTCTGTGTCACACTTTGGTAATTCTCACAATATTTCAAATGTTGTCATTGTTGTTATACTGGTATGGGACCTGTGCTCAATGACCTTTAATGTTATTATTGTAGTTGCTTTGGGACACCACAAACTGCCCATATGAGACAGCAAACTTCATTGATAAATGTTGTGTGTGTTCTGTTTCACCAGTCACCTGTTCCCCAGTCTCCTCAGGCCTCCCTATTCTCTGAGACACAAGAATCTTGAAATTAAGCTTATTAATAACCTAACAATGGCCTCTAAGTGTTCAAGTGAAAGGAATAATTATAAGTCTCTCACTTTAAATCAAAAGCTAGAAAGGATTACGCTTACTGAGGAAGGCATGTCAAAAGCCAACATAGATTGAAAGCTAGTCTTGTGCCAAACAATTAGACAAGTTATGAATGCAAAGGAAAAATTAATGAAGGAAATTAAAAGCACTAGTCCAGTGAACACATAAATGGTAAGATAGCAAAACAGCCCCTTTACTGATATTGGGCAAGTTTTGAGTGGTCTGGACAGAAAATCAAACCAGCCACAGTGTTCCCTTTAGCCAAAGCCTAATCCAGAGCTAGGCCCTAACTCTCTTCAATTCCATGAAAGCTGACAGATGTGAGGAAGCCTCGTAAGAAAAGTTGGAAGCTAGCAGAGGTTGGTTTATGAGGTTTAAAGAATGAAGCCATCTCTGTAACATAAAAGTTTAAGGTGAAACAGCAAGTGCTAATGAAGAAGCTACAGAAAATCCAGTTGAGATTATTGATGAAGATGGCCGCTACACTAAACAACAGATTTTCAACATAGACAAACAGTCTTATAACGGAAGATGATGCCATCTAGGACTTTTACAGCTAGAGAGAGGTCAATGCCTAGTTTCAAAGGACAAGCTGACTCTGGTTAGGGGCTAATGCAGTTAGTAACTTTCAGCTGAAGCCAATACTTAAAATTTACCGCTCAGATAATCCTAGGTACCTTAAGAATGATGTTAAATCTGTTCTGCCTGTGCTCTAGAAATGAAACAACAGAGCCTGGATGACAGCACATGTGTTTATAGCTTGATTTACTGAATATCTTAAGCTCACTGTTGAGACCTACTCAACAAAAAACAAAAACCTTCGTGAAAGTGTTTTGAGAAGGTGTAATCAGCTGTATCAAATGCTGCTGATATGCCAAGTCAGATGAGATCTTAGAAATGACGAATGGATTTAGCAAGATAAAAACCACTGCTATAGGAGTGATGGCAAGAAAAAGTCTGATAGAGTAGGTTTAAGAGGGAATGAGGGGTTAATTGCAAACAACATACCAATTAATAATGGCAAATGAGGAGGAAAACTACATAAATTACACAGAGTACCAGCTGGCCATGCTTCAGGGTTACCTTTCCAACTATCACTATACCTGTGAGGCCAAATTAGTAATCAGAAAGTTAGTAAGTAGGCAAGGAACAAACACCAAAAAGTACACTACCTAGAACTTCACCCAGGTCGTGAAAAAGTCTTATGAACTAACCTGCTACCAGAGAAATCACTTTATTTTGTGAATATTCACCTTTGCCAGATTAGTCTGTCATCTTGAACAGTAACACAGCATAAACACTGTCTAATTCTGATGATCAACTATCAGGCTGTTCAGAGAGCATATACTAAAACTGATCACACGGTTTTCTGTTTGGCTTCCTGGAGATAATACCCAGCTCAATTAACGAGATGTCCTAAATTTCATCTACCAAAACAGTACTACTTTTTTTTCTTTTTCGAGACAGGACCTCACTCTATCACCCAGGCTGGAGTGCAGTGATGAGAACATAACTCACTTCAGCCTCTATCTCCTTGGTTCAAGGATCCTCCCACCTCAATCCTCCTATCGCAGCTTCCTGAGTAGCACAGGTGCATACCATCATGCCTGGGTTTTGTTTTTTTGTGTGTTTTTTTTTTTTTTTTTTTTTTTTTTTTTTTTGTAGAGACAGAGTTTCACCATGCTGCTAGGCTGGTCGTAAATTCCTGGTATCAAGTGATCCTCCTGTCTCAGCCTCCCATGCTGAGATTACAGGTCTGAACCACCACACTCAACCCCCAAAACACTTCTTAAGGTAGTTTCTGAGAGAATAAAGATATGGTAAGTATGTCTTCTCCACTACTAGCCTCACCCACATAGTGCTGGCCATTCCCTAGCCAAGGCTGAGGAAACTGAAAAAGGAGAAAACATGGAAAATGGTTCAATGGTGAGTTATTGCTATTTAGGGGGCTTAGAATTGAGTCCAGGAATGCCTAGGCAAACAACTTACCTCTACGTGACTATTCTCTAAGCCTCAGTTTCTTCATCTGTGTAATTGGAATAATAGTACCCACCTCATAGAGTTGTGAGGAATACATAAAACAACAGCAAATAAAACATAGGAAAAGCAAATGACTTTTCCTGGATCAGCTGGGCAGAAAACAAAATATTTATATAAATCACTATAATAGTAAGGTGTATTCTTTTCATTACTGTTAAAATAGAAAGGTATTGGCTGGGCACAGTGGCTCACACATGTAATCCCAGCACTTTGGGAGGCCAAGGCAGATGGATCACAAGGTCAGGAGATCTAATCCATCCTGGCCAACATGGTGAAACCTTGTCTCTACTAAAAATACAAAAATTAGCTGGGTGTGGTGGTACACGCCTGTAATCCCAGCTACTTGGGAGGCTGAGGCATTAGAATTGTTTGAACCCAGGAGGCAGAGGTTGCAGTAAGCCAAGATCGCGCCACTGCACTCCAGCCTGGTGACACAGGGAGACTTGGTCTCAAAAAAAAAAGAAAGAAAGGTATCTCTAAAATTCTTACTTTTTCATCAAAATTGTGTGATGAGGTGGTGGTGTCTTTCCTCTGAGATGTCTCTTTTTTCCCATGGGGTTCTTTGCTGGACATCCTGAGAAGCTAAAACAAACATTAAAAATGCATGATGTGCTTTTTGCAATAAAAAGTAAAATAGAAATTCATCTTCTTTCAGTTATATAAAAATTGGAGTTTTACAAAATGATTACTATTTTTTAACCATTCCCAAGATGACAATATTCTCTCACTGTTTCACTTCCCTTCACTTACATTCTTCAAAATTACCTATTCCTCTCCTTCAGCTTTATCTATCACCTTTCCAGGAATGAGTCTCAAACCATGCCTTGATCCCTGACTTCTCACTTAAGCATCATATCACCATTTTCAATTGCCTCCAGGACTGCTATATTCTGCACCAACTATACTTCAAAGCCAATTAGCCAGTCATAAGTTTCATTGTCCCGAAACACCTTCAGTCATTCAGTGAACGAAATTTTGACATGGTTTTTTTTGGTTTTTTTTTGAGTCTTGCTGTCATTACACATAAAATAGATAACCGATCCCAAAGGGTTTTTGAGGTACTCAAACAATGGATGTAAAATACATCTTGGGACCAGGCACAGTGGCTCACGCCTGTAATCCCAGCACATTGGGAAGCCGAAGTAGGCAGATCACTTGAGGTCAGTCTGAGACCAGGCTGGCCAACATCATGAAACCTTATCTCTACTAAAAATACAAAATTAACCAGGTGTGGTGTTGTATGCCTGTAATCCCAGCTATACAGCTGGGCAGGAGAATCGCTTGAACCCAGGAGGCAGAGGTTGTAGTGAGCCGAGATAGCACCACTGCACTCCAGCCTGGGTGACAAGTGTGAAACTCTGTCTTAACACACACACACACACACACACACATCTTGCATAGGTTGGTAAATAGTAAGTTCTACATGCATACTTGCTTGCAAGGTTGTGTTTCTACTAGACCCTGAGCTCCTTGAGTATGCTGTATTAAAAACTTAGAAGGTGCTCATGAATGCCTGAGTGAATAAATAAGCGAATTCTTCTTCCTTGGAATACTAACTCTTTCATTCTGAACCACTTCAAATTTGTTCATTGTAGTTCCTCTGTCCACTTCCCATCCCAGTCACACTTTTCCAGCCCTGCTATGGACCAAGTCAATACTATTAATGGATGACAGTATTTGTGGGCTATCCCAGAAAAACATTTATGTTTATGTTTACTCCGATAAATGTTTTTATATTCATACTGGTGTGAAATTCCTATTGATTTTATGCAAATCAAAACATAAACTAAAGGAGGGGAGACTTCCTGTGCTGGCCAGTTTCAAGATGGCTCCTGATGATTCCTGTCGCACAGTAATCACACACTTATGTAATCCCCTACCACAATCAATAGGGCTGACCTGTGTAACCAATGAAATATTGCTACATGGTGGTATGTGGCTAAATCATATAAGACATCATGACTTCTGCCTTGTTCTGTCTTGGACTGCTCACTCTAGGGAAAGCCAGCCACCACGTCATGAGGACAAACAGCCATTGAAAGGCTCACAAGGGAAGAACTATTGGCCTCTTGCCAACAACCAGGACCAACTAAACAGCCAGGCATGTGAGTGGGGTACTTTTGAAGCTGATGATACTGCACCCCTAATCAAGTGACATGACAGCAGCCCTGGCACATATCTTCACTGCAACCTCATGACCAAAGCCAGACCAACCCAGAAAGTCATTTCTGAGTTCCCGACCCACAGAAACTGGGGAGTAATAAATGTTTATTGTTGTTTTAAGCTACTGTGTTTTGGTAAAATTTATGCAGCAGCAATAAATGAATAACAGTATCTCTTTAATATAATTCTTGAAACATTGAAGATTTCTTTTTTAGGATGTCTTACAAGCAGAGACCATGCTTAAAAACTCTTTTAAAAATTCCTACATAATTCATATACTAAAATCTAACCCTTTTTATCTTCTGGTTTCCAGCTGGTATTAAGTAACATTAACATACTGAATCCAGCTTTCAGTTAACCATCCAGTCATTTAGAAATAAAAAATCATCATGAACGACAGAAAAAAAAGAGAAAACAATAATTATTGGATGATGCACAGATATAGTTAGCATTTCCATAAGTTACAATCAGTGATATCCCATTTTTAATTGACTGTTGAGCCATGAGTCAACTATACATCCAGGAATACTAGATAGAAGCCATGAAGGACAGTCACTAAAAGGGATTTAGGACTATAACTCACAGAAGCTTCACGGGGATAATCTGTTTCCATTAAACTAGGAGAAGTTACACACACACACACACACACACACACACACACACATACACACACACACACACACACACCCCTCCAGATATACTTCTTAACTATAGGGGGAGGAGTTAACTTCCAGTTAGAGCTTCAAAGTGCCAAATAATCATGCTATGTCTTCTCTGGGGTTCTGAAACAAGTAGAAAACAAACAGACTAAGAAGATAGGATTTATCAACCTCATTAACTAAGAAAAGCTAACTGGAAGCGTTGTTCTCGAGACTAAATTGGGCTTCCCTCTCCTTCCCTGCTGCCTAGACGTTCGGACCAAGCCCAAGCAGGGCATCCAGAAAGCTCAAGTTTTTCTCCTGCCTGTCCCAGTGGATTTACCGGGGCTGGGGGTAGGGGGAGGGTGGAGAAAAGAACAAGAGACGCTCGAACGCCAAGAAGCCCCAACGAGTGAAGGGGACGGAAGTGCGGGGGACAGGAGACTCACTAGCATATGCTTCGGGGATCTGAAACGCGTCAAAATCAAACGCCCCGAAGCTCTACCCACTCTGAGCGCTGGTTATTAAAAACCTAAAAACAATGCAAAATAGAGCAAAACAACTAATTTCTATCCACTGGCCACACTGCAGAACTGCTGATACTGGCAACATGAAGACTAGAGCAAAAATAAAAACAAAGGAAAAGAGCGTTCGGGTCACGGGGTAGGTGAGGGTGCGAAATGAAGAACAGACCCTAATTCCAAGTCTGCTGGATAAACAGGCAAGCTCGTCGGCTGCTAGTAAACCGCCGTGGCCCGCAGGCTCTTCACGAACCGTCCAGACCCTAACACCGGGCAAGGGGCAGCCCCGGAGGCAGGCCGGCCCAGAACCACACCCTCCACCGAGCTAGCTCGTCCCCGGATCCGCCCACAGAGTCGCCCCGCCCAGGTCCTAGTGACTCCAGAGTCCCCAGTCCCGCCAGCCGCCCGCCCGCCAGGATAATGGGGGCGGGGGACGAGAGGGAACCTGACCAGTAAAACGTCAACGAACCCCTCAGTTCCTACCTAACCAGCGCCGCGGCGGTAGCAACTCCGAAAGCCCAGGCCAAGGGAGACGACCCCCGCCCCACCCCGCCCCACCAACCCTATGCCCGCTGGGAAACGTAGTTCTGCGCCCGGCCGAACGCTCCGCAGCGTTGGCTTAAATTTGCCTTTACTTCCTCTAAGGCTCGAAACGCCGGCCCCGCCCCAAGCGGCGCAGTGCACCCTGGGTGCTGTAGTCTTGGTTCGGTTCGGTGGTGGGCCGGTGAGACGGAGACGCACTGTGGAAACCGAACACTCTTATCCAATTGGACGCCGTCCCCAGTACGCTTCTGCGCAGTTTGTGGTGGCGTCGTAACGCCTCGGGGAAAGGGGAGCGGACGGTTATCTGGAATCGCTGCCTCTGGCTTTCTATTTTCTACTAACAGGAATTGGTCACTGGTTCTTCATCTTTTGTCTGTTGCACGCATCCCGCCCTCCCCACTTGCTTCCCCACTCCCTTGGATCCAGCCCTGTGGGCATTCACGTCAGTTCTCTGACCCCGCCGTGAGCCCCCCCCGCCGGGTCCCCGGGCGGGCCTGGCACAGAGGCGGTAAATATGGAGAATATGGCGGAGGAGGAGCTGCTGCCCCTGGAGAAGGAGGAGGTGGAGGTGGCCCACGTCCAGGTCCCGACCCCGGCCCCGGACTCGGCTGGGACCCCAGCTCCGGCCCCGGATTCGGCTCTGGACTCGGCTCCAGCCCCAGCCCCTGCCCTGGCCCAGGCTCCGGCCCTGTCCCCGTTCCTAGCCTCTGCCCCTGAGGAGGCTAAAAGCAGTAAGTGCAGGAGGCCCAGATCTTTCTGCCGCAGAAGAGAGAAAGTGCGCCTTGCTGGGAAGTAGGGGAGGCCCTTTTTCGCCGGGTTGGTTTTTATGGGGGAAGGCAGATTTAGGGAAATGGGGGGAGGGAAGAGGGGCTCATGTAGCGGCTAAAGCAGGGGTACAGAATCGGAGACGGCATTTCCATAAGCCTCGAGGATGTCACGGTGAAGGATATGCGGAGGGCAGGAATGCTGTAGATAGAAGGAAATAATGAGGTTAAGGGCTTTTTCGTAAAAGGGAATCTTTGTAAGATACGAAAATAGGAAGTTACATATAATTTGGGAGTTTTCCTCAGCCCAGTCTGCCATGGTTAACTAAGTTATATCAAATGTGACATAGTAACCGAGGCAACCTGTTTACGATAGTAGATCCTAAGCTGCCAACATTTGTAAACCATTACTGTCAACTAGTTTTGCTGCTTCGACATACACAAGGAGATGAGTTTTTCTCATTTGTTTTTTTCCCCCCTAGCAGCTTGCTTCCGAAGAGTATTTGAGGCTGAGTAGTAGTTTAGGAAATAAACGACTAAATTTATGGATGTTTTCCCCCATACATAAATACCAATTGAGTTTTGTACTCCATTCCATCAGAAATAGACTGTTGAGAATTAATGGCCCATATTATTGTGCTTCTGAATGTGCCTGCATGTTTTCTAAGTTTGAACCTTATAGGAATTTAAAAGATTGATGAGTAACACTTTCTTAACGATCTTCTAACATTTTAAAATGTAAGGTTTAAGAAAGACTTAACGTAAGTTCTTTTAACAAGTTAGTTTGTGGTCATAAAGTGACCTTTATATGCTTTCTGAATTGTAACTTAAAATAATCTTGAATTCATTATTTTTTCCTACTTCTAGGCCTGTTTTGAGTTTAATATTTATAAAACATTGGATAGTTATAGATAGGATTATTTTGCAGTTTTGAAACAATATACAAATTGTTGCAGATTTCAGAGTAGGGCTAATCACAGGAAAGACAAAAGTCAGGATGCTTCAGGTAAGCCCGTCCTCATCATATAAGATCAGAGCTTGTAGGTGCAAAATAAGGCCAGTTAGTTCTTCAACTACAGTAGGTAGGTAGGGATGGGGGAGGCAGGGGGAACTGAGGAGGTTGCACTCTCCTAAGTAGCCTCGTACCTCACTTCCAGGTTGTATTTGTTTATTTTAGTCAGTTATATTCGTGGTTCAGCAGCTTTAGGAAATGTATGCTTTCTCCACCTCCCCCCCATAAAAATATGTTAAACACAGTTTTTAAAGACTTATTTATAAATTCCAAAATTTGCAAATATGTAATTTGAGGAATGTATATGGTATGGGAAACCCGAAAATGCATTAATAGGACAAATAAGTAATGACTGAGAAGTCTGAAATGCATTAGAGCTAAAATATATATTAATCATTTAAAAAATTATTTTTAGTTGGTCTAGTTAGTCCTTTGAAGTCAGTCATAACTAGGTAAAGAAGAAGATAGCTGATCTGAAATAGAATTGAAAATTGAGGAAAAAGTAACAGAAGTTGAAAAAGACCTTCCTAGCATCTTGGAGACCTCTGACTTAACAAGAGAAATTTGCCTATTGACTTCTGGATTAATAGTGTGTTACAAAAAGCAGATTGAGTATCTTGCATGCAGATTGTCTGATATATACTATCTTAAACTAGGGAGTGATTTCAGAGATGTTTATAGGTATATCATGAATTTTTAGACAGATCTTCAAGAATTTGTTCAGTAGTGGACCACAGGATTTTTAGTTTTCTAACTTAACCAAGCTCCTTTCTCTTATTTTGTGCTATTTAATAGTTAGAATAATTTCAATAGGCATGTCTTCATTGATTGCTATTTATCTTGTTTCACATACACAGATCTTTGAACTCTGGAAGCCAAAAGCCTTTATGGTTACAAATTAGATAGGTTAGTTTGTACACATGGATTCATTTTCAGAATATTACTGTCTGACCTAGCAAAAGATTTTTATGAAACATGAAAAAGTTTTAACTGTTTATACAGATTACATCTCATAACTCATTTGAACAGTATCAGATATAAGAAATTAACCAATATTGTTTGTTGCTCCTTTAAAAATAAGGTGAATAACCAGGCACGAGCCTATACTCCCAGCTCCTAAGGAGGCTGAGGCAGGAGCATTGCTTGAGCCCAGGAGTTTGAGGCTGCAGTGACCTGTGATTGAGCCACTACATCATTCCATGGAGGCTGGGCAACAGAGCAAGAGCCCATATCTAAATAATAAAAATATGAAAAATTACCGTTTAATAAATTTGAGCAGGAATGTCTGATAGTGCTGAATTAGATTTCAGAATTATTGACAGTGTGCTACTGCATCCAAAAGGTCTAATGATTTTTGTTTTAATTCTTGTTTAACAAATATTAGTGCCTCCTATCTGCAAGTTACTGCATTCGGCCCTTAGCTATCAGAAAGATGAACAAAGCACAGACCTTATCTTCCTGTTGCTTATTTGTGGCGGAGTAAACAGGGACACAAATTATACAAATGGGTAAACAAATGAACTGATAATGAAGCTCAGAGAGGAGTAGGCAAGAAGGTGGTAATACCAATAACTGAATTTTAAAGTCTCAAGATTTAAACTGTATAACCTAATAATATTAGCCCTGTTTATCTCACCATCTCCTGTCTCCTTGGGCTCTTTACCTATCAGTTTCTCCTAATCTTATATATTTAGTCCCCACTTTGTAATTGTTCCTTTCCCTTGCAGTGCACATATATTCAGTTCTCTCCATACTTAAAAAGAAAAAAAGCAAGTTACAGTCTCATTCCTTTTTTATACCATCAAACTTCTCCAAAAAATTTTATTTTCTGTATATCCTTTTCCCTTCCAATTTTGTTTCTACTCCCAAACACCTCACTGAACCTGCTTTCTTAAAGGTCACCAGACTTGCTTTCTTGATCTCTGCAACTGTTTGTGATATCAGTGTTAATGTTTTGCTTTTTTTTTTTGACGGAGTTTCGCTCCTTACCCAGGCTGAGTGCAATGGCGCGATCTCGGCTCACCGCAACCTCCGCCTCCTGGGTTCAGGCAATTCTCCTGCCTCAGCCTCCTGAGTAGCTGGGATTACAGGCACGTGCCACCATGCCCAGCTAATGTTTTGTATTTTTAGTAGAGACGGGGTTTCACCATGTTGACCAGGCTGGTCTTGATCTCTTGACCTCGTGATCCACCCGCCTCGGCCTCCCAAAGTGCTGGGATTACAGGCGTGAGCCACCGCGCCTGGCCCTAATGTTTTGCTTTTATAGACTCTTCTCCTTTGGCTTCTGCATTACCTTGATTCCCCTTACCATTGATTTTCTGAATCTACCTTCCTGATTCCTTCTACTTAATTTTTCTAAGGAATATCTACATCTCTCATACCTCACTACCAGATTATAGCTGTCTATAATAATCAGCAGGTTCAGCAGCATTGAGGATGTATCCCCTATTGGCTCCAATCAGAACATGTTAAACATATTTTAGACTTATTCATATATTTCCAAATTTATAAGCATCTAATTTGAAGAGTGTTTAATGCTTGAGAAACCTGAAAATGCTTTAGTGGGACACATATGTAATGACTGAGAAGTCTGAAATGCATTAGAATTAAAATATAAATCATATTTTAAATTAATTTTACATAGTCTTGTTAGTTGTTTGAAATCAGTCATAACTAAGTAAGACTGGGTCTTGGCTTCTCCTATTTTTCACACTTTTCTTAGGCTTTCTTATTTAGTCTCATAGTTTTGCCTAACATATGTTACTTATGATTTGTATCTCCAGAATCCCTCCTAAGCTCTAAAAACAAATTGCCAGCTGCCTATTTTACTTTATTACGGGAATATTGTACCAGTACTACATCAAACACACTGTGTCATAAACTAAATTTTCCTTTCTCTTTTCCACCAAAGAGTTTCCTTTGTCGTGTTTGCCTCATGTTTCCATTATTCTCAGCCACATAAACTCAGTCTTAGAATCATCTTTGATTTTATCCTTCACCTTAGCTTCTCAAATCCCGTTTCTGTTGCTTTGTCTTGTACCTTCTATTCCGTCCCTTCCCATTACTAATTTTGTTACTGATCTTTGGTATTACTGCCAGAGATAACCTGAAACTCATTCAGATCATATAATTCACTTCCTCAAAAACCTGAAGAGACTATTACCTAAAGAATGAAGTCTAGACTAACTTGCATAGAATTTATGCTTTCCATGGTCTGTACTACATCTTTGGCTGCACATATTTCTACTCACTCTATCCCCTGAAATACTACATTCCACCACAAGGGTGGGGTGGCATGGTTGTATGTTTTATACAACATACATTTGTTCATGAGGTTACTTCAGTTTATGAAGCCAGTTAGCAAATCTCTACTTACTAAAATTCTATTCATACCTTAAGTCTCAGTCAAATGGCACTTCAATAAAGACATTCTCAGAGTTACTTGTTAGAATTAATTACTCCTTCTTCTGTATGCCTACCTTATGTTACCTTACGTCTAGTGTTCATTTCATCCTATCTCATATGAGAGTTCGAAGTTAACGTATTACCTTCTCCCACCTGATTGAAAGTTCTTTGAAGATAGAAAACACGGCTATGTTTCCTTCTTCAGTATTTTGTATAGGATAGAAATATTTTTCATAGAATTATTTTGACTAATTAGATATCATTTTAAAACTATGAATTTATACAATGGGGTTTCCCCCCAACTTTTCATTCTAGAGCACACTTGTTACTTTATAAACTGAGTTGTGGTAGTATTCCCCATATAGGTCCATAACACTGTATTACAGGAAATAAACTTTTATACAATTTGATCAATAAAAATGGAACTTAACTGTTAAAGCGTAATCTCAAATATTTTTTTCAGAGAGACACATCTCAATTCAAAGGCAGCTTGCTGATCTAGAGAAGTTAGCTTTTGTAACTGAAGGAGATTTCGACTCTGCCAGTTCATCGAACTCAGATAATCTTGACGCAGGTATTTCATGTTTGGGTTTTTTTTTTTTTTTTTTTTTTTTTCTGAATTTCTAATAATTTATCATCTTTGCATTCACGAAAATAGTTTGATTAGAGTAGACTTGTTTATTCTTATTGAACTAGAACAGTAGTAAAATAAAGCTTTTTATTCAGGAAATTGGCAACCGTTTATGTGCAAAGTTGTACATAAGTTGCACAAAGTTACGCATGATGGAAATAAGTTATTATACAGCTCCTCAAGAAAACTACAATTTCATGGATGTCTAAGGGCTTTGTATTCGGAAAGTTAAGAATTCCATTTGACTACAAGTAACAGAGGTCCCAAAAAACATTGTCTGAAGAGGTTAATACTCTGCTGTGTAAATGAAGTTCCGAGATAGGCAATTTAGGGCTGGTGCGAGTGTTCCACGTTATCAATGTCCCACACTCCTCTCTTTCTGCTCTACTCTCCTTAGGGCTTGGTTTGCATCCTCAGGATCACTGAGTGCAGGGTGTTTTGAAGTAGGCAGTGTAAAAATAAAAATTGTACCTATGCTGTATTGTACTGTATGTGAAAGATATTTGTTGGGTTAAAAATTAATATGAGCTGACAGGTGTGACAGGTATAAGAAAAGAAAAAACTTACTAAATGAGTTCTTGATCCTTGCTGTATATTTTATTGCTTTAAACCTAAATTTGAGATTCTTTCATCTATACTATCAGAGTTTTTATTTGAGATACGTTATATTTGTAATTAAGACATTTGATAATACATAATCTTTTAAGAATATGTTAATAAAGAAGGAAGAACTTGAAAATTCAGTAATGGATAGGGTGGTTCTAACTATGCCCCCAGTCTCAGAACAGCAGTTATATCGGATCCCATCTATTCCTTTCACTTCCTTCTTACATTTTTCTAACGCCACATGTTAACTGTTTTTGTTGCTGCCAGTTTAGTAGCAGAATATCACAGCAGTACTTTTGTCTTTGTGCAGCTCCTGTCCTTTTGGGAGTATAACTGCTGTCCTTTTCAGCTTTCCAAAATACAGAGTGATGCTCTCAGTGGCAGAAATTTTGGCTGGAAGGTTATCATACAGTTTATCACTTCTTCAACCTCTTTGTTCCCAGTAACAACAAATGCATCAGCTATCCATAGAGAGGAAAATCTTAGGGTGAAAAAACAATCGCTGATCATGTGCTACAACAGTTATTGTTAACTACCTCCTGGGTCAAGAATAATGACTTCTCCCTAAAGTTAAGAAAGACTTTAAGAAGTAGAAGGGGGAGTCCCCATTAACCTCTTTGTAGCTGAATCTAGACATTAATAACTAGTATATTCTGTGCTTTATTGATTCTTTTTCCTTTTCAAGGCAACAGACAGGCTTGTCCATTGTGCCCTAAGGAAAAATTCAGAGCTTGTAATAGCCATAAGCTTCGTCGTCACCTCCAGAATTTACACTGGAAAGTCTCAGTTGAATTTGAAGGTTAGTATTTTTGTGCTTTCAAAGAAGTAATGTACATGAAATTCAACTTTTTTTTTAACCAGTTTTGGCATTTTATCATGAATATAATCAAATATTTTCATTTTAAAATGTGAAGGATTTAACACCCTCATGTCTAATGTATGTACTAAGACACCATATAGCTTTATAGGCAGTAGAGATCTATATGACAGTTTAGTTCAGCAAACATTTATTATACATCTGTTCTATACTGGGTACTCTGGCCCTGGGAGTCCATGTTGCTTATTGAACAACGTTTTAGTAAGTTTTACTTTTCCTTTTCTTTTACAAGCATTTTTGAAGGTGTAGTTAATGTAGTAAAACAAGGAAATAAAATAATTTGTATGAATATTGGAAAGTAGAAGATAATATCCCTTTTTCTGCTGATAGATTAAATAAACTACTAAAGTTAAGAGAATTCAGAATGGTGGTGGGATACAAGATAATTCAGAAATCATAGCCTTTTTCTGCTTCTGAGAAATGGAAACAGAAACAAATATACCAATTACAATTCTGATAAAAATGACACAGTTTGAGGGAATAAGTTCAACAAGAGGACTCACCATGAAAAGAATAAAATCGAAGGACAGAAAACAAGAACTTTTCAAGTTAAAGGGCTTCCCTAAGTTCTGAGATAGTGAATTATGTGAATTATTATAGCATTTTTGGGAAAAGATCTGACAACATCTTTTAAAATTAAAAATACACATGACCATCCACCAGGGAGTTCCTCTCCTAGGAGTGCCTCAGAAGTAAAAGAATTGGGGTTGGACACAGTGGCTCATACCTGTAATCTTCCTACCTTGGCCTCTCAAAGTGCTGAGATTACAAGCTCATATCTTTAATCTCAGCACTTTGAGAGGCCGAGGCAGGAAGATCACTTGAAGCCATGAGTTCAAGACCAGCCTGAGCAACATAGTAAGTAAGACCCTGTCTCTATAAAAAGTGAAAATATTAGCCAGACAAGGTGGCCTGTTCCTGAAGTCCCAACTACTGGAGAGGCTCAGGTGGTAGGATTGCTTGAGTCCAGAAGCTTGAGGCTGCAGTGCCATAATTGTGCCACGGTACTCTATCCTGGGCAACAGAGTAAGACTCTGTCTCTTAAAAAAAAAAGTCAGTAGGCAAGGATAAATGTACTAGGATATTCATTGCAATATTAGTAACAAAAACTTGGAATTAAAAGAAATGGTTGAATAAATTATGGTACATACATACCGTGAAATATTATGTAGCCATTGAAATGAGTATATTAGATATATACCAGCTAACTTAGAAGTATTACCATGGTCAACACCTGATGAAAACAGCAATATATAGGGAAGATTTTATATTCCATTTGGATAAAACAAAAAGTCCCACCCTCAAAAGAAACCTAAGTATCAGTCTCAAACAAATGTACATTTATATTTGTATATGATTATGTGAACACAGAAACTGTAAAATATGGTTGGAGTTTCAACCAACCTTGATAAAGCAGCTAGTAAGAGACACCCATAAAAGAAATTGGAATTACGCTGTAACTATAGATTATCACTGGTTATTTAGGGAAAGAGGAATTAGATACTAATTTAGGGGCTGTCCCGTCTTTTAAGTTTAATTATATATAATAATGTCTGATAAACCATACTGACTTCTTATGAAAAAAAAGGTATCATTTCAGTTAAAAGGATATCTTCCATATTTTTTTCTTAAGTCATTGTTTAGCCTTTAGGTTTGGTTTCCCTCTTCCAAGTTATTCTCTTTTCTTAAATCTTTTCTTGTGATATTTCTTTACTTACTCATGGATGTGGTTCTCTCACGTACATTAGGCTGTTGGGTTTTTTCACATGCTATTGATCTGGTAAATGATGAAGATAAGATAGTTTTTGTCTCGGTGACCAGGTTTCAAGTAATTGACCAATATGTTGAAGGTAGAAGCAACAAGATCTGCTGAAGGAATGGATGAGAGAAAGAGCCAGGAATGCTTGGGTATGGGACTTGAGCAAGTAGACAAATGGAGTTGGCCTTTACTGAGCTGGAGAAGAGTGCATTAGGACCAGGTGTGGGAAAGAAGGCCAGAACCAGAAATTTGAGCATTTAAAGAGTGAGATGCATTTAAGTGGAGAATGTCAAGTAGCTCATAGGTTATATGAATATGGAGTTCAGGGAGAATGTAGGGCTAAAGATACGCATTTCGGAGTTGTCAGAAGACAGATGGCATTTAAAGCCATAAGATGAGATAAGTAACTAAAAGAGTACATATTGATGGAAAAAAGAAGTTATCCAGTACTAAATCTTGGAGCACTTCAGCATATACAAGTAAGAAATGATCGGATCTAAGGTATGAGAAAAATGGAGTTAGAGATGACTTACAGGCTTTCAGTTAAGAGCAACTACAAGGCATTATCATTCAAAAAGTAAAGAGACCTCATGTAAGATAAATTATCAGTTTAGTCTTGACAAGTAGGTTTTGAGAGGCTGACTAGATAATCAGTTACATATCCTTAATAGGCAATTGGAAATAGAGATCTGGCTCATAGGAATGAATTAGTAGCTAGAGCTATAATTTTGGATTCTTTTCCACTGGAGAGTTAATTGGAATCATGAAAGGTGCTTAAATTGCCAAGAAAATGAGAAAAAAAAGTCACTTAGCCATCCAAGCCTATGGAATAGCTACATTTTAGGGCACGAGAGAAGGAAGAGGATCTGTAAAGAAGAAGGGTGGGAAGAGAACTGAGATAGTACCATATATAGAAGGGTCTGTATAATGGCAAATACATTAATAGCATGCAGCAAAGATGAAGCCTATGTAAAAGTTAAGGTGGCAGAGAATACATGATAAAGCTGAATCCCAAAGACACTAAATGACTAATGCAAGATAAAACAGATAGTCATGGCTGAACCAGAGTTCAAACCTGGATCCTTCTATATTTGTGTATATAGACACATAGACATATATATGTATGCATACTACCCATATATCTCATGTATAACAGTTGTGAAAACCAAAGCAATCTCATTTGAGTAATTATGACATTACAAAAATATAAGTAATTCCAATTCTTATAAAACTGGCTTATACTTTTTGATAATTGAATATTTAATGAACAGTGGTATGATAACCAGCCTTTCTTCATTCTAGGTTACAGGATGTGCATCTGTCACTTACCTTGTCGACCAGTGAAACCCAACATTATTGGAGAACAGGTAAACAGATATTAGATTGTTTCTTTTTAAATTTAGTCAGTTTTAAAGAAAGTATAATTTTTACTTACTGTGTAAGTAAAATGTGTATGTTCAGCAATGTAGTTTACTTTAAAATTCTGTATCAGTCCTTTTAGACTATCATAATAGGAAAACTGAAATGTATGAAAAAAATTGCTATATCGAAGTTGTCACTTTATAGTTTTTAGTTTCAGTCAGATAAATTGCTCCTTTGTGTTCAAAATGAAAATTAACTCATTTACTGAGTTTGGAATGGAAAATTTAGAGAGTAGTCTTTTTCTCTTAAAATTTTGGTCATGGAATAGGACCTTCCATTTCTGTGATTTAGTAAACATCTTAGTATGTTTTAATCTCATTCATCTTCCCCATGTCCTTCCTTTTAAGTTCAATCTTTTAGAATCAAGAAACTTTTTGAAATCTTAGTAACTTTTAAAAAATACATGTGTTTATTTTTAGGGTCGATTTGACCTAAGTGGAATACAAACTATAAAATTTTTTAGTGACACTACCATGAATGCATATTAGTTAATGGGTTCTCATTATTAAATTTTCTTTTGAGTCACTAAAAGCAGTATAGTGTTAAGAAAAAAACCGGCACCTTGTTCATCAACCCAGTCCAAGATATTTTGAATATGATAATCACAGTACCACAAGGAACCTTAGGGTAATGTGCTTGACTATTTTCTATTTGCTGTAAGGTCCCAAGTGAAAAGGAGATAGCAGCACTAAGAGTAAAAGGCATCAAAACTAGGAAAAAGCCATTGGAGCAGTCTTTTTGTTCTCAGCTACATGAGAAATTATGGAGTGAGAATTTCTTTACTTGGAAAACTACACTTCTAATTATGTCTCTAATATTTAGCAGGGTGTTGGAGCTGGCTCAAATTTTCAGAAATCTTTCAAGCTGGTTGTTTGGTATGGCCACCATTAAAAATTATATAAACCTAAAAATGAATGAGTTATATTAAAAAACAAAGTTTACAAATGTTCACCTGATATCATTGCTCTGCTGTATTTTAATATTATCTGTGCACCTAAACAGTTATTTACATCTATTATGTTTGCTGGGTGGCAATGCTCTGTAATGGTATAATACTGAACATCTCTTCCGAAATCCACATTCAGTGATGTTACATTAGTAGCTTAAAATCTATGACAGTTGTAGCTTGAAATTGGCTATGGCAGACTATTTATACCACAGAAATCTGCAGATACTACAAATCAGGGCTTTATTTTCCTGGAGAGCCAGTTATTAAACATTTACCAGGATACCACTCCTAACATTACACTATTTATAAATGCAACTTATAGAAAATACAATTATTTTCTGATTGGAATGAATGAGAAAAGCAAGGAAATTAAACTTCTGGCCTATTGTAAAGTAAGATTTAAAAGCATATATAAATACAAGTAAGGAAGTTAAGATCCTTTCAAAGTCACAAGGCAAAATTAAAATTATCTTCTATACCATTAAATCCAGTACACACTAATATCCTTGAATTTGCAAACTTATACTTCTGTTTTATTGTCTTAGTAACTTATTTAAACTAAATACTCTGTTTGATAGATATCCAGTAAAATGGGAGCCCATTATCATTGTATCATTTGTTCAGCAACAATCACCAGAAGGACTGATATGCTAGGACATGTTAGGCGCCATATGAATAAAGGAGAAACTAAATCCAGTTATATTGCAGGTAAGTGAGCAATCTCATTAACATATTAATATGTAAATCCTTAAATAATGGTTCAGTTATTCTTTTCAGACATCGGGCAGACAAAATAATGCTGATTTAACCAAATAATTTAGTTGACTGGTCCATTACGTCAGGTTTTGGTTTCTTCCTGTAAGGTCTCCAAAAACATTTTAACATTCTCAACATGTATATTTAATAAATGGTGTAGAAAAAAGTAAGTGACACTCAAGTGAATATAGGTATTTTAAGGAAAGATTATAGAATTGTATTCCCAGTGACAGCTTTTACAACCATAACTGTCATGTATATCTTGTTGGAAAACACTGGAAGAAAGATATAGTGAAATAAAGACTGTTACTCTTAGTGATGTGAAATCATTAATAGCTTGTTGCTACTCAGAGATCCCTTCTCAAGAATTAAGCACTAATGTCCTAAAGTATGTATTAGATGTAATGAATAACGTCTCTCCTCTATGTCTAGAATGGCACTATGTACGATTCCTTTCAGAATTGAAAAAAAAAAGTCACTAAACTATTTTTCTATAAAGCTTAATTTTCTCACAGAACCTAGATTGAGAAAGACTTGCCTCTTCAGTGGCTAGAAAAGGATATGTAACACAGTGCTAGGGAAAGTTACTATTATTTGGCATTTTAGAAAGAAAGATATGGTTGCCATTTAGTTAACATTCTGAATGTAATGTTACCAAGAAATCTAAAAATAAAGGATTCTCGATTTTCCCACACATGCCATATTCCATTTCTTAAATATTTAAAATTTATGCACATATATACACATCAATATTTCATTAGTTTATAGCTAAATGATTCTAACATATTAAATGTAAAATCATTTTTTCATTATTTTGTAGCCATTTCAATGTAATTTGTGACTTAAAATCATAATTATGAGAAACTATTCTGAAGTCTACCATGTTCAGGAAATACAGTGATTCTTAGTAAGCCATGCTAGCTAATGGAATGCAGCCATATGGAGACACTCATTTTCCAACAATTATACTATAGTAAAATATACTTAGCAAACAATATAGTGTTTGACAAACCACAGAAATATTTTAGGATTTTGTATTGTCCTAGGGTGACTGTTCTTACATATTATAATGCAGACTTACTGATGTGCTAGACAGTCAAGATAGTAAATTAACTTTCTTTCATTGATCAGATATTTAACTGAGTGTTACTCTTTTGCAGAGAGTGCTGAATAAATGAGTTCTTTGGTTTTGTTTTTTTTACAGATGCCCAATCATTTGCGTTAATACAACATAATATAAAGTTATTTTTCAAAATATATATTATTTTAGATGTTTATAATTATTTTGTGTTTCCCTGGAAATCTTTTCTTTTTTCCATCTTAGCTTCCACTGTTAAACCACCTAATGAAATTTTGAAAGAGGCAGACACGGATGTACAAGTTTGTCCCAACTATTCTATACCTCAGAAAACAGATTCCTATTTTAATCCCAAAATGAAACTAAATCGGTAAGATAAATTGAAAATAGGGTTATGGGATGTTTCAAATTAGTGTAAATGTACCGTCTCGTAACCTTTATGTTCTAATATATTAAAATTTAGAACTAGATGCAGAATAAAAATCATCTATTTTAACATTTTTCTCAGAAGGATTGTTTTTTTTCTACCAAGCCGATGCCTTTATCAGAGAGTAAAATAGGCCTAACTTTATATAATTACTGAACAAGCAGGTGCTTTTGTGAGCAAGTTTTGTTTATAAATAAATAAATGTTAATAGAATCCAACTGGATTCATAGTTTAATTTCACATACTTTTAGTTCTTACAGTATTAAATTGGGAATATGTTTTTAGGTCTCCTTTTCAAGTAGTTTGTACAGTAACTAGGAACCTCAATTCACTATTCTTAAATAAAATCTGTGATCATGAAGCCATGGTAAAGTAAAATTATTTCAGATTATGATTTCCTTGTAGGCAGTTAATATTCTGTACATTGGCTGCTTTGACTGAGGAACGAAAACCTTTGGAATGTCTAGATGCTTTTGGAGCCACTGGTAAGTGAGGACACTTTTTTGGAACCCCATTTTATTTGTTTGACTTTACAGTATCTTTTCTTAGAAAATGTATATGGGAAGTGATGTAAAAAAATTAAAGATCCAAGGCAAAATTTTTAATTTTTTACTGTGAAAAATTTTAAGTATATATTAAAGAGTATAGTAAGTGAGTCCCTGTATATCCATCGTTGCTTACTTCAAACATTAGTGGTTCATTCTCAGTTGTTTTATCAGTCTTCATACCTCATATCCTAGTCTTTTGATAACCTATTAATTTGAAACAAATAACATATATCATTTCATCTGTAAGTGTTTTAGTTGGATCTCTAAAAGGTAAAGATATTTTTAAATAAAACCACTCTACTATCATCATACTTTAAAAAATTAGGAATAATTTTTAATATTAATTGTTTAGATATGCCCAATTATCTCATAATATGTTTTAAAAATCTAATCAGAATGCAGACAAAAACTGTATTTCAATTGTTTAATATGTCTAAGTCTCTTTTAAATCTGTGGTTCCTTCTGTCATTTTCTCTGTGTGTGGTAATTATTTCTTGAGCTAACAGGTCTTTTGACCTATAATTTCCTGCAGTCTAGATTTTTGCTGATTATATTGTTATGGCTTACATAACGTGTTCTCCTATTGCCTGTATTTTTTTAAATTGATCATTTGATTGGATTCAAATACAATTTTTTTGCTTTTTTTGGCAATAATACTTGTTTGCTGCAATCAGGCAGCACCTGATGTATGGTGGTGTCTCTTTTTTGTGTTGTGATGATCATTGACTAGCCTTTAGACAGTGGAATAAAGTGAAATTTTAAACGTTGAGAATATTTTTCCCAAAAGACTTAATGGTAGAGAAAAGATAATAGAAACGGTAGAACATTTCTAAAAAGCCTCTGTACCCAATCCAAGTCTTTCTTCATAAATATTATAGGAGTACACTCTTGGGGAGTTTGTGCCAAAAGAGTGAAAGCATAAGTTACCTCTCCTTCCTAAACTCCTCTCCTCAGGGAGAAGTCGTAGTTAAAAGAATGGACTGTAGAACCAGACTGCCTAAGTTCAAATCCCAGCTTTATCACTTGCTAGTTGTATGACCATAGGAAATTGTGTCTCAATTTGCTCATCTATTAAAAGAGGGGACTACCACCATGATCATCATCATTAATACTGTCTCAGTATAAATATGGTAAAAGTGATGAGGTGATGCTTCTGACTATATCCCAAGCCACATGGATTTGAAATTTGAATCAATTTTTTACTCCTTATTTTCCTGTTACTGTTTCTGTATCTATTCAGCCACCAGGTCTGTTCTAATTTTTCTTCTCTAATATAACTCACATTTTCCATTCCATATCCACCAATTTAATGATTTGATAGCAAGCCTATTGCAGTAGGCTCTAAATGGTACCCTTGCTTCCAGTCATTTCTCTCCTCCAATTTTTCTTGCCTGTTACTGCTAAACAGCCTTTCCTCTGAAGCACCACATTAATAATGTTACTTATGAATCAAAAAAGTCATTCATCTTTATTGCCTAGAGTCCAGACTTCTCAGACTACATTTAATATCTCCTATATCTGATCCTAACCTGCTTGTACAAATTTATTTCGCAGTATTTTTTTCACCATACACCCTTTTTCTTTTTTCTTTTTGAAACAGAGTTTCACTTTGTCACCCAGGCTGGAGTGCAGTGGCACAATCTCGGCTCACTGTAACTTCTGCCTCCCGGGTTCAAGTGATTCTTCTGCCTCCCAAGTAGCTGGGATTATAGGTGCCTGCCACCACACCCGGCTAATTTTTGTATTTTTAGTAGAGACAATGTTTTGCCATGTTGGCCAGGCTGGTCTCAAAGTCCTGACCTCAGGTGATCCACCCATCTGGGCCTCCCAATGTACTAGGATTACAGGCACGAGCCACCGCACCCAGCCGTTTTACTCACTTTTAAATCTGAAGTCATTAAAGCTAATGTCTAAGGAATATCTTTCCAGCCTTTTCTTTTAATGTGCCTTTGTAAACTTAGATCAGATCTGGAACAGCCATTTTGCATGTTTTCCCATTCCTAAAATGAGGATATGAGAACTTACCTCACAAGCTTGTTGTAAAAATATGAAAAATACATATATGTGAGGTCCATAACACATGATATTTTTCCATTTATGAGACATGTATGGAGAAGATGGTCAGTATTTCCAATCTATAAGGGGTTTTCTAATCTATATTGGTTGGGCTTGTGTTACCATCTCCCATTTTGTAATGAATGTTCCTTATGACTAGTAGATATGGAAAACCTATAAGAAGGGGCTCTTTTGTCTGAATTCTTCTTAATCGTTTGCTTACAAATTTGCTTTTTTGTTGTTTTTGAGATGGGGTCTCAGTTTCGAGATAGTGTCTTGGCGCCCACCATCTTCACTCTCTGCAGTCTAGACCTCCTAGGCGCAGGTGATCCTCTCACCTCAGCCTCCTAAAAGTAGCTGGGACCACAAGCATGCACACCGTGCCCAGCTCATTTTTGTCTTTTTTTGTAGAGACAGAATTTTGCCACATTGCCCAGGCTGATCTCAAACTCCTGGCTCAAGAAATCCACCCGCCTCGGCCTCCCAAAGTGCAGATATGATACGTGTGAGCCACTACACCCAGCCGCACATTTTTTTTTAAAATTCACAACAATGCTGTTGCGCATTGTTTGAAAAGTATTGGTCTAGAAAAGTTTTTCACGTTTTGGTCCATGAGGGTAAACTTCAGCAGAAGGAATTCCAACTTCCCATCCTCCCTTCAAGCAGAGTAACCTCATTCGTATATTCTGTGGTAAGAAAAAAAGCAAAAAAGAAAACAGCAAACATACATAGAATTTTATTTGAACAAGGATCATAAAAAAGGTTTGTAAGAAGTATCAATGAAAATCTGTTAGACACATTTTTAGTTAAAACCTTTCTTGAGAAGCTTTGTAGTAAGAAAGAATAAGATTCTTAAGGTTATAACTAAAAATGAAAACATAAAATTTTGAAATAATTTATTTATAAAATGCTGTTTTTCTTTAAAATTATTACAATTATAAAACTCATTTTCCTCCCCATTTTTCCAAAGGGATTATGGGATTACAGTGGGCAAAACATCTTGGAAATGCAGTCAAAGTTACAATCAATGACTTGAATGAAAACTCTGTGACATTGATTCAGGAAAACTGCCATTTAAACAAATTGAAAGTGGTGGTGGACAGTAAGGAAAATGAAAAGTGTGATGATTTTCTTGAAGAAGGAGAGAAAAATCTTGGTAATATTAAGGTGACCAAAATGGATGCCAATGTGCTGATGCATTTGAGATCTTTTGATTTCATGTAAGTAGAAAAGATTTGCCATGTCACTTTCTAAACTTCCCTGGAATTTTGGGGGTGACGGGGGTAGTTAAAAATTAAGACAGTTTGTTGTTATTCATTTATTTAAATTAATGCCAGTTTTTGACATTGGCCTAAGGTATGCAGCATGAAAATTTTCTAGTATTTGAAATAAAATACCTGCTCATGTCACTTTTCCTCTAACCCAAATTTATTTTTACATGTCTCATATATCATATTATCATTTTATTTCTTAATTTAAAAACAGAATTATGTACTTAAAATAGATTTGCAGTGTACTTTTACATCCATGGAATTTTATAATTAGAAATAGTTACGATGGTATAATTTTTGTTACTAATATGACTTTAAAATATGTCTATATTCTTTCTGATTTTAGACATCTAGACCCTTTTGGAACATCTGTGAATTACCTAGATTCTGCATTCAGAAATATAAGAAACCTTGGCATAGTGTCAGTGACTTCTACAGATATCAGTTCTTTATATGCCAAGGCACAGCATGTTGCCCGGCGTCACTACGGATGTAACATTGTCCGAACTGAATATTACAAGGAACTAGCAGCCAGAATTGTTGTAGCTGCGGTGGCAAGGTACCAAATTGCCAACGATATACTTAGTGATTGTTAGTATTTGATCAAGAGAGATAATATTACAAGAAGTACCTTATTATTCAAAATATGCACAAAACATAAATTCTGTATTCCTTATCTATAATATTAGTTTTTAATCTTACATGGTATCTGTTGTAAAAAAAACACTTATGCTTGAAATATCCAGTTTATCCTCCAATTAAAATGTTGCTGAAATAAAGTAGTAAGAAAGAAAACATAAAAGTGAAAGTTAATTTCCAGATTATTTGAACAATGTAGGGTAGATAAAGGACAGCAATATGAAAGGAAAAGCAAAAATTGTTTTGTTTTGTTTTGTTGCCATGTTGCCCAGGATGAAACAAGCCTCCTGGCCAACATGGTGAAATCCTGTCTCTACTAAAATACAAAAATTAGCCGGGCATAGTGGCACACACCTGTAGTCACAGTTGCGATTACAGGCTGAAGCACTAGAATCACTTGAACCCAGGAAGCAAATACTGCAGTGAGCAAAGATTGCTCCACTGCACTCAGCCTGGGCAACAGAGAGAGACTCTGCCTCAAAAAGAAACAGTCATTTCTTTTATATTCATTCCATTTTATCTTCTTTATTTATATAGTTTGAATAAAATGATGCCTTACAAACTTGACTCTGCAAAATGATCTTACAAAATGGGAAGTTCTCTCCATTTCCCACCAGGATTTCCAAACAGAATTTAAAAACTGTTATTTTTAAAAGAGTGACTTTTTTTGAGTACTAACTATATGCAGATTATCCTAAAATAATATAATATAAATGGACATTGTGAATATAGATAATGATGATCAGCCAGCTCACTCACCAGCTCTAATACTAGTTTCACAGCATTTAAGTGGAAATTTCTACCTCGGCATAAATACAGATTATTAGACTTCATAGACCTTCAGACCTTCAGGATTGTTTCTAATTACCTGAAAACTGATGTTCACTTTATGCATGCTAAGGACCTACTGCACTTATTTAAAAATGTCTATAATATCAGCAAATTCAGAGTGATGTATATACACACACACACACACACACACACACACACACACACACATACACTAAATTTAGTATATGATTGCAGAGTGCATAAATGATATATAATGGAGCTTAATCCAGAAAGTCTGTAAAATTAATGGTGGAAAGGACTTTTGACTATTCTTTTTTCACTGAATTTTCAGTAGCATACTATCCTGCATATAGTCATTACTCAATAAATATATAATGTTTAGAAGAAGCTTTTATAGGAAATAAAATAGATAAAAAGGAAGAAATGTGGTGGTGATAAGAAACAAAGTGAAAATGACTGAAAACCAGAAAATACTGCCCTATAGAGTGGATATCATAAGGGAAAAATGCCTAGAAACTGAAGACCCTGCCAAGCATCTTTTATTTCCTGTGTTTCAATTTCTGTAAGAGTTACAGTAATTATCTTTTAAAAGCACTGCTACTGAGAATCGAATTTTTCTTGATGTCCCATAACTTACCCATAGTCTAATGTCCAGTTTAGTATTAGTATAATGCCAAACAAAGGAAAATGATGAGTTCGCAAAATAACTTTTAAAAATTTATTATAGAGCCGCAGCCCGATGCAACAAAGGCATAGAAGTACTGTTTGCAGTGTCTCTGGAACATTTTGTGTTGGTAGTTGTGAGAGTTTTGAGGGGACCTACTTCAGCAGATGAAACAGCCAAGAAGATTCAATACCTGATCCATTGTCAATGGTGTGAAGAGAGAATTTTTCAGAAGGATGGTAATATGGTAGAAGGTAAATTCAAGTTATATGTTATGTTTAATTTATCTGTAATCCTCCACTGAATAAGCCTTTATCACATCCCTAATTATACATATTGTTGTCCTTTGATTTTAAAGATTACAGGGCTAACTTTGTTATTTCCTATGGATTTCCTTTCATCCACAGACAAGACATTCGTGTGAGTTTATTATTTACTCATGCTGTAGGATGTATGCTTTCTAGCTCTGCCCTCTCTCAAAACATCTAGAAATAACTTAGTTTCCACTCTCAACTAATTTTAGAACATAAGTCAGATTACCTTTTTGACGAGGCTGTTACAAATCATTAATTTTATAAAAATAATTTTGATGTTTCTGGCTGTGTAAAGCCTTCAGTTGTAAAATGTATTCAGTAAACATTTATTGAGCCTTTACTATATGCCAGGCCTGGGGATGGGAAACAAGGAAAAAGCTGTGTTTATGCTTTCATGAAGCTGTTTCTGTTTGTTTCAGTTCTGGGACATGGAAACAGTTGCTCATTGTTTTCTTGGTGTTTTTTAATATGAATTTTTGAGTTTAGCACTTGTTATGTAAGTTGTAGATTTTTTTTCATTTTGTCACGTTTGCTTTTTTTAAAAAGTCTGCCTTGCAGAAGTTTTTTGTTGCTAATTCAATATTTACGTAGTCTGGATTTTGTCTGTAGTAACAAAGAGCTTTCCTATTTCTAGATTATTCAAAGCAGATTAAGGCGTATTGAATAGTACACCTTTCCTCCACTGATTTGAGAATACCGTCTTTATCTTACAAAGTTCCACGTGTATTTGAGTTTGTTTCTAGATTTTCTATTCTGTTCCAGTGGTTGGATATTTATTCATACACATCTATCATACTGTTTTGACTACAGAGGCTTTTCATTGCCGTTTAATATTTTTTATGGCAATCCCTACTCAAAGCTCTTTGTTTTCAGTGTCCCTGTACTAATCTTTTGTTAACCCCATCACACAAAAGTAAATAATAACCCAGTGGCCTATTATTTTGATCACATTAAATTGGGGAGAATAGACACTGTGCTTTTTGAAGCTTCCTACAAATATAATATGCTTTTCATTTGTTCAAGTCCTTTAGTATAATATTAACTGGTGTTGGTAATGGAGGGCATTCTGTCATGTTCCTTATTTTTAGTTCCCTCTAGTGCTTTCTATTTTTTTTATTTTTTCAGATAGAGTCTTACTTTATCACCCAGGCTGGAGTACAGTGGTGCGATCTTGGCTCACTGCAACCTCTGCCTCCCGGGCTCAAGCACTTCTGCCTCAGCCTCCCAAGTACCTGGGTCTACAGGAACACACCACCAGGACCAACTACTTTTTGTATTTTTAGTAGAGATGGAGTTTCACCATGTTTGCCTGGCTGGTCTGAAACTCCTGACCTCTAGTGATCTGCCTGCCTCATCCTCCCAAAGTGCTGGGATTATAGTCATGAGCCACTGCACTGAGCCTCTAGTGCTTTCTGTTTAAAGCATAATACTGGCTTTTCATCTGCAATATGTATCATTTATCACATTAAGGAAGAATACTTCATTTCCACTTTTACTGTATTTTATCAAGATCAAGTTGAATTTTGTCATAATGCACTTTCAACATCTGTGGAGATGATTATATGGTTTTTCTCTTTAGGCTTACTAATTGAATTAATTGTAATAAAAGTTTCCAATATAGAACCAAAATGGATTTTTTAGAATAAACTACTGTCAGGTGGTATTCTTTTAATACATTGCTGAATTTTATTTGCTAATTTTTAAAGGATTTTTTGTTTCAGTATTTATAAATGAGAAGGTATATAGTTTTCCGTTGTATCATAATTTTAGTTGGGCTTTGAGCTATCAGTTTATACTCCCTTCAAAAATAATTTAGAATGCTTCCCTTTTTTCAATTCTTAGAAATTGAAAAACTGATAGTTTAGTATTGGAAGGAATTATGTGTTCCTTAAAGGTTTAATAGTATTCACCTAGCATTTCTGTTTTATTTACATAGGATTGAGCTAAGTGTTGTCTAATAATTTCTTTTAATTTCCTTGGTTCCTATGGTCATATTCCCCTCATATATTTTTATTTATCCTTTCTTCCATTTTTCTTGACTAGATAAGAGTCTGGTTTATATATTTTATGTAATTGTTTTTCTTAATGTCTTCTTTTAGTAGTAAATATGTATATACTTCTGTAATTTGGATTTATCAGTTTTAAGTAATATCCTTTGGCTCCTTGAGATCTCAAATGAGATAATTAGCTTCCCATTTTCCGGTTTTCCCTGCCTAACTTTTGTTTGTTGTACCATCTCAATGTTATTAGAATATGTAACATTTAACATTCTGTTTTACCAGATTAATCTCTACATTGAAAAATACTCTGTATATGTCCTCAGTCTTTTTGCCATAGTTTCTCTGGTCATCTCTTATTTGGTTGAGTTTAACTTTCTCAGTTTACTCAATAGAGCTCATGAGAAGAATACTACTTTGTTTCCTTCATGTTCAAAGCTTTTCTTTGCCCAAAGCATGGCCATAGCCTGTATACTTGAACAGTTTAAATAATTTCTTTGAGTGCTTATATATAACTTCTTGAGAAGTTCTTATGATTTTTCCTTCTTATGTATGTGACATGATCATTTTGCTGGCTCTGCAAAGGAATTTTTATTTATTTTTTAAGTCCAGTAACTTACTAGAATATCCTCTTAGGGTCCTAGATCATGGTGTACCCATTAAACATGTAGTTTAAAATTTTCTTTCATTTCAAGAAAGTTTTCTTAAATATTCACTTAATTCTGACATTTGTCTTACCTTTGTACTATTAAGCCTATATTAGAGCTCCTCAGCCTGTACCTGTCTTCTTTAACTATCATTTTACCTCTAAAAATGTGGATATAGATTATAATTGTTATATCTTCTCCATATTATTGGCCCTTTTATCATTATGAAATGTTCCTCGTATTTCTTGTCTAAAAGTCTGTATTACCTGATGTTAATGTAAACATTGCTCTTATAGCTACTGCTTGCATAATATATTTCTTTACATAGTTCACTTTCAACTTATAGGCATCTTCTTGGATCTTTTTTTTTTTATCCAGTTCGATCATGTCTGACTTTTGATGAGTATTTAGACCATTTACATTTAATGCAGCTTGTGTTTTTTAAATCAGACACTTGTTTTATTATTTATTTATTTATTTTTGAGACTGATGCACTATGTCGCCCAGGCTGCAGTGTAGGGGCACTATCTTGGCTCACTGCAACCTCTGCCTTCAGGCTCAAGCAGTTCTCCTGCCTCAGTCTCCCAAGTAGCTGGGGATTACAGGCACCTGCCACCATGCCTTGCTAATTTTTGTATTTTTAGTAGAGACGGCGTTTCACCATGTTCGGGCTGGTCTCAAAACTCCTGCTCTCAAGTGATCCGCCCACCTCAGCCTCCCAAGTGCTGAGATTGCAAGCTTGAGCCTCTGCGCCTGTCCCAGCCATTAATCAAACATTTTAAAGAATTTTTGACTTGATAAGTAATAGCTATAAAGCAGTGATTTGTTTTTGCATTTTATTTGCAATCATACAGAACTTAGAATAAACAGGTATATTCTACAAAGAAGTCATCTCATTCAGAATTTTTATCAATTTGTGTAATACATGTTTAAAAAGTCCAATACCTGGGCACAGTGGTTCACTCCTGTCATCCCAGCACTTTGGGAGGCTGAGGCAGATGGATCACCTGAGGTCAGGAGTTCGAGACTGACCAAGATGGTGAAACCCCATCTCTACTAAAAATACAAAAATTAGCTGGGCATGGTGGCAGGCGCCTGTAATCCCAGCTACTCAGGAGACTGAGGCAGGGGAATTGCGTGCGTGAACTTAGGAGGCAGGAGGTTGCAGTGAGCTGAGATCGTCCCACTGTACTCCAGTCTGGGTAAAAGAGTAAGACTGTCTCAAAAAAAGAAAGCAAAAAAAATCAAATAGTTCCATACATCTTATTAATAAAATAATAATCTCTGCCTGACTCCCTAAAGTAAACAGTTAAAATCTCACAGTTGTTTCTTCTAATGTTTACATTCATATTTCTAAATAACATGCTTATAATCCATCTAACTTCCTTTCATGGAGAAAGAGTATTTGGCTTTTTAAACCAATCCAGTCACATGCATGTTCTCCTCTCTACTTTGGACTACATCAATATTTAGTGTTTATATTTTTATAAATATATAAATATTGTTCACAAATTGTATTAGCTGTCTATTGCTGTGTAACAAATCACTCCAAAATTATTGGCTTTAAACATTTATTATCCCATAGTTTCTGTGAGTCAAGAATCTAAGCAGGGCTTAGCTGGGTCCACGAGCATAAGGTCTCTCACAAGGCCACAGATCAAGCTGTTGGTCAGTGGTTTGTGCCAGCAGTCCCAGCTACATGGGAGGCTGAGGCAGGAGGATCACTTGAACCCAGTAGTTCAAGGCTACAGTGAGCTGTGGTTACACAACTGAACTCCAGCCTGGGTGATAGAGTGAGATGCCATCTCTTAAAAAAAAAAAAAAAGCAAGTCAGAAGAACCAGAAATTGAGTTTGAGTGCAAGCAAGATAGAAAAGGTCTCTTGTAACATAATCTCAAAGTAATACGCCGTTACTTTTGCCATATTCTAGTTGTAAGAAACTTGTCTCTAGATCCAGTGCCTACTCAGGGGAAGGGTATTACACAAAGGTTTGAATACCAGGAGGCAGGGATTATTGCTGATCATTTTAGAAGGCTACTGCAGCACAGATAAACCATATGAATCTGGGCATGGTGACTCATACCTGTAATCCCTTTAGGAAGCCAAGGTAGGATTGCCTGAGATCAGGAGTTCAAGAGCAGCCTGGGCAACATAGCAAGACCCTATCTCTACAAAATTAAAAATAAAAGATTATTCATATAATAGTGTTTCCTTTCTTAGACAACTCTTTGGTAACTCTGGAATTAATACTTACTGTGCTTGTTTGTTACCTTCTTTCAAAAATAACTTTTTAGAATCCATCTCTAAACTCTTTGCTACATTTTCAATGCTGCTTTCAGCATAGATAAGCACATTAGGTATTCTTTGGCTTTCAATTTCACTCTCCTGGAGACGGTCCTCGTGCTCTGGTTTGGATTGTTTGTTTTCTATATCTGCTGAAATCTGTTGTCCAAGGGCTTCTGTTTAACCGTCATCCTGGAATTTTTCTTTGACTTTCTTTTTGTGATAAATCTCATATCGCAGATCCTGTGCATTTCCCCACTTTCCTTGTTTACTTCTTCATTTCATTTGAACACTTTTACCTATAGATTGCTGAGAAGTATTGCATGGCCAAGTACAGAATTCTAGGATGGAAATCATTTTTCCTCAAAGTGTTCATGGTATTATTCCATTGTTTTCTAGCTTCCAATGAGAGGTCTGCTGTCTGTTATATTATTTTCTCTCTGAATGCTCTTAAAATATCTCTTCTAAACCCAATATTCTAAAATAATTTTGAGATAATATGTGTATGAATTCATCTTTTTAAATTCATTTTACTGGATGATCTCTGAGTTCTTATTTATTTATTTAATGTTGTTGAGGCAGAGTCTCATTCTGTTACCCAGGCTGGAGTGAAGTGGCTCACTGCAACCTTCACCTCCTAGGTTCAAGCAATTCTTGCGCCTCAGCCTCCTGAGTAGCTGGGATTATAGGTACATGCCACCACACTCAGCTAACTTTTGTTAAGTGATCCGCCCTCCTTGGCCTCCCAAAGTGCTGAAATTACAGGCATAAGCCACTGTGTGCGGCCTCTGAGTTCTTTTAACTCACAAACTTGAGCTCTTCAGCTCTGACAAATTTTGGGGGTGAGGGGGTAATTTTTTTTCTTTTTTTTTGGACGGAGTCTTGCTCTTCTCCCAGGCTGGAGTACAGTGGCGTGATCTTGGCTCACTGCAACCTCTGCCTCCCAGGTTCAAGTGATTTTCCTGCCTCAACCTGCCGAGTAGCTGGAACTACAGTCATGTGCCTTCACTCCCAGCTAATTTTTGTATTTTTAGTAGAGATGGGGTTTCATCGTGTTGGCCAGGCTGGTCTCAAACTTCCTGACCTCAAGTTATCTGCTCACCTCATCCTCCCAAAGTGCTAGCATTATAGGCATGAGCCACCCCACCTGGCCCTTGGCAGGTGTTATTTCTTTCACAAGTTTTTGCTTTCAAATTATATTTGTTGTCTCTTTCAGGAACTTTAATTATATTTTGGATCTTCTAGGTTAATCCTTTTTTTAAAAAAAAAAACCTATACTGTTCATCTCTTTGGCACTTAGTTCTACTTTATACTTTTCCTTAATTTTTATTTTCCAAGTCTTATTTAATTTGTCATATTTTGTCCATTTCTAAGAATTATTTCATATTTTGTCACTGTTCTTTTTCTTTCTTTAGGCTAGTTGATTATTGTTCCTTTTTTAATAGTGTCATATTATTGTTTCAGGGATCCAAAATCTCTTACCTTTCTAAGAATTGATTATACTTGAGTAGATTTTATATTGAGGGGAGAATAGAGGTTGTTTGTTTTGTATTGTTGCTGTTGTTTTGTTGTTCGGTTCTCGTTACTTAACATTCTGTTTTATAATTTTGTTGTCTGTTATGGTAGATCTCACGTGTCTGGTGGTCTTTGGTTGTCCACGGTGAAAAATTGTTTCGAAGCACTTGGGGCAGAGCTTATAAACCAATGAATTTTACTGTAATAAGAAGATACTAGTCTGCTTTCTTTACTAGGACACTCCCAAATACCAGCAAGTATATATAGATCTTTTCTCTTGGATTGATAAATTTTTCCAGAGAGGAATTGACTAATCTTCTAGCAGCTCTGGGAAAGCCTCACTGGGGACAGAGACTGGAGAGCAGATTTTTACTTAATCCCTCTGTTTTCAGACATCTCACTGTTAGCTGTGCCCAAAACTCCTGGTTCCATATCCTCAATAGTTTAGCCTCACCAAAGATTAACTTCATCTTTTGGAATGGGGAAGACACAGAAGCCTGATTTTTATTAGAGAAGATCTGGAGTTTTAATTGAACCCTTTAAAAATTGTAACAAGACCTCTTCTTTTGCAATACTTCTCTATAGTCATCTTCAGAGACAATCATTACCTCAATTTTCAGGCCTTTGCAGGGTCCCACAAGACTAATGAACTTTCTGTTTTCTTGGCTGCCCATCTATCCATTTCAGGCTTAGGCTTTAGATTTCTCTGGTTATCTAAATAATCTGTTATCCCATTATATATGTGATTCCTGCTTCTGAAAATTTATTGGCATCTGTCATCTTTTGTTACCTCTTCTCCCATTTTATTTATTCTTGTGGTTTAATTTTTGTTCCTTGCTGTCATTTGATTTAAACATTAAGAGACAGCAGAGATAAAGTGTATGTTTAATCTGTTGCATTTAAATAGAAGTCTCAGAATATTTTTAAGTTCTTCATCTGGAATTGCTTTCCTTACTTATATACTGGTAACACAGAAATACTCGTTTTCTTTCTTCACCTCTTCATTATTTGCTGCTGGTAACTTGAAATGATAGTCCTGCCCCTCAGAGAGGAAATTTGCTGATGCTAATCTAGATCTGAGAAATCCTAGCAAAGAGGCTTGGGAAAAGACAGGTTTGTATGATAAGATTATTTTGCAAAGTGCATTAAGATACAAACTAGTAATTCATTTATGCTGTCTGCCTGTGGGAAGTGGCTGTACCTGACAGAACTATACTATAAATTGCTATCCTGAGTTGGATGATGACTGCTTATAAGTATTTGTAGTTTAGTGATGTAATGGTTCAAGAGAAGACTTCTTGAGTATACTCATACTTGAGGAACATAGTTCTCATCAAAGCTTATGTCAGTGCTAACCACACCATTTCATCAAAGCTTAGAGTTAAATAATACTGAAAAGTAGATCTAGGAGCAGTGAAGGATACTTTTAAGTAAATGTAAAATAAGATGTCATAACCATGCACTATACCAATAATTGTATTGAACAGCAGAGTGATATTGTCAGCTAGCAAGAGGCTATTGACTTATGTTCCTGCCACCATAATCTTTGATTCTGAATATATCTGGGACTGATTGATTTAGATCAGGCCATTCTGAGAAAGTGAATGATCAACGCAGGAGTGTCCTGAAGTGGAAGAAATTAGTTGGAGAATTTCTGATATAAAATGACTATTTGGGCCTTGCGTGGATTTAGAAGTTCCATAGTCAAATACTGCCCCATTTTGGAAACTAAGAATAGTTCTACTATCTCCCCAATTTCCTTTTGATTATACCAGGCCTCCCATTCATTGCTTTTTTAACCAAATTAGATTCTTCTAGCACATTTTGAAGGCTGAATATGAGTCAAGCATAGGGAATACAGTAACTCATTTTCTTTACAACTGCAGTAAAGTTAACTTATCAGAAATATCTACATTTTCATTGGTATGTTGGTTATATGGGTGTATACATTTGTTAAAACTCAGCAACCTTTTTATATAAAATACATGTATTTTCTTCCACATTAATGATTCCTTAATCAGTTAATTTTGAAATATGATCTCTTGTGAACTTTATAAGACATTTTCCTTCTTTATATTATTTCATGTGGTATAGTAAGTTAATACCAGTTACATCTCTAATAAGCCATTTGACATGGATTTCCAGAACCTCTCTTAAGCTTTAATCCTGATGTGTGTAATTGAGATTTTAACAGTACCTACTACAGAGTTGTAAGGATTTAAATTAAATATATACACAAACATATATACACACACAGTTGTAAGGATTTTTTTTTTTTTTTTTTTTTGAGATGGAGTTTCACTCTTGTTACCCAGGCTAGAGAGCAATGGCGCGATCTCGGCTCACCACAACCTCCGCCTCCTGGGTTCAGGCAATTCTCCTGCCTCAGCCTCTTGAGTAGCTAGGATTACAGGCATGTGCCACCATGCCCAGCTAATTTTTTGTATTTTTAGTAGAGATGGGGTTTCACCATGTCGATCTCTTGACCTCGTGATCCACCCGCCTCGGCCTCCCAAAGTGCTGGGATTACAGGCGTGAGCCACCACGCCCGGCCCGGTTGTAAGGATTTAAATTAAAAATATATGTGTGTGTATATATATGTGTGTACACACATATATAAAATACTTAGCATACCTAGGTGTGTGTATATATGTATATACACACATATATGTACACATATATATACACGTGTACACATATATACACACACACACACATACATAAAATACTTAGCATAATACCTGGCACATAGTAGATCCTCAGTATATAGTAGCTGGAAATTATTATTAATATAACCATTACTAATATTTGTATTAGTCATTTCTCCTTTGATTTCTCCTTTCATTATCTTTTTACAGAAAACCCTTATAGACAGCTGCCTTGTAACTGTCATGGAAGCATGCCTGGAAAGACAGCAATAGAACTTGGACCTCTGTGGTATGTGACTAGCCATAAGAACATAAAATTTGATTTATTGATTCATTTATTAATTGCAGATTTTTATTATGTGTGGTAAAAGACAAGTAAATTTAAATTTAATTTTTTTTTTTTTGGGGGGGGAGGAAGGCAGGAAGGGAGGGAAGAAGGGCGGTAGGGATGAAGGAAGGAAGGAAGGAAGGGAGGGAGGGAGGGAAGGGAAGGAAGGAAATCGAGCAATGAGAGAGACATTGTGGACCTGGATCTAGAGGTTTACAAGTTGATTTCTTTTTTTTTGAGAGAAAGAAAGAAAAAAAAAATAAGTAAAGGAGAGGAAGAAAGAGGAAGAAAAAGAGGGAGAGTAAATGGAAATATTGCTTTATTTTGAAAAAAATTGGGTATTAATGGCCAATCAATGTTTCATTTAAACTTATGGGTAGGTGTGATGTGGTATTGACAAGAATGTATATTTTGTGTATTTGAAGTGGAGAGCTCTATAAATATTTATTAAGTTTACTTGTTCCGGATCTCAGTTCGAGTCCTTGATATCCTTATTAATTTTCTGTCTCATTGAATCTAAGTCTCGTATCTGGGTGTTAGGATCGTTAGCTCTTGTTGTTGCATTGATCCTTTTACCACTGTATCTTTGTTGCTTTAAAATCTATTTTATCCGATACGAGAATTGCAACTCCTGCTTTTTATTTATTTATTATTTATTTTTGCTCTCCATTTGGTTGGTAAATCTTTCTCCATCCCTTTGTTTTGAGTCTTTGTGTATCCTTGCATGTGAAACAGGTCTGGATGTAACATGCCGTTGGGTTTTGGCTGTGTCTTTTGATTGGGGGATTTAGTCAATTTATATTTAGGGTTATTGCCATTTGATGTTGACTGGCTGTTTTCTCCATTCGTTGATGTAAATTCTTCTTTATGTTGGTGCTCTTTACTTTTTGGTGTATTTTTAGAAAGGCTAATACTGGTTGTTTCTTTCTGTGTGTAATGCTTCTTTCAGAAGCTCTTGTAAAGCAGGCCTGGTGGTAATAAAATCTCTGAGTTCTTGCTTGTTCATAAAAGATTTTATTTTTCCTTCAGTTGTGAAGCTTAGTTTGGCTGGATATGAAATTCTGGGCTGAAGGTTCTGTTCTTTGAGGATGTTGAATATTGGCCCCCACTCTCTTCTGGCTTGTAGAATTTCTGCTGAGAGATCTGCTGTAAGTCTGATAGGCTTGCCTTTGTGGGTAACCTGACCTTTCTCTCTGGCTGTCCTTAGTATTTTCTCCTTCGTTTCAACCCTGGTGAATCTAACGATTATGTGCCTTGGGGTTGTTGTTCTTGAGGAATATCTTTGTGGTGTTCTCTGTATTACCTGGGGTTGAATGTGGACCTGCTTTGCTAGTTTAGGAAAATTTTCCTGAATAATATCCTGAAGGGTATTTTCCAGCTTGGATTCATTCTCTCCGTCGCATTCAGGTACACCTATCAAACGTAAATTTGGTCTTTTCACATAGTCCCACATTTCTTGGAGACTTTGCTCATTCCTTTTTATCCTTTTTTCTCTAATCTTGTCTTCACGTTTTATTTCATTCAGTTGGACTTTGACCTCTGATATCTCTTCTTCTGCTTGAACAATTCGAGTGTTTAAACCTGTGCATACTTCTCAGAGTTCCTGTATTGTATTCTTCAGTTCCATTAATTCACTCATACTCCTCTCTAAGTTGTCTATTCTCAATAGGATTTCATCAAACCTTTTTTCAAAGTTCCTAGTTTCTTTACGTTGGGCTACAACATGTTCTTTTAACTCACCGAAGTTTGTTATTATCCATTCCTTGAAGAGTGATTCTGTCATCAGGAGGCGTTCGTTCTCCATCAAGCCTTGTTCCATTGTTGATGTGGAACTGTGATCATCTTGAGAGGGAGAGGCGTTCTGACTTTGAGTATTCTCAGCGTTTTTACGCTGGTTTCTTCCCATCATTGTAAATTTATCCTCCTGTCGTCTTTGGAATTACCAACTTTCAGATTAGGTCTCTTGAGTGGACATCCAAGTTGTTAGTTCCCAGGGCCAGAGCAGCGGCGTTAAAACTGATGGTGCTTTTCTGCCCAGGATCCTCCTGTCTGGCTTCCTTCTTGTGTCCGTAGTAGGCGAATCTGCCTTCCCAGGACTCCAAACCTCGGTCAGAAGGGGAACCCGTCCCGTTTACTCTGCGCCGAGCGCTGCCGCGCGCCGAGGTGCCGTCACTGCCACTACGCGGGGCTCTGGTATTGTGCTGGGGGCCCGTGTGGGTCCTCCAAATGTGTTTACTCTGCTCCGAGAGCTGCCGCGCGGAAGTGCGGGCGGAACCGCTGCGCCGGCCACGAGAGTCACGCTGGCGACCCGTGTGTTTCCTCCACTGGGGGATCTTCTGCTCCGTGAGCAACCAGACTTTGTCTGAAAGTGTGGTGTCCTCTAGTTCTCCGCGCCTTCCCTGAGAGCTGCAATCTCAGGATGTTAGCGATGGGCCATCTTCTAAATTTAATTTTTAAGTCTAGTCAACTCATTATGACTCTTCTCCTCCTATCAACCTGAAGTGTTTTCTATTTTCAGATTTTTCTCTACCATTATTCTCTGTAGTTTGTGACAAAACTAAAAGGCAGTGAAGGTGAAAGAGAAGCCTGGATGATCGGAAACTAGATAATTTATTTCTCAATAGTAAGAAAGAAGCTTTTTTAAATTCATCATTGCAGATCTAGCATGTGATTTTAAAATGATCACAATAACTTTTTATAGAAAAGTTATATAAAAGGTCCTAGAGGAATTAGTTTTAAGTGAGATGGACATGTAAAAGTGTCCACCTTTGTTTTAGGTAAAGTTATTTAGATGGAATACAATTGGAAATATTAATTGTGTATATGCTTTTTATCATTGGTAACAAGTTATTGTACCTTAAAGTTGAACTGTTTTTAATCAGAATCCTTATCTTAAGTTTGCTACTCGAGATTCATTTTTTTTTTTTTTTTTTGAGATGGAGTTTCACTCTTGTTGCCCAGGCTGGAGTGCAATGGCGGGAACTCAGCTCACCACAGCCTCCACTGGTTCAAGCAGTTCTCCTGCCTCAGCCTCCAGAGTACCTGGGAGTACAGGCATGCACCACCATCTACTTGGCTAATTTTGTATTTTTTTAGTAGGGATGGGCTTTCTACATGTTGGTCAGGCTGGCCTTGAACTTCCAACCTCAGGTGATCGGCCCACCTTAACCTCCCAAAATGCTGGGATTACAGGCATGAGCTACCATGGCCCGACTGAGACTCTTACAGAAATTCAAGATTTCTAACAACATTGCAACAAGAATTATTGCAAATTTGTTCTCATTACTTTATAAGGTGAAGGCTAAGTACCTACAAAACCTAGAAATTGCCGGTAAATATTTTTGTGCTGATGCTCATTATTTTCTCTTATGAAGACCTAGCCAGCCTTATCTTCTAGTTTTACTCAAAATAGTTCTCACTTCCCCATAGCATCTACTACACATTGATCCTACTCACCGATTCAGAACTGGGAAAATTAAAAATATTTTAATTTTTTTAAAAAATTAAAAAAATTACTGGATCCAGAAGGAAGATTTTCTAGCCTAACTGCCTTATTTTACACATGAGGAAACTATGGCACAGTGTTTTTAAGTGCTTGCTAAAACTGACTAAAAAAATTAGTACCACAGTCAAGGCTACAACTTAGGTTTTCTGACTGCCAGTACTGAATTCTTTTTTTATTTTTTATTTTTGAGACAGAGTTCCACTTTGTTGCCCAGACTGGAGTGCAGCGACACAATCTCAGCTCACTGCAACCTCTGCCTTTTGGGTTCAAGCAATGCTCCTGCCTCAGCCTCCTGAGTAGCTGGAACTGCAGGCATGTGCCTGCCACTGCACCCAGCTAATTTTTGTATTTTTAGTAGAGAGGGGGTTTCACCATGTTGGCCTGGCTGGTCTTGAACTCCTGACTATGCCTGCCTCGGCCTCCCAAAGTGCTGGGATTACAGGTGTGAGCCACCACTCCCGGCCTGAATTCTTAATAAAACTTTATGATCTCCATATCAGAGCTATTGTTCATGTCTTTATACTTGTCCAGAATACCTTCCCCTCTTTGCCACCTCCAATTCAAATTGTACTTTCTTTTAGAAGTCTCTCCTTAGTGCTTCAACTCAATATAATCTCTAAATTCCTTTCAGTATTATTGATCACATATTTGATACTTTAAAATCATATATTCTTTCATATATATTTGCTAACCCTAACAACAGGAGCTACCATACATTGAGGATATATAGAGAAGTTTTATTTTACATTTTATGATGAGGAATGTAAGACTCAAAAGTAATAATTACCCAAGATTAATATAGCTAGCCTGGTGTAGTTGCACGTATCTATAGTCCCAACTACTCAGGAGGCTGAGGCGGTAGGATCCCTTGAGCCCAGGAATTCAAGTTCAGTCTGAGCAACATAGTGAGACCCTGTCTTTTGATAAAAAGATCACATAGCTGGTAAGTGGTGGAGCCAGGATTGGAATCCAGTTTTTCTTACTCAGAATTTCATATTTTGTCCATTATACCTGTGATTCTCAAATTAAATGGGAAGCATATCAGATTCACCCCAGGCCATTTTTCAACCACACCATTACCACATGTAATTCTCATTTGTGTGGGCCACCTGCTCTGCCCCAGCCTACCACCATAAACACACCAGAATTAAGATTTTCTGTTAGTGACTAGAGTGAGCATTGTGAAACCCTCTTCATTGCTCTATTTTCCTGTCTAGATTAATAGGCTTTTATAAGGTCCACATTGTATATTATATTTTGGTATATTCTCTACACACCCTCTATATACCACAGTACTGTATACCTTATGATAGTTCAGTAAATTCTTTATTAAGGTAACATACACATAAAATATTTTCCTTCTTTACCATTTTTAAGTATATAACTTAAGTGGTAATAAATATATTTATATTCTTTTTCCCTTCTTCATCACTGTCTCCCTTTTTCCCTTCCCAGATTCAATAAATTCTTGTTTATTTAATGTGAATTAAGTTTCCTTGACTAATGCTACTAGTTCAGAAAACTGATATGATAAAATGAGTGGCAAATAGAAAATAAATAGTTTTAGGCCAGGTGTGGTTTCTCATACCTGTAATCCCAGCACTTTGAGAAGCCAAGGTAGGAGGATCCCTTGAGGCCAATAGTTTGAGATGAGTACCATCTCTATTAAAAAATAATAAAATAGCCTCGGTACATGGCGTTACTCTGTCCCAAATAATAATAATAATAATAATAAAGAAAATAGTTAAATTTAAAAAAATTTATGATCTAAAACTATCATATAATTATATATCTTATAGTTAATTGTAACAACTACTTTTTAAAAGAAAAACATTTCTCAAACCCAGTTCTCTGTATATTCTTTTCTTTTCAGGTCAAGTTCCCTTTTCAATACTGGATTCCTCAAAAGAATGCTATTTGAATCTCTTGACCATGGTTTGGATGACATTCAGACCCTAATAAAAACATTAATCTTTGAATCAGAGTGTACGCCTCAAAGTCAGTTTCCAATTCATGCACGTTCAAATCTCAACAAGCAAGGTAGCTAATAGAACACTAGCTTACTAGCTTAAAATTTCTTATCAAAAATACTGTATCTTTTTCAACTGTACTGGATGTTTTAAGAAAAGCAATATAATTATAAATAGTTTAGTAAGTCCTCTTTAATGAGTCTAATCATAATCTGGTTGTATTAACAGTTTTTTTTAATTACATAGTTTTCTTCAGGATTATAATCAGGAGCCTGAGATGAACAGATGAATGATGAATAGTGGTGTGTGTGTGTGTGTGTGTGTGTGTGTGTGTTTTCCCTGATACTGGGTCTCACTGTTTCACCCAAGCTGTAATGCAGTGGCACAAACATGGCTCACTGCATTCTCAACCTCCTGGGCTCAAGCAATCCTCTTGCCTCAGCCTCCTGTGTAGCTGAGACCACAGGCATGCACCACCACACCTGGCTAACATTTTGTAGACATGGTGTCTCACCATGTTGCCTAGGCTGATCTCAAACTCCTGGGCTCAAGTGATCCTCTCACCTTGACCTCTCAAAGTGGCTGGGATTAAAGGTGAGAACCACTATGCCCTGACAATTTTTTTTAAAGATAACCTCCCTTTTTTGTTTTTCATTTTACTAGAGTTAAAAAAAAAAAAAGACTAAAGGTCCTTTGTAATTTTTATTACCCTAGATCTGCTTTCTAGAAAAAGAAACCTTGGTAATTCTAGGAATGGTGTGGCCAAAAATTGTAGTATCATACACAGAAACTAAATTTATACTTCTTATTCAGTAAAGCTATGTGTTTTTTCTCTTTAGTACAATCAGGCAATTTTGTAGTTGTATCTGACTGTTGATATAAAGGTGAAGCTAAAGAATATCCTAGTGTTCTCATAAATAATTAGAAGAAGCTGCTGTAATAGAGGGTTATACAATATAATTTTTGCAGTCCAGTTTGGCCACAGAATCTCTTGTATATTCATGAAAATAGTGTGGATGGCCTTTCAAACTTTTATTTAAACTTAAGAGTTGTTGCTTTATGTCATTCTGTAAAATACTTTTTCTCATTTGCTTTTTTTTTAGAAGAAAATGGTGTGTTTATTAAAACTACAGATGATACCACAACAGATAATTACACTGCACAAGGTATGTATGCATTTATGTGTGTATATATGTACATATCAGGTCAAAAAGGCATATAGCAAAAGGGTAGGAAGAGAAGAGATTGTCATGATGTCATGGTAGCCCACTTAAAAATACATGTCATATTATATGACAACAAAACTGTAGTAAAACTTGTTTACCAACATTCACACATTGAAAATTTCTGTTAACAAATGCTTATATTATATATATTTAAGTTTCCTTCTCTTTGAAGGTCAAAACTAAACTGTTGATCAACTAATAAACATTATAGCTTATAACTAAAAGCCACTGTTCTTTGAAACTTAACACTCTAGTCTTCTTTTCACCTGTATTCAAAAATGTATCTGGAATCTAAAGTTTTTTAAAAAGCAAAACCAAACCTTAGACATTAAGGCACTGATATTTTAAATCTTTACATCCTTTTGATATGAATTTACAATATATAACACAGCTATATTTAAAGTATGCACGTATCCTAAATTATATGAAAGGCCATATAATAAATTTTTATGGCTGAAGAATTAGGTCTTCTGGTTAATCAAATGGAATTGCTATAAATCATATATTAATGAACAATTTTTAAAAGAATTAGAATAAAATTTTACCTTAGCTATAAAATTATATACATGATATAGCTTTATCATATATAATTGGATCTTATTTTAGTCACATGGTTCAAGATCTTAACAGTTCTTTCAAAGGGATAAGCATACATTACGGATGTGAACAAAGCATCTGTAATATAAGCATGTTATATTACAGACAAGGAAACTTAAATTCCTTTTAATAGTATATGGTTTAATAACGATTACATACACTTTCCAACAGCCATGTTCATTTGGCATCTTCAACCAATTTTATAACTTAAATTGATATATTACCTAATTTCTCTGTTGGAGAGAAGACAAAGAAGCATTATGATATGCTGTAAAGAATGTTAGATTTGCTGGGCATGATGGCTCACACCTGTAACCCCAGCACTTTGGGAGGCTGAGATGGGTGGATCACTTGAGGTCAGAAGTTCAAGACCAGCCTGGCCAACATGGTGAAACCTGTCTCTACTAAAAACACAAAAATTAGCCAGATGTGTCGGTGCAAGCCTGTAATCCCAGCTACTTGAGGGACTGAGGTGGGAGAATTGCTTGAACCTGGATGGCAGAGGCTGCAGTCAACCAAGATTGTGCCACTGCACACTCCAGCCTGGGTGACAGACTGAGCCTCTGTCTCAAAAAAAAAAAAAAAAAAAAATAGATTTAAGAGCATTATCCTACTGCAGATGTTAGTTATATAACCTCAGCCAGGTCCCGCCCCTTCAGCAAAATTGTGTTAAATCCTTTTTAGAATAAAGTAAAACATAAATAAGCTTTCAAAATATTTTCAAGAGCCAAGAGCACAGTGGCACATACCTGTAGTCTCGGCTACTCAAAAGACTGAAGTGGGAGGATAGTGTGAGGATTGTGTAAGTCTGGGTAACATAGCCAAACTCCATCTCGAAAAAAAATTTGTTTTTAATCTCTGAGCCTTTCTCATATATAAATTAAGGAAATTAGACTAATTTTTGTGGGCTCTTCTATAACTCTTAAATTATATGGTTATTCTAAGACCATCTGTCAACACATAAAATCTTAAAATGATAGTAAGAGGCAAACCCAGAGGAAAATAATTCATTCTACCAAAGATACATTGTATGTTCATTGCAGTGCTATTCACCATAGCAAAAAACAAAGAGTCAACCTAGGTGCCCATCATCAACGGCCTGAATAAAGAAAATGTGGTACATATATACCACGGAATACTATTCATTCATATTTTTGAACAAAATCATGCTCTTTGCAGCAACATGGATATAGCTCGAGGCCATTATCCTAAGCAAACTAATGCAAAAATAAAATCAAAGGCCTATGGTCTCCCTTATAAGTGGGAGCTAAACTTTGGGTACTCATGGACATAAAGATGGGGACAGTAGACATGGGGGACTACAGGATGGGGAGAGATGGGATGGGAAATGGGCTGGAGAACCACCTGTTAGGTACCATGTCCATTGCCTGGATGTGGGGTTATTGGGACTCCAAGCCCCAGCATTATAAAATATGCCCATGTAACAAACCTACACATATACTCTTTAATAGATAAGGAAAGTTGAAATTATTTTTTACAAAAGAATAAATTACCAGGCCAAAAAAAAAAAGAAAACCCATATACTGCTGATAGTCACTATTAAGGTATTACATCAGGTTTTTTGCCTCAGATACTCCTAGAACTTGTACTAAATCTGGGTGTCTATCCTTTGACTAGGTGCCTCATTGGATTTCAAACAATTTCAAATTTTAGATTCAGATTTTAATTATCTGATTTGATGGATGGATCTCAAGTTGTCCTTTTTGCTTTATGTTTTTATGTAAAAAGGCAACAATTTAGCAATACTTTATATTTATTTTGAATGTAATTTATCATTTGTATGCATCAACTTTGCCTTTTGAATGCTTTTTTTTGGTAGGAGGCAGGGTCCCACTATGTTGCCCAGACTGGCCTCAAACTCCTGGGCTCAAGCGATCCTACCACCTCAGCCTCCCAAGTAGCTGGGACTACAGGTGTGCACCACTGCCCCTGGCACCTTTCGAATATTTTGCCTAAGCAGATGTTAATTACTTTCCCTGAAGAAGTAAGATTTGACCATAATGTTTATATATAAATAATCAAGGGTTGAACATCAGGCAAAATCTCATTATAGTATTGGGTATCTCAGTTGTTTTCCTTTTATGATTTTTGGAAGGATATCGTTCTAGAATCTTATTTTTGCTGGCTTCCTTTCACCCAAAATGAAAAAACTAAGTCCTGCGATGAGAAATAGGCAATGAGATCATAATATCCTTTTGTCAGTTTCTGTGTCCCCTCTCGAGACTTTGTGTTGTTTAGTGACCACGGAAGACCCACTATGCATCCAAGACTGAGCACTCAGTAGAGATACAGGTATAAAAATGAAAGACATTGTCCATAGGAACTTAGAATATAACTTGGGGAGTGAAGACTTAACACACATACAAGAACTACAAGAAAAGTAAAAAAATAGCAGAACTTAATGAAACTCTGAGTAGTATTAATAATGAAATCTGTGAAGTGACTGGCCCTGAATTCATAAATGGCTTCCTACAGGAGATGAAAATAGTGTGGCTTGAAGTTGAAGGTAGAAAAGAAGTTGTGATTCAGCAAACAGTTAAATATGAAAATTACATAAGTGAAGGACAGTGAAAATAGCTAGAATAAATTATTGGATAGATAGGTTGCAATAATGTGTCAGGATTTAGACTTAAGACAAATATATAGTTATAAAAGTATTCAGCTTGTAATGTTAAAGAGCATGCTAACTTTGTGTGTGTGTTGCAGGAAAGAGAAAAAGTAATGAAATGATCACCAATTCAGGCAAGAAGCAAAAGAGTGATGTCAGTGCCGAGCATCCGCCCTTTTATTACAACATTCACAGACACAGCATTAAAGGAATGAATATGCCAAAGTAAGACACCCAGTCAATAACAAAGTATATATTTTAATAATATTGTGATTTAAATAAAAATACAAGAACCTAATTATTTTTTCTCTTTCCTTATTACAGGTTAAAAAAGTTTTTGTGTTATCTATCTCAAGCAGGCTTTCGAGTAAGCCGAACTCACTTTGACCCGATGGGTGTACGCACAGATGCACCTCTGATGCAGTTTAAATCTATCCTTTTAAAGTACAGCACCCCCACCTATACTGGAGGACAGTTGGAGGGCCATGTCCAGTCAGCATCCGAAGATACAGTAACTGAAAGAGTTGAAATGTCAGTGAATGACAAAGCAGAAGCAAGTGGCTGCAGAAGATGGTAAACATAGAGAAGAGTTGGTTCTCAGGTGTCCGCATAGATGGCCTAACAGTTCTCTATACCAACTGTAATTCTTTTTCTATTCTTTGAATTCAGTGGAGTAAAAATAAAAGTGATGTCATTTTCATTCAGAAACTGAGCAGTTTCTAACATAGCTGGTTTGGGAGCTTTGCTTTCCAAGTTTTTTCTGTTATAAAGCAAACTAGAAATTTTAATGAAAACATTTCATATGAAGCCAAGTCTCACTGAGATCACCCTCCTTGCTTAATGATAGAGAAAATTTTCACATGCAAAGTATTTGGAATTTTATGTGTTATGAAAGCCATCTTTTACAATTCTTAATCACATCTCTGCTTGAACTGATTCATGATGTTTATGTTTTCCTGTTTATAGTGTACAAAATGAAGCGAAGCCACTTACATATTAAAATGACCCTGAATAAAATAGGAAGAACAATGTTCTTAAGGTCACTAATGTATTTCACAATTAGAAAACTAAAATATGTTCCCATTTTTAAGAAATCATACTTCTGCCCACATTGATCTTTTCATTTATTGCTAGCTTTTGAAAAATTAAATACTTGCCTGGGATAGAAATGCTTTATTTTTGTAACTTTAAGGTCTAAATGACTAAACGTCAGAGTAAGATTTTGTCAAAATAATAAATTGAAACCCAGTGTTCTAATATAATTGTTCATGAGTCCTGAAATCCTGAAGAGGAGAGATTTGGTTAATTAAACAGGTTGGGTGATCTTAAGTGCCTCGGTTTATGCATGTACAGTATTCATTTGGTTGGTTGTACTACCTCTCAGAAGTAACATTTGTCATCTTATGGAGCGAGGGTTTTTTGGTTTAGGGTTTTTGTTTGTTTGTTTGGTTTGGTATTTTTGGTTTTGTGTGTATTTGTATAAATTTTTTGTATAATTAGCCTAGGCTGATTTAACTATAAAAATTAGTTGAAAAAAAATATTGTTTCCTTAATGAATTCTCACTTTATTTGAAGATAAGATTTTAGATGAAAAGATTTGATATAAAGTGTAGGTTTTTGTCTCAAGGATTTAATCCATATTTATCCCTAAATATTTCTTAAGGGAAGTAACTTTTTACAACCATTAAGGTGGGAGTTGGGGCAGAGAGGCGTGGTAACTGAAAGGTTTAAATATACTACCTAAGAAAAAAGTACTTCTGTGACATATACAAAAAAATCTGGTGGATGGGCATTAGATGAATATAGAATATTAATTTGGCAGAAATGAAGGAAAATCTTTTTGTGCTATGACAGCATATTCCCAAGACAATTTATTTTCCTTTCTTGAATTGATGTGATCATAAATTTCAGTAAAATCAAGGAATAAGTGAAGTATAAGCTAGTTTCTATAATGACCATTAAAAAAATTCTACTTTAATTCTTGCCAGTTAAAATTATAACTTACACATGAGTAGAAGAAATGAGTTTTTTGTTTGTATTATTAAAAATAAAGATTACTATAAATCCAGGAGGCAAACTATTACTGCACTCAGATTATCTGATTTAATACATACTATTAAATTGAATATCATTCTCAAATTTTGCTAAATGCTTATCAGCATGACATATATTGATCAATGATGAGTTGAACTGAATGCAAAGATCCTAATTTAATAAAGAAACCTGTAAATTACTGTTATCTAAAATATACATATATATTAATTTCACATATAAAGGCAGATTTTTCAAAGAAAAATTTGGTAGAAAGTAGTTTAGAACTCTGTGATAAGGGACATCAACCAAAAGAGGAAATACTTTAAAAATTCCATTTAGCAACCTAAGCAATCTTGTTCTCATAACAATAGTAGTAATTTGGGACACCACACATTGTAAAGTAACATCAATTGTATCCTTTCATTAAAACTTGGTAAACAAAAGAACCAGTTAAGGAAACAGTATGTTGACTCTTCTAGTTGCTGATGTTAATACTCTAGCCATATACTCAGGAAACGGGAGATGTAACCAAGGGATGGGTTTGAGGGTCACTGTGATGGACCTGAGTCAAAACTCTACTTATACTCACTTTCACAAGATTCCACTCTGAATAAATGTGTGATGTTCTGGTTGCCCAAAGTTAGAACTAACTCAGCACGTTTGGTGAGCCCAAAAGGTCTAGGAATTTATTTCTGCATTATGTAACTGCTCTGGTAATGGCTACAGGTTATTTTGGCGAATGTTAAGAGACAGATAATACATACTCGTGATATTATGTCAGACTCCTTTCTCCAGGGCCTCCAGAAATTGAATTAAATCAGACCTGAGAACTAGATAAGGGTTCCTACTATAGTGGCTCAAGTCAGATTAGTTTTTAGTAGCATAAACCAAATAGGACTATCCATTTTTGTTCTTTAGATCACATGATCCTTCAGCCAAAGGCAGGCCTGATGTTAGACTATACTGATTATCCTGTGGTTCCTGCTGTCTATTACGGTAACCATGCCCACCTGTCTTGGCTAGCAATTAAATGCACTACTTTGTCTCTGCCACAATACAGTCCTGAAAATGCCTACTGAATCAAGGAGTCTTTCAACTGAAGCATCTCCCACTGGCATCTCTGGCCTATAGACAGACTATACGGCTTTTCAAGAGTCCTGGTGCTCTGCTCACTAGTGTTTTTCTCTATGCGTTGGGAGAGAGAGTTGACTAGACTCTTATGAGGGATACAGTTAGAGGATCACTCATATTCAATCCTCCCCAATATGGCCCCTTTTCTTTGATTTCTCTACATCATACCAAAAAGTTTCTGCATATCATCTCTAATTTAGATAAGGCACTGCTGAGTCAAAATGTCTTTCCACCAAGTAAAAAAGACCACTTTAAGCTGTTTAGTCTGATAGACTGGGCCAAAATCTGTTATAGGTTTACCCATAATGATCATTTGACCCAATTTAAAATTATGTTCTGCCAAGCATGGTGGCTCATGCCTGTAATCCCAGCACTTTGGGAGGCTGAGGTGGGTGGATCATCTGAGGTCAGGAGTTTGAGACCAGCCTGGGTAACGTGGTAAAATCCCGTTTATACTAAAAATACAAAAAATTGGCCAGGTGTGGTGGCACGCACCTGTAATCCCAGCTACTCGGGAGGCGGAGGTTGCCGTGAGCCTAGAGAGCAACACTGCATGCAAGCTTGGGCAATGAGTGAAGCTCTGTCTCAAATCAATGAATGAATGAATTAAATTACGTTCTTTCTTTCAAGGTCCTACATACTCAAAATCTATTTCCACAGATATTCTCCACCTATCAATATTAACATCCAAAAAAAGACTCTTTCAGATCACACTTTATATTTGTGTCCTTAGGACCTGCTGGGATCTGACTGAAACTGTGTCCCAGAAACAATGCGGAATTGTAGGGATAGGGCATACGGGCTTCTTTGCGAAAGGTAACTAACTCCTTTAAGTCAGGTTATTAAGGGGTTGGTCAGCCAAAGTAACAAGCATATCTCCGGGATTCTTTCAGCTTCAAAGGAGGAGTCTGGGATTTAGGATACTCAACTCATCGAAGTCTTTCCAAAACTTGTTTTTCTGCTCTTGTTGCCTAAGCTGGAGTGCAATGGTGTGATCTCGGCTCACCACAACCTCTGCCTTCCAGGCTCAAGCAATTCTCCTGCCTTGGCTTCCTGAGTAGCTGGGATTACAGGCATGCGTCACCACCCCTAGCTAATTTTGTATTTTTAGTACAGACGGAGTTTCTCCATGTTGGTCAGGCTGGTTTCGAATTCCCGACCTCAGGTGATCTGCCCGCCTTGGCCTCCCCAAAGTGCTGGGATTACAGGTATGAGCCACCACACCCAGCCTCCAAAACTCTTATTCTCAGAATATCACTGTTTCCTGATCAGTGTCTCTACTCTCAAAAGACCCAACAAGATAGGGATTGATTCTGCCAGCTTGCAGAATCCTAATGAAAACATTCCCTAGGAAGTGGAGTATTCGTGGCAATAGCTTATATTTATATGAGACTTAGTACTACACAGTGCTGTCTTTACATAGATTATATAATCCATGGCAGTAGTTATGATCATCCCCACTTCATAGAAAAAGAAACTTAACCTAAACAAGATTAACTTATTTATCCAGTGCCACTCTAAAACTGGCTAGTAGAAGAGCCAGGACTCAATCCCAGGCCAACTTCAGAGCTCATGCTTTAGCCACTTGGTAATCTTCCTTTATTGAAGAACATATAAAGACATGTAAAATAGAAGATTACTTTAAAGTAATATTTATTTGGCCAAAGGCAGTTCCGTAGAAACTCAGGAACAGAATTAATTACAAACGAGTAATTAACCACTGCCCTATTGTATATTTCCATTTCTAAAACCTCTTAACCGCTATACTTTATCATCTATGCCTAGGTAGAATACACTCAGTCTTTCGGCTTCATTCTCATTTTCTATGGCTGAGATTGTCCCATAGCTTAGTTTTAGAATGACAGAAAAATCACTACTAACTCAACATTTTGGAGACAACAGGTAAAAACTCATTGAACTACAGATTTCTCTCAATAATCAGTTAGAACTTGAAAAATCTCAATACCTTTGATGAGACTCTACTATCTGAAGTCAGTTCATATCTGTAAAGATTTTGTTATGTAACGTAAGTCCTCACTGTTGCTGATAGGTTCTTGGAAACTGACTTTAAGCAAAATGACTTATAATGACACCAGTTTAACCATAGGATAATTGATACAAACAATAGTTAAGTTCCTACAGCACATTTCTGGTCACAAAAACATCACCAAACTTCTAAGTAGAGACCCAAAACACTTCTATTATTAAACATTGAAATACATGTGAGCTATGCATACATCTAAGAAAGATCAATAAAAACAATACATTTACCCAAGTTTTGGTAAATCAGTGAGTGACAGCAATTGTAATGCTGGGGGGTTTAAATCGAGGAATAAAAGTTTGCAAAGCAAAAACTGTAAAGACCACCTTCTACCACTGCACAGTTCAAACACAATGACCAATATGGTGGGCTCACTGAGCACTGCTGACTGCATTGCTGTTGTTTTGTTTTGCTTTGCTTTATCGCAATAAACCCCTTTGTGGTTATCATTTACTTTACAAATTTCTATTTTATAATAATTTGTATTCATTTATTCATTTTC